GGTAGGGTCAATCGAGTCGAAGGTAGCCCTAGCCTTGTCGTTGTTCGCATTACCGCAGTTGTATTGGAGGATGCCAGTCCCTATCATTGAGTACTAGGGATAGCATTATAATAAAGTCTGAAAGTTGATAGATAGACTTTACTAGTCATTTTAAGCCTTTACTTAATTTCATAGAGCTCTGGCTATTGTAGTTGAATATATACCTAGATCCTAGGTGCTAAAACCTACTGAGACTAAGGTATATATTCAACTACAATAGCCAGAGCTCTATAAATTTCATTAAAGGCATGAAATGACTAGTAAAGTCTATCTATCGACTTTTAGACTTTATTATAATGCTGTTGTTGAGATACAGGGTTATGAAATATCCCGATTTTGGTGAGATTTTGAGGTGGCTAACTCGCTGGTTTGGCTAGCTCACTGGTGGATTACGTTACTATGTAGGCTCCACTAACTGGCACAAATACAGCCTAGATATAGTTATAACCCTCTTCGTTGGAAATGCTTGAAAGATTTCAAGTAACGGCAACAGGGCCCGACACTAATCTTGACCTGAGTCTTGAAAGGGACCTTGACAAGCTCTGCATTTGCATCAAAGTTAACATCACTGTTAAGTCCAGTCGGTGGGGATGGAATGTGAATAGACTGCGATTCATATTCCTTGGGCCTGACTTCACAGAACCACAAACCGACGTGAATGGATGATTCCTGCCCTTTAAGATGTTTCTTCCGCTCAGAAGCTGATGTATGCCCTCACATCAATTACTATTATGTCCTCTTCTCAATAAAAACAGGCCAGGAGTGGGGAACAACTGTAAAGTAAGCCTTCCACTTCCACTCCTGCTTCTCGTCTACTTGTCGGATGTTGTAATCCTTGACCAGAGTCGACGTAATCTTTGCAAGCTCAATCTTTGCAACATTCTGTCCGGGACAAGAGCCGTAACCTGCTCCAAACTGCGTGATGTTGTTAGCATGTTCAGCCACCAAATGATGCCTCCAGAACATGAAACAGATCAATTGACTCACAGGAATCCAGTACTTCTCTTTCGCGGCGATGTCTCCTTCTAGCCATCGGTTTGGATTGAACTCGTCCGCATCTTCACCCCAAAGCTCTTTTGAGTAGTGAATCACCCATGGGTTGACAGAGACAATAGTGCCTTCGGGCAAGGTGCGATCGCCAATGGTCAAGCCTCCCTTGGGAGCTATTCGAGGAAGCCCCATTGGAACTGGGCCGAACATCCGCAGTGCCTCTTTCACACACGCTTGCACAAAGCTAACTCGGAGTTAGCAGGGGTGTTGTTCTCGATGAAACGGACTCAAGAAGATTACGGTAGTTGTTGGGCATCAGCGTAGGAAACCACTCGATCCTTGCATAGACCGTTCTTCACTGCTTCCTCGACTTCGGCCTGAGCACGTCTCCACGTATCGGGGTGACGAATCATGTGATAGATGAAAGACTGAATGCCACCAGCAACAGTATCTGATCCGGCGCCAACAGCAGCAAGGGCTTGTGTGCCGATCTCTCGAATCGTGAGCTTGTCGGGATGCCGTTCATTTTGCTTGAACCAATATTGGATCGCGTCGTAGCGAGCATTGGGGTTCTTTTCGCGATCTGTTAGAACAGCTTTCGTCAAGTCGAACAAGTGGCCCATTGGCATGATGGACAACCAAGTGACCAAGGGGTTAGCCAAGAGCGCAATGTTAATCCAACGAAAGTACCCGGCAACTGCAACGTAGGCATTGAGAGCCAGTGAGTTCCCAATAGCGTTGCCAATGTCTTTGCCTTGCTCAAGGAAACCGAACTGCTTCGAGAAGACAATCTCGCCGATAACGTCGAAGGTTGCGTATGAAATGAACTTGTTAAGGTCCATTGGCTTCTTGTCGGCTGCGTATATATCCAGCCAGTGGAGAAAAGACTCGAAAGTCCGGTCGATATGCTCCTCTGACCTCAGTATGCTAGAGACGGTGTACGCGGCGGCAATGTACTTGGACTTTTCAACCTTCTTCTTGGGATCCGTGGTGCTCATAGGGGATTGAAAACGGTAATCCGGCAAAGCGTGGATTTTGTACCAATTACCCTCAATGCTAGTTAGACATGGAAAATCGGATGGTTGCTTTGAGCAGTTACCTTACGTAGAGGGGCGAGAAGGGTCTTTTTGATAGCATCTGGATGACTGACGCTAACCTCATCGTAGGACATCCGAACAAAGTGGCCTACAAGACGTGTGAGCGAGTATACTCTATGTACACTTCCGTACGACATACCATGCCTCTCATGCAGTCGAATCAGTTCCAGATTCTGGTCACCCTTCAAGATTCGTTGCATGTGCCATAGCCGGGTGAACGATGCAGCAAAGGGCCCTGGGACGTCGCTGATCGCGGAGAAGTATCGGCGCCACACCAGCAGACTCAAGAGCCCAACGACTCCCAGAGCTGTAAGGGATGACCAGCTCACGTGGAAGGTGTCAAGAAACCCCATCGTTCCCGCACAATTGTTGAGACGCAAAAGTTTTAGATTGTACCAGGTAGCTGGCTTTGCACGGTGATCAAGCTATATATGAAGTAGGAGACAGGTGGGGCGCCCTCTGTTCCGGGTTTGGATCACCAATCAGTGCTAGGGGTTAGGGGTAGTGGGGCTTTAGTGTCAGTCCAAATGGATCCCTAACTAGTTAATTAGCCGTTACAATGTGCACTAACTTGTGGAGGCCCCACTGACTCGCGGGTTACGAACCTGCAACAGTGAGGCCGAAAGCCCGAAACCAATATTAGGACACATGCATAATGTAATCTGTTTACGCCTGAGTGCCTGACGAGGGAAGCAGAATGAGTCTCCCGGCTGCTCGGGCACCGAGTATCGCTACCTGGGCAATCTTTGAATCATTCGACAAATTTGGCAGCACAATCGATGTCTGGCCATAATCAGGAAGTACAGTGCCAGCACTGAAACTGATCCAATCAGCTGGGATACTCTATTCTCATTCTATTCTCATTCTGGAGACGCTAATACTGTACAATAATCACCTTGGACGTTCTTATCTGTCCAAGTAGCCAAGTCCGTGCTTGGGTGGTAATCTGCTCTGCGTGCTCGCGAGTGCGCGCTGCACATCCACGTTGGTCGTAACGGTAATCGCCTGGTGTCCAAAATTCCCGTCCCTTGATTTATCCTCGTCAAAGGAGTGTGACCTCGGGTTTCTAACCACACCCAAACGTCCTTGCCCTTTTGTCTGTTCGAAGAGCTCCTCTTCCGACTCGTTGCTCTCCAGTCCTCGCTCCAACCTTGTAATGTAGCCATTGGATGTGTTCTTCTTCGAGTCGCCTGGGTTTCCACGATCCATAGACGAGAGTTTGTGTGGTCTCTGGTAGGAAGGGTCATTGCTGTCTTCGGAACTGTTATTATTCCCTCGGACTTTGGTCCATAGCGCCTTCAGAGCGGGGAGATTGACAGCAACAATGGCGCATTGCACTTCGAATGCCGCGACGATGATCATCTTCCCCACATCTACTGAAGCGTCAGTCTTCATCGAAGTGACTGAGATCAATACGGGAAGGCGGAGAATCGCCACAGTGACGGAGACGAGACCGAAGCCAAGGACGGAGATGATGGTGACTTTTCGCCGAAGGGTCATTTGGAGAGCCCAGATTGTGGTGATCGGAAGGCATAGGATGTAAAAATCCATCGCGATATTCTAGAGATACTGTTAGCATGCACAAGATGTCCACGAGCCATCAATCTCAAGGGTCAGGAAAAGTTCGTCAAGACATACAAGAACAGGCGGAGTGATCATGATGGTGCGCGTGTCGATGCATGTAACTTCAGGATGCAATAAGGGGTTGAGGATCTTCTCGAACGGTATGCATTGTAGGACTGTCATGAGCCTGCATATTGTCAGCCATTCGCAACGCTCCAGAAAGGCAATAGAGGCGCAACTTACAAACTCGTGAGAAAGACAGCGGAGTCAAGTGCAAATCCAATGTATACAAAGATCCGGAACGAATGGTCGGGAGAAAGACGCAGGTAGAATAGAAGGAAAGTTGCCTTGATGACACAGTGCGCTCCATAGATGACAATTTCCTCGATAAACGCTGTCTGTATTTATAGTCAGAATATCGCTTCATTTCACTACGAGGTAGCGGAGGCTGCTCACCCGAAGAAGATCAAGGGACTGGAAACTACAATCCACATTTCCTGGCCTGTTGTAGACAGTCAGTATCCGCAGAGCCTTTGAAAGACAAATTTGGTGAGAACTTACTTGCCACAACCTAGATTAAGAAATAGCTGCAAAACGACTTGATGGACGATGCTGACAACCTGCTAAGGTAAGCATGGCATGAAGGATTCCTCGAATCAATTGTGACTGACCAAGACAACACATGACGCCGTGTCATCCCAACCCCATGACTTCACGACCAGCGCGCGAGAATAAAAACGAGCGATGGACGATAGTGTGCCGATTGCGAAGGTGATGTAGGCGACGACATATGCCAACTCGAACAGGTTGGTCGCCATAATGCGAAGGACAAATCACCCAATTAGTATAACAACAACAAAAAACACTGATAGACGATCCGGAAACTCTTTCGGCGGGAAGGATGCATTTCGGGTGGTCGGAATATATATATAATCCCTACTCATGACTCAAGTTTTGTGCTCTCGTCTAGCGCTTTGAAGAACCGTTGAGAAGGATATTAAGATCTACGTGTGAGAGTTCGAATACGATAAAGGCCCCCTGATTAGAACTGTCCTCGCGTACTAGCGTGTAACTCGTACGAACAGGCTGGCACCCCCCTGTTTCTTCTATCAACTCAACCTCCATTGTATGGCGCAGGCTGGGGGGGTGCCAGCCCGTTCGTGACCAGGGCCTGTAACTGCTGGAAGTCTGCGGGGCTGGCCCGGTACCCTAGGTGTCCCGAACTAAACCGTTCTCGGGTAGCGATCGAGCGAAGGAAAAACCAACCCGTTGAAATATGCAACTGACATAAAGATCAACGAGCTCCGATCCAAGTCGGCTAGAGGGCCGAAACCGCCACTAGGATACTACCCGGGCCGTGACGCCAACTCTGCATAGCCCCGGCTAGCTCAAAAGCCATTCCCGAGTCAGCACTTGCGCCTGAGAACGCGAGTCAAGGTAGACACCAAACCAGAGCCCAGTTTTCGGAGCTGCAATAATTAATGCATTTACATAACTTATTTAATCCATAACGTTACAAAAATCTGGCAGGATTAGGCCTAACTAGCAGTGTGCAACTGGGGTTTGCTCTTGGTTCTCCATTCCTGGCATTGGGACATTGGATTGTGGTGGAAGACCCATCCGAAAAGGGAGGTGGGCGTGCCAAAGCTGCACCACCAGTTCAGGGACAGTCTGAAATAATTTGACAGAATTATTTGGGTAACATTTTAACACCGTAACTAAGTAAGTTATGTATGTACGTATCTAAGTCATAACAATCTGTTATGGTACGAACGCAAGCAACTGTTTTCTTACTCCACCTGTTATGGTTCCAGCCTTCCAGGCCTGTTTTCCTGGAACCGTAGTGGCACTGTGGCTTGCCTTTTCACTCTGCTGCGCCGCACCAAGCACCACCAGGCAGTGAAGCAGCTTAACCATGAGCACAACCTCGTCGCAATGCCGTGGCTTCTCAATTTCTGTCTTTTCACCTGGACAGCAATCTTTCTCATGCATCGCTACGTCTACTCTTCGCGCACTACCCTAATGAATCTCGCCTTTGGCCATGCGTCCTTTGCGAATCAACGAGTACGGCGAGTTCAGCCTGACTAATGATCTGATCGACAACATTCCTCCTTATGCTATACTTTCACACACCTGGGGGGAGGATTATGGGAGGATTATGAAAAGGTCAACTTCAAGACTTGACGATAGGACCTAGGAAGACAAAATCTGGATACAAATAACTTCGCTTCTGTACACAGCAAGCGGCCCGCGATAATCTACAACATGTCTAGGTGGACACCTGCTGTATCGACAAATCGGACCATAATGAGCTTTCAGAAGCCATTAACTCTATGTTGCGCTGGTATCGCGATGCGGTAAAATGCTATGTATATCTCTCAGATGTTTCAACGAATGATCACGACGAGGTCAGCGCGTCCTTGCAGTCGTGGGAACCAGCACGTCGCAAAAGCCGATGGTTTACCCGCGGGTGGACACTTCAAGAGCTTCTTGCTCCGTCGTCGGTTGAATTTTTCTTTTCAAACGGCAAGCAACTCGACGACAAGAGGTCCCTAGAGAGACTGCTACACGAGATTACAGGGATCGCGGTTCCAGCTCTTCAACGCGCTCCTCTCGCTGAATTCAGCATACACGAGCGAATGTCATGGGCTAAATAGCGGCAGACTAAGCGCGAGGAGGACAAGGCCTATGCTTTGCTTGGCCTTTTTGGCATTCATATGCCGCTTATTTATGGTGAGGGGATAGAGAGTGCATTCGGCCGGCTTCATGAGGAATTTGATAAGAGAGTTCGTCCTATACAGCGTCGTGAGTATGTAGCTATGACTATCCTCTATCACTATACTATAAACGGATTACTGATTGAAAGCGGATATGCAGCCAGTCCAGTCGATCGCCTACCATATGCTGTCGAAGCGCCCTTTAACTCCTATTTGAAGCAACATAAGCCCATTTGCCTTCCCGATACCCGCGTCGATCTCCTTAGAAAGATAAATAGCTGGGTAGACGGACAAAGTGGGCAATGTATCTTCTGGCTGAGTGGATTAGCTGGCACGGGAAAGTCAACCATCGCTCGCACCTTTGCGGGAACACAATCTCAACGCGGTGGCTTAGTGGCCAGCTCCTTCTTCTCACGAGGTGGTGGGGATGTCGACCATGCAGGCAAGTTTGTTACAAGCCTTGCATGCCAGCTTGCAAACAGTATACCCACTCTTCACCAGCATGTTTGCGATGCTATCACGGGGTATAGCGACCTTACGGATCGATCGCTCCGTGAACAGTGGCATCAGCTTGTCTTGTGTCCACTTTCAAAGCTAGAAAGTACCGGCTACCAAGCATTGTACGTTCTTGTGGTTGATGCGCTTGATTAATGCGACGACGACGACGACATCCGGATTATCCTCCGTCTCTTGGCCGAGGTTCGATCGTTAGACAAGGTGCAGCTACGGGTATTTCTGACGAGCAGGCCCGAGATCCCAATTCGACATGGGTTCTATCAGATGCCGGATGAGGAATACCAAAGCTTTATGCTCCATAACATATCGCCGTCGACCGTTGACCACGATATCGCCATCTTCGTCGAAGACAATCTTAAGCTTATCCGACAGGAACGTTCTCTAGATGCTGGTTGGCCAGGCGAAGAGGCCCTCAGATATTTGGTCCAAGCTGCGAGCGGGCTATTCATTTGGGCCACAACCGCTTGCCGCTTTATCCGTGAAGGTAAACGACATGCTGCTCGAAGACTCGATACAATCCTTAAGAGCTGTGGCAGCGCTGGCACTGTTACAGCACCGGAAAAGCTAGGGTGGGTGTAAGAAACAAATGAAATAAAGAGGAGCCTGTAAATTACCGAATTAATGCAAGAAAGTAGTTTATTTCTTTCCATTATTTTCTTATCTAATTAGAAATCTCGTAGAAGCCCTTTGGCAGTTGGATTTCTCGCCCATAAACTTTCATGCCTTAGGCATCAACATACAGTGCGCTAAACAAATTGGGTTAGCGTTTTTTGCGAAATTTACATCGTATTCTTTGTTTCTTACATAAATTTGGGGGTTTCTTCGCAACAAATGTTTATTGCATGAAATTTACCCACCCTAGGAAAAGCACCTTGACGAGATCTACACCACTGTCCTTAAGAATTCTGTTTCCCCCGAATTCACAGATATAGAGAAAGAAGAGTCTTATCGTATACTAAGACAGGTACTCGGAAGCATCATTGTACTCTTCGCACCGCTTTCTGCAGACTCCCTGAGCAGACTACTGTATGTTCCCCTAATGAACATTAATCAGACGGTAGAGGATCTACACTTTATCCTGATCGTTCCGAAGGACAAAGCTCGACCCCTTCGTCTCTACCATCCTTCATTTCGGGACTTCCACTTGGACAACAATAGGTGCCTTGAACCAAGTCTCTGGGTAGAAAAGAAGCAAGCGCATTAGATGCTAGCCGAAGATTGTATACGGCTAATGTCAGCTTTGCTAAAGCAGGATATATGTAGCATAGGCGCACCCGGTATACTTGTAGCCGACGTTGATAGCAGCCTAGTACTAGAGTGCCTCCCGCCAGCGCTCCAGTATGCATGTTTCTACTGGATCCCGCATCTTCAGCAGAGCTCCACTCAGCTTCGAGATAACGACCAAGTACACCAGTTTCTACAGAAGCATTTACTTCACTGGCTTGAGTCTCTTAGCTGGATGGGGAAGATTTCTGAAGGGATCTGTGAGATAAATAGCGGTTTCGCTCAATCAGGTGATTAATGCAGCGACACAGTGGGAAAACACCGTTAGATTCCAAAAGAGCGTAGATAGATTGACCCTGATCCTGAAGAGCCGGATCCTACGAAAACAGGCTGTTCCTGCAGCTATTTTATATGGTTTACAATGGTGATCTTTTCCCTAAAAGGGGAAAGAATAGGGGTATAGAATCGAATGTGGAATGAAGCCGTGGGGAAACGCCAAGAAACATAGATATTCTGTGACAGGATCTATTATCGCTTCGCTAGGGTCGTTTGCTCCTGTTAGTTTACTTCCAAACGTGGCCAAAATCATCGCTAATATTTTGGATAGTCTATGTTGAATTGTTGATTGGTTTTGACGTGTCAATCAATCACGGAAGTCATAGGGTACCCGACATAGGGAGTGAGATGCTTATTTGTGTAAGAAGTAGGATACATGTTACATGGCAGAGTAGATGTCGCACGTGATGTGCTAAAATGGTTGGGAGTAAGGTGCTGTTGTTACAGCAGCGAAGTTGTTTGTATTGTGTGTGTTGTGTAAGTTGTGTGTTCTAGCTGAATGCCTGGTCCCCCGGCCCTACAGATATACGAGAGTCATGGCAAGATTATTAATGCAGTTTGTAGCCTTATGCTCCCATAGGCCATACACGATAGATGATATCCCGCGCCCCTGGTTCGTCAGCTGAAGCTTAGAGTACCTCATCCACACTGTGGACGCTAGATCCCTAATCTAGCGCCTACACTCTAAACGATAATGTCGTCTAAACGATAACTTGATACAGCTTCCAGTCTCCTTAAGCGGAGTTAAGCTTATTTATCCTCCGCCATTATGCCGAAAAATAATGATGCTATTGAATCTAGAATCCAGAGAGCCCTCCAATCAATCCCTCATAGCCAAATTCCCAATTTTAAGGAGTTGGAGCGTGAATTCGACGTGCCATACCAACGACTACTCGCTCGCTCAAAGGGCCGCAAGAGTCTATTCGAGCGGCCTAGTTGCACGCTGAAGCTTTCTACCACTCAAAATACTGCTCTAAAGGACTATCTCCGACGCCTCGATGACCTTGGAATCGCACCACGGATTACGCAAGTTATTTCGTGCGCAAATACCATCCTGAAGATCGATCACACGGCTAGCGGTCAGCTTGGCCCCTCACCGACGGTAGACACTCGCTGGGCATATGCATAGTTCAAACGAGGGCCAGAGGTCTATGCACGGAAAGCACGTGTGCTTGATCTTAATCGTAAAGCTGCTCATGATATCCAGGCTCTCGGGAGATGGTTTGAGCAGCTATACCATATTAAGATCCGATACGGAATCGCGACCGAGGACCTGTGGAATTTCGACGAGACTGGCTTCCGCGTCGGTGTAGGCAAAGACCAATGGATTATTTCGTTCTACCCGAGTAAAAAGCAGTATATTCCATCTCCAGAATGTCGAGATTCACTTACCGCTGTTGAAGCGGTAAGTGGTAATGGTAGTTACAGTAATCCGCGTCGACACTACATACTCTTTTTCATCTTCCTATTCAGGATATCAATTCTCTTGATCCCCTCCGGCCGGCTGCTCTTCAGGCCGCTCAGGCCGCTTTCCGGGGTATACGGTATCCGATTATCGACGAAAAATCTATGATCGGCCTTCGCCAGCTCTCCTATATTGACCGTCGTTGCCGCGAGATCTTTCCCGGCGTTGATAAGTCTTTCGGTGGTCTCTACATTCTCCTCTGTGGCGATTTCTTCCAGCTTCCTCCGGTCTTGGCAACTGCTCTTTATAACCAGAAGAGGCTTCCAAATCTAGATGAGCAGCATGGGCGTAATATCTACGACCAATTCGAGCGAACAATTAAGCTTGATGAAGTTGTTCGGCAGCAAGGCAATGACGTTGAGTCAATTTAGTTCCGCCAGGCTCTCGATCACCTGCGGATAGGCTCCGTAACTCGTGACGACTGGACACTGCTTAGTACACGAGTACAGGCCATGCTTCCATCTGAGGAGGTGGCATCTTTCCGGGATGCTCTCCGTATCTTCGGTAAGAAAGCGCCTGTCGCCGCGTTTAACTACTGTCGTTTGCGCGATCTTCGTTCTCCTGTTATGATATGTCGAGCAATTCACGAAGGAGGGGCAAAGGCAGAAAAGGTTCCGACTAATGAGGCAGGAAACCTCCATTCTGAGATTCCGATGGCATTGGGAACCCGTGTTATGTTGACAGAGAATCTCTGGACCGAACGAGGCCTGGTGAACGGTGCGATGGGAACAGTGCGTGATATTAGCTAGCAGGCTAGTGCTGATATCCATAAGGATCCTCCTTCCGTACTCCTCGTCCAATTCGATCGGTATGATGGACCGACGTTAGACATAGGCGGCTTTGCTTTAGTCCCAATCCTCCCATCACGCCGTGATTTCTATATCGGGAACACTTCCTACTCACGTTCACAGTTCCCGTTGACTATCGCATATGCCATCACAACGCATAAGTCGCAGGGAACGACTCTAGCACCGGCTGTGCTAGACATTTCGGAGCGGGAGTTCGCGCCTGGCCTGACCTACGTGGCAGTCTCCCGTGTAAAAAGCCTTAGAGGGATCATGTTTGAGGCTCCATTCGATTTGCAGGATTTGAACCCTCGCACGGAGAGCGAGACGATGAAGTCCCGGAAGCAGGATGCGCTTAGGAGGGAGAACCAGCATATCACGGGAGAGGTTTGTTTACATCATTTGAATTAATCGCGCGGTGTTGACATAGTGTAGGATATCCGACGGGCTGTCGGATTGCCATCCTCAATTCCGCTTCCTTCACAGGCGGCACAGTAGGGACGGAGCTCATAGCTTGGTGGCGTGGATGTGGAGGACTTCCGGAAGGCGGAGAGTGAATACTATAAACAAAGGTGGTTATGTGGCGCGAGATCAGGATCAAAACATCACTATACGACCAGACGATCAGACGATCAGATGAGAAAAGGATATCGTTTGAATTCCTAATTAGGAAGTATGCACTGGTCGTGAAGATGCTGTTTTTGAGCGATTCAGCTATTCCTCCCATGATTAAGAATACATACTTGATTAAAAATCCTACGGGAGGGTGATTCTTATTCTAGGAAGGCAGAGATCACGTGCTAGCTACGCTCGTGATGATTTGGGGCAGAAAGGTTGCCTTTATGCACCACTGGCCTATTTTAGGTATCATCAGTAAAGTGGAGGGAAACCCCATCACTAGAGGCAAAAGACCTAGAATTTAGGTGCGGATAGCGCGATTTGTGTAGACATAGGGGCTATCAGGTAAGATGAAAGCGGGTAGTAGGTAGATCCTGTTCAAACACCTAAAAAGAGCACAGATTTTCCTATGACACGATTATCCAATAAAAGATTTGCCCATTCGTCAATTTTGCTTTCCGGCTCGTGTTATTCCAATCTAGCCGTGTCTCGACCGGCTAAGCCTTGCCAATCGCGCTGCGGCCTCAGCAGGGCACATAACAGCTACACGCATCCGTTACGAGAAACTGTTCGTTAGGGCTTACCAAACGACTGGAAGCTTTTCGATTCCCACATCCCTATCCAGCGGCGTATACGGGAGCTCCTCCATAGGAACTGCCACTCGCAGATTCGGTAGTCTTTGGAAGAGAGTGGCTTCATGGCGTCATGAGTAACTACCCACATAAGAGTTCTCGCAAGGGTACTTACAGAACACAATCTCGAGCTCCGCCCGAGCAAGCCACTCCGCAATACAGCGATGTGGTCCGTATCCGAAGCCTAATGCTTCCTCATCCCAGCGTTTCCGATACATGTTGAACGTATCCGGGTCTGGGAAGACCTCCTCGTCGCGACTACCAGATTGGTTCGAGGCGATTATCCCTTCACCAGCTTTGATTTGCTTGCCGCCGAGTTCAAGGTCGACTTTCGCCACACGCCGCATGGCGAGGCCTGACCCGGTATGGTAGCGGCAGAGTTCCTCGACGAACGTCGGCGCGAGCGATGGATGTGCTTTAAGGTCGGCTAGCTGGTCGGGATGTTGAAGGAGCGTGACAACGCCCTAGAGTGACCGGTAAGTGCTTGCAGGCTGCATGCAATGCAATTCAGAGAGTAGGTCTTACAAGATTAATCATGTTGACCAGAGTGGCGTTACCAGCAACAAGCAGGAGAAATGCGATTTGAACGGCGTCCATCCGATCGATATAACCCGGTTTGATCTATACGAGTATGAGCAGAGGGTCCACAAGTCGCCAACAAAAGTTCGCAGTACCTGTTTGGTAACGAGGCTGCTGATTATATCGTCCTTCGGATCCTCCATTCGCTTATCCACCAGCTTGCCAAGATACACAAGCAGGGAGTCATTGGCAAGCTGTGCCTCCGACGCCGTAGAGCTGCCGTTTGTGCGGATTGCATTCTGATTTGTAAGATATGGGAGATCTTCGAAAGGCACGCCAAGAGCAGTATAAATGATCTAGTTAAATCAGTGGGCGACGAGCGTGCTTGGAAAACGAGACCCACGTATGACGGCACGGGCAAGGCAAAATGCTCCACTAGGTCTACTGGCTGCTCACATCCCTTTGCAATCATTGCTTCCAAAAGCTCATCAACCGTCTTTTGGATGTAGGGACGCAGACTGTTGACATGTGTCCGAGTAAAGAGAGCTTCCACCATCCCCCTGTCATGTCACGGCTGCCGTCAGCGGAACGTTCCGTATAATAAACGTCTAGCGATCGCTTACCTCTGTCTGCCGTGGTCTGGCGGGTCCATATCCACAAATGTCGGCTTATTCTTCGCTGCAGCCTTCCCACCAGGGCTCATCTCCGGAAATCCGGATGTGGTGCGAATCTATCAACTTCTATAAGCCATCCTGGATTGGGTTGAGCCTGCTATACTGTTGGAGATTTACCTTGGAGAGTCTATCATCGGTAGCAACCTGGCAAACATCTTTGTGCTTCACGACTAACCACGTCTGGCTGCCATCCCACAGCTTGACCCTGGAAACAGGGTCCGTAGCCCTCAATTTGGCGTACTCACAAGGCGGCTTGAGACCTGAGGCGCGCTTGAACGGGAAAGAAGGGATTTTCGGCATCATGTTGTGCTCGTTGCAAATTTCCGTCGACTTGCTGTTTTAATATTTAGGTTTGTTCAGAGAAGGAAATGAACCAGCATAGGAACCTCTACAGAGTTGTAGTCCTTGGATATTCCCCTTATATATATGATTGGCTAGCCTCATATACCCAAAACAATATAAAAAAATGGCCTGACACTTACGTACAATTCCATAGCTCTAAGTAGCATCTCCGGAGTGTCAAGCCAGGTGTAACCTGGTGATGCATTACAGTATAATGTGTAAGCAGGCTCTCCTGATATGCACGGATTAGGTTAGCGCACTAAGCAGCGTAGCTCTTGAGTAGCTGGAGAGCTTCACAATGACAGCGGAAGCTTCTTTTCTCTTTTCCTGTTCTTTGGAGATTAGTTCTAGCTTACAATTAATGAATGTCACGGCACGGTAGCTGGATGCACACAACATACGCGTAACTAAAGGTATTCCAGATTGAGTTAAAGAGTAGAGGTATCTGTACCAGAGGAATCTCAATGAGGTTCCATTTTGGCGCTAGGATTGATTAGGCCTAGACTCTCAGCCTATGCCAAGTTGCCAACCTTGGGCCATGCCCATTGTGAGATAAATAGCGGTTTCGCTCAATCAGGTGATTAATGCAGCGACACAGTGGGAAAACACCGTTAGATTCCAAAAGAGCGTAGATAGATTGAACTTGATCCTGAAGAGCCGGATCCTACGAAAACAGGCTGTTCCTGCAGCTATTTTATATGGTTTACAATGGTGATCTATTCCCTTAAAAAGGGAAAAATAGGGGTATAGAATCGAATGTGGAATGAAGCCGTGGAGAAACGCCAAGAAACACAGATATTCTGTGACACCCATAACATACAATATCTTTCGCCTTTACGACGAATGATATGGAGCTTGCCTTGGGAACCAAGCCCAGCATGTGACTCGTCGCTAAAACGTACCCTCCGCCAGTGATCTGCTGAGCGAACCTCCCCTGATGCAAGAAACTCAGTAGTAAGCGTGCAACAGAGAGCCAGAAACAGCAAATCTTCCCTTTTGGCTTCACCGGAATGTGGAAGTGAGCCATATTCCGAATTATCCCCCATGTCAAGTCGCGGGGGACACTGGTCTGACTGAGATTAGAGATGTGCGCACCTTCGCGTCGCTTGCCCGTTGTTTGCTTATCGTTTGTTGGTCATTGTGTAGATTTCATTTCCGACCGGAATCGGCACGGTATCAGAAAATGTCGAATTACATTATTGAAACGCCACGAGGTTGGTTTGCCGGATCCTAATAAATGACTTGATGTCTGGCTCCGCCGTGGAGAATCTGATATACAACGCAAGTCATTCCGGCCCAGCGACTTTTTCACGCGTCAAAGTGTTGTTATGGAACAGCAAAGCCCTTCACATCTATGTATTTGCAGCTTCTCAACATCTCTCATACAATTCTGATTCACTGCCACCCCTGTCGATTCCTTTTCGTGGATTAGCATTCAAAGTGCAGCCATGCTCGGGAGCCTTGCTTCGGTGAATCTTTCCATATTTGGTGTACTCGCAACGCTGTTCACATTCCTTGGGTCCAGTAATGCTCAGTATATCCAGAACTGGCAATGGCTAACTACTGCTGGCGAGTTGAAGCCCCACTGGTACCCTTCTCCTGGGGTGGAGCCTTTTCGAACAGACCACATTCCACAGACAGGTATGGGGGATACCTGATCCCGACCGCGACAGCACAGCTCGCTAGTTAGCCGTTCAATCTGTTTCCACAGACTTTGCGATGCTTGGAAGAGTGCGAAGGGTCCCACTCGTTATAAGAATCAAACCCATCGTAAGAAGGTCGTGTCCCTGGCTCCGATGCATTGTATTTGTTTTATTTCTGGCCCCTAGTAATGTTGACTTCCGAGTACATGTAGGAGTAGGAGATAACTTCTTTTCTCCCACGATAACTCAATTCGGTGGCATCGATCGCTGACGAATGCATCCGGATGCTTCGTCGCCCTGCTCGGTCCAACTACGCTATAATGACATACCACAGATCACCAAATCCGGTAACGAGCCTCCGAATAGTCTTTACGACTACCGTGAGTAGTCCCCCGCTATATTGACCATGTTCTGCTGCCGTTGTGCCATAGGAGTCTGGGCAGGATTGTGAGGCGGATATCTCTCCGGCGAGGGATACAGGAGCATGTCGAGCTTCACCTGAGCTTGATGCTCGCCCTATGACGGCGGAAACCCTAGTCAGTTACGACCAACATAGACGACATCAGGGAAGACTTACTCCTCGTCTCGAGAGCTACTCCATTTGCGAACGCTCGAGTGACACCGAAATGGTAGGCATTTACTTACCAATGAATCTTAGTACCGCTGGCAAGGTGATGTCGGAACACGCAGTTAAGGAGGGCGCATGTCATGTTGAGGTTCTCTTCGGCGCAGCTCGCATGAAGATGGACTGAAATATCATCTTGGATCATCTGCTGTCGGACATTTGGTACGAATGATATCGTCTTCTTTGGAATCGAGGTCGGTGCGTCTTATTAACCACCTAGCTTGCTTCAAGGATGCCAATGGCGCCGGCGCGGTATTTCTCGTCGGCACTGTTCATACTACCATGGGATGGCACTGTATCGTGTCCTGGGCGTTCTAGATGGCTGGATTGATCTTTTGTTATAATACTCTTGTGTGATACGCTGTCATTTTTCAATGTCATATCACCCGAAATTATGAATGCAAGTCCAGATGTATACAAGAAACTTCATGTGTACGCGAATAATGATAAGCCATAATACATACATACATCAAGCTCACTGTGCCTTCTCTTCATTACGCCACGTCAGCGCCGAGCACTGCGCACATGTCACAACGTTCACAACAAAGCAAGGAGATAGGTAAGAGCACCACCTAGAACAGCGGCGAAGCCCACGTCGGTGACGGTCTGAGGTACAGCCGCGCCCGTGAACGTCGGGGGCTTGCTAGGAGCCGGCTTGGAGTACGTTGCGGGGTGAGAGCTGGTACCGTTCTGACTGGCGGTTCCCGAAGCGCTGCCGGACGGTTTCTGAGTAACCGTCGCGGTGGCGGTGGCGGTCGCGGTGCTCGTTTTCGGCGGCGCGCTGACGCCGAGAGAGGCGGCGCAGGACGAGGCGTCAATTCCCTGAAAGCGGAATTAGAATCGGCATTCAACATGCTTCTATATCGGAACTTACGCTCGGGCAGCAGTATGGGCTGACGAGACAGAAGGAATCCGATGGACATGCCCACTCGCTACTGCAGCAGGTGTGGCCTTCGCTTGGATTGTAGCAGAGTCGGGGAGCTGAGGATGTCTTCTCACGGCCTGGATAGCGTTAATGGACTGTATTCTGCCGAACGAATGGGTGACATACAAGCCTCGTAGCCTTCACCAAACGCCTCGACACAACTGGCTCCTGGAGAAGAGATGGTTCCCGGTACGAATTGCCCCGACTGACGACGAGCAAGATCGTTGGAAACGATCCGAATATTCTCCTCTGCGACGACACTCCCTACGTACCCACTCACCAGGGCAACCGCAGTGAAAATAACGGAACGCATCACGCAAGGTTGAACTTTGGCGGACGAGAGAATGATAAGGATAAGTAAGGAAGTGCTAACGACAGGATAATCAGCAACGAGCGACTTCGCATACGTTGTATGCAGGTGACGAAACGAGCGGCAACACTGGGGAGAATCCAGCAGGGAAACGATGGGTTTTCAAGGAAGATGGGATCAGCGATATTGATTTAGGAGAGAAATGGCAGGACATAAATAAATTAACTTGACGACGGAAAACCCTACCGAATGAGCCGCTATATTACTCTCTTGGCTTAGGAGCCATGAAGACATGGATTGGCATGGCAATTGGCAACACACTTGCCAGACGGGAAATGAAGAATGTACGAGAAGCGTATCGGCTATCGCAGGACTGTAGAAAAGGCTCGGTGGCTATTACCAGGTCCCTCCTCTAGATAAAAAGAAATATGGCGGGCGGGTGATGAACTGAGGCATCGAGTCTTGAGTGGCTTACGTGCAGATTATCGCGAACCATTGAACAACAGTGGCAAGTATATTGCCCGTATTCCGTACTCCCATCGCTAATGTGAAAACGATGAAGCAGAAGGATGGAAGATAGTTATGAAGGGGTCTGGTCAGTTTCAGGTAGCTATCCAGGCACACGACCAATAGTAGAGCGGGCGATATAGACCCCGGTAGCGCCCACACTACCGAGACTCAATCCAATGCCAGGAACAGGGAAATTAGGAATAGAAATTGGAGATTGGAATTCGTCCTGGGAGCATTCGGATTCGACCGTGATCTTGGTCCTTGGTGTTGGCTTCCCTCCCAGCATCTGATCCGGCGTCTTGGTTGGCCGGCCAATTTATTAGCGAGTGATGAAGCGGTTGACTGCCACGCCTGCTCTCAGTGGTCGACGGGATGTGGTGCATACGGGCCACCCCTTATGAAGTCATGAATCTTATTTGCGCGTTATGAGCCCTGTGACGGCTCGATGGTCGACTAGACGGCCTGTGCAATGTTCGCCGTGGAGAAGGCAGGAAATCTACACAGGACTAGAAATTGGCACACGACCAAGATTGTTCTCATTTCCCCGCGGTCTTGGAAGGCAGACTTTGTCTCCCGGCGCTGCGGTGAACCGCGGCCGGGATTGGGCAATGAAAAATTGTTTAAGATCCCAGGAGATCTGCCCGGGTCCTAGACCGATCAAAGGCATTGTTTCCTTGGCCAATGGCCGGCAGGCGGAAGGCATGAGACTCCGTTTTGATTGACCGACTGAAATGAGTACTCGAACTTTACGTCTTTGGCTATCGAGCGATTGGAATCAAGACTAGCGGCGGCACAGTCAAAACGACCCTAAGACTATAAGACCGTGCAGCGTCTTATACAACTGTGCCAGAGTTGAGAAGCCGATTCTGCGACCGCCCACAACACCCAAGTAATGATATTATTACTTCATGGTCTTGGGTGACGATACTCTGAGCCGAATTCGGATCATCAACCTCTTACCTTAGGATTCGACAGTTGTGTGGCAGACTTGCCGAGTCGAGCAATGTAACGACGAAGTAACAATAATGTTTGACTTGAGATAGCAGAATACGGTAACAAATATACTCCCAAAAAGGACGCTCCAATCCAGCAATGCAAGATACTAGATGTCAAAACCAAAGCGCAAGTATGCTTCAGGATTATCGATTCTCCCGCTCTAGATGTCACCTCAGGTCAAAAGGATATCAAACGAAGCCACGTTCAGCGAACGACTGCCCGCACGCTCTGACGCGATGGAGTGTGAAACATGTCCGAACCAGATCCTCATAAACGCCGATTACAACTACGTAGTGAAGACGGGAGGGTGGAGTAAGAAAGTCGAATTCCGCCCCAGGCTTGGCGGCCCTGCAAGTGCTCGTGTTTTTGTTAGCTGTCCATTCAGTAATGGCCCGCAATGAGTTTCCGCTCCCCAGATCGGAGCACTACTGTCGCGTGACTACTACCACAGCAACGATGACGGCGATCGCGATAAGGATGAGAACTATAGTCGTCAGCATGCGCAAGGTAGAAAAAAGGGCTTAGGGGGACGCACTGCAGATGAGAAGGCACCACCACTTCTTCCTTCTCGCGCCCCGCGCTTTGATAATACCGGTGTCGAGCTCCGTATTGCCTTTCACAATGTTCTCATGCACCTCCTCGCCCTTCTGTTCGATCTGGACCACCATTTCGTCCTGCTGCATGACGACGGCGTCCAGGTCTTGGAACAGCTGCGCCAACTCGATCATCTGGCGCTCGATCTTCTGGATCTCCGCGTGCCGCTGCTGAACCGCCCCGAGGGTTCGCTGGGCTTGTCCACGACGGTCGGATTGCATGAGCTGTGATTCGCCTTCGTCAGCATCACTTCGTAATTGTAGCCATCGAGCGTTCAGAGATACTAACCGCCTGACTGAAGATCGGCCCGCTTGGTTCCTCCACGACGGCTTGGATTTCCTCTTCGGTGGCTTCCGGCCGCACAATCTTGTATTGCCGTGCCGTCTGCTGTTGCAGCTCCTTTCGCATGTCCCGCTCCTGCGTCTGATACTTGTTGATCATCGCCTTTAGTCTCCGGTCCGCTCTTCCCACCTGTGGTGCGTTCCTTGTGGATCCGGATTCTGGGTTCGACTTGATCCGCTTCATCCGGTCGACCAGACCTCGATATGCGGTCATGATGTCTTGTGCTTTGATATCGACGGACTGGCCGCCTTGACGGAGGTCGGTATTCGTGTCGTTGAGGCGGCGTTGATGGAGCCGGTTCAGTTCCTGTAGGTCTTCTTCAAGGGACTCGATGGTGCGGTCGATGTCCTGCACGTCGTTGAGGAGGGAATTCCCTCCCATTCCGCCTTGGGGAGCGCCGAATGATGCCTGGGGAGGTCGGTTGAAAGATCCCATTTCGACGTCTCGAGCTAAGGACGTCAGTCGAGTTGGTGAGAAGTGTTGGCCAGTCTTACATCCATAGCCTGAATTTCCTTCATTTGGACGCTGATCGTACGGGTTTTGTTGGTCGAAGGAATCAATCTGGCCGTAGCCTCCTTGATTATATCCTCCGTATCGTGGCATGATCGCGGTATTGGTCGAAGGAGAGCAATGTGAAGAACAGTATATGCTCTAGAATATCAACAGTAAAATGTACAAATGATTTGAAAGTCCACCGCCGGTGAACGATATCCAGCGGCCTGAAACGCGGAGACGGCTCGAACGTTTCGCACTCCTTGACGCGCTCAACCTGAAATGGAGTCACTACCCCTGCGCAATGCTGAAATCGAGCAAGTCACCAACGATAAATACTCGGGAAAACAAAGAGCGGGCAATGGCGACGCTCCAAAGAAAAACTCCGGGTATATAGATGAAATAGAAATGAAACGATGTGGTGGAAGATGCACAGCCGGAACGATGGAGGAGCTGAAAAAGGGACACGAGCTGCCGAGATCAGCACTTGGGGTTGCTAACTAGCTTTGGGGCTGGGCCGCGTCGGGGCCCGGGGCTGATGGATCGACTCTCCTATGGCCTAATGCAGCCTTGAAGACGGTAGCATTGCTCGGCGCTGTAATAATGTAACGATCTGTATGGCGTATGCAGTAATATGTAATGCTGAGTATTCCATAGAACGCCTTAAAATCATAAGATACGCCACGTTGTTGGAGTGCTTACAAGAGACGCACTTTGATACGCCAAAGACACTGTTCATGCAGTAAATTAATTAGGATTCCAACAGCGACCAACAGAGGAACCTGGGTAGAATCTGTATTGTCATATACATAATTGCCGTTTAGGGCCTTTGGACGCATTATAATAGTCGTCCTGGGCAGTCGATATGCCAATCCAAGGTCTGGTGCGCTCTTACGCCACCCTTCTTCTTCGATGCTGCGTCGCAGTCTCAGAGTCTATATAAAACATTCAATGAAAAATGGAGCCCAACGCTTCTCTCGGACCACACCTACTTCCCCCATCGAGCGCTCTCGTCCCCGCCTACCCATTCATGCTCGACATACCCCAAGCGGCGCTTCACCTCTTTGACCGTTTCACTGTCCCCCGTGTTCTTCCCGATATTATCACTGATCTTAATCGCCGGGTTGCCCGAGGCCGAAGATATCTTGATGACAATGTTCATGGGAGTGGACTTGTGCCCGGTGGTCGTGCTCACGAAGTCGTCTGCACGTTGATGTTAGTTACTTGACGTTGCTTTGGGTATACCAGTCATACTCGTGAAGAATGTCCCGACTCCAAAGCTTGGCTGGAAGCCGCTGGCCTCGGCTGCGGCCTTGTATTTAAGGCACAGATCCGTGGTTAGAGAGTCAGAAAAGACAATGCTTTTCTGATCGGTAATCCCTTCCTGATCATAGAATTTTCGCATCGACTGAATGAACTCCAATGGATCTCCCGAGTCTTGCCGGACGCCGGTATACGCCTGAGCGAATGTCTTCTCGGTACCGGCCGTGCTCTGCTCAATCCGCTCGTATAGACCGTGCAGTTCCGATGCTTGCGCATCGGTCATACTCCCACGGCGTTGCGGCAGACCGGCCAGACGATGGTCAAACATATCGGCTGGCCGGATTTTCTTCCGAAACGCTTTGAGAAATGCAGGTGTGCCAAAGGTGTCCGTCAGCATGACCGCGAGAACCTGAAGAGATTAGCTCGGGACGATTGAAGGACGTTGTTTTGGGCTCTCACCCCTTCACCGAATGTATTGATCCAACAACGCAGACCGATTTCGTTGGCATTCTCATAGTCGTTCGTCGCCGCCGCGATTCCCATGAACCATTCGTGGGCCACGGTGCCGACCGGCTGCAGTCCCATCGACATGGCGAAGTGGACGTTGCTGGTCCCGGTCAATTGGCCTGGCCAGCCGTTATTTTCGCCATCGTTCTTCGCCTCGATCATGCCCTGTAGGACCAACTTCTGCGCGTGATAGTTCCGCCGCCGCCTGCTTCCGAATTCCGAGAATCGGCACCCGGCTTTTAACAGCTGCGTGCCCTTCTCTTTGGCTTTCTCGACTTGGCCATCATAGTTCCAGTCGCGGTCGCGGAACTTGAAGTATGCCTCGCTGACCAGTGCGAGGAGTGGGATTTCGTAGAGGATGGTTTCGATCCAGCGCCCCGAGATTTTTAACTCGATGCCACCGAGCTCTTCATCGCCCTCGGAACTCTCCGCGTGAAATTTCAGTGACACTTGCTCGCTGGGTTTGAACTGGAACTGTTCCAGATATGCCAGATAGGCTTGGTTGAGGTACGGGCACGTCGCACCCAGGAACTGGAACTCGTCTGGCGTGAGACGGATGTTCGCCAGACCTTCAAAGCTGACGTGAGAATCTGTGAGCAACATGATACGCGAATCAACTTACGATCGATCTGCTTCTGTAACCATTGGACGGCGGTGCGGCTCAATTTCATATTCGGGGTTCTATTGGTCAGGTGGTACGTCGCCTCTGATTACAAGGTTAGAGCATAGCAATACTGCACTTCATATGACTGTTGCGTACCTATATCCGGAAAGTACCTCAGGATGCATGCTGGACAAGGTAAGTTCAAGAACCGAAATGGTGGAGTTCCCACGCACCTTGCATCGTGAGCTTATAGAGATCCCTACAGATGATGAGTTTGATATGAAATCCATGCGACAAACATTACTCACGTATCCAAAATGGAGAACACCCCTTCCGGGACATCCTGTTGGTTTTGCCCTGCCATGCCACGGATATCGGGGTGACGTAGTAGAGCTGGTTAGAAGTCGATGGATTGGGGAGAAACTTGCAACTCCAAGATCGATATCGGATGCGATGTCAGCAACATTTTCACTTCCAGAATCAAGCCGGCTCCATGACCGGCGATCAGTTGCAATGGTTACAGAAATTCTAAGTGACCCGGAGTGGATTAATGGTGATAGGTACGTACAGTCAGAACTCAGAAGCTGTCACCCTGGTGGGATTTGCGTATCATCTGACAAGGATATTGTGTATTGTGCAGTAGTCCCCCTCAGTCTGATGGTGTAAGTAACATAATAAACATGTCATCAATTGAGGAATAACAGCCACTTTTAAGGCGACTGCTATCTTTAGGTGTGGTTAGAGCTCCACCCTAGTCTAACATTGAGGAATTCTTCAACAAATGCGTCTGGCTATGCTACACAATTACCGTTTTGACGTTGCTTTCAGCACCTGTCCCATCGGAGTTGCCCGAATCCCTTGCGAGGTACATTCCACGTCATTCATAGCGGGAGCGAAATACCCGATATCGGGTATTTTGCTATGGAGCCTTCAAAATTCGAATGATTTGTACATCTATGAGGAGCAAAACTCCCGATATCGGGTATTTTGTGATGGAGTCTTAGAAAGTCGTATATCTAGTGAGGAGCGAAATACACGATATCGGGTGTTTCGCGATTGTTCGACAACCCCTTTAGTTGTACTGGGACTTCGGGAGCTAAGTACCTGATATCGCGGGTTTGGAGATAGCACCTGCGAATATCCATTTATTTCAAAACATGCATGCAGAACGAAATATCCAATATCGGGTATTTCGCGACAGAGCCTCCAACAATCCCATTGTTTGCATCGGTAGCAAAAATACCCGATATCGGGAATTTCGCGATAGAGCCTTAAAAAATCCAATTCCATGCTGACGGAGTCATGATACCCAGTCTAATTACGCCAGGCCTGAGAAACCCGCTATGATGTCGCTTTTCCACCACCATTTGCCCTCGTCACAGTTCCTTCACCTAAGCCCCGCCAGTCTCCGATCCTGCGTCTCGGTCAGGGCTCGGCTGCCCGACAAGAAGGCAACCACGCCCACCACGCTCACAGCCGGCAGCACCTGGAAGAGGTTCCAGCTGGTATAGTACAAGAAGAAGACGCCCTCCAGCGCGACCACGGAGCCGAAGAACAGCACGTGGGCCACCGGCGCCTGGGAAAACGCCTTCGGGGCATGGTCCACGTTCGCTCCCAGCATCGCCCAGCCCACCAGCAATGCCGGCAACGCAGCTAGCGTCGCCAGGGTGAAGACCAACGAGATGATCTTTGGGGGACTTTGCGGGTCGGAACGGAAGATGTGGTGGATCTCAGGAAGCTTTCCATATCGAACTGGCTTCTCGGGGATCGAAATGGGGGCCGCCAGGTCGCGGGAAATGTCGACCGTGAAGGCAGGGACATTGTATGGAGTGGACGATCCGAACGAGCCGATGATTATGGAGGCTTGAAGGGAATCCGAGGATGTGAGGAACTGGATGGGAAGGTCTTTATGTGTCTAATAAAGTCGGTCAGCAAGGGCTAGGCCGCGCATGTATGGAGTCCTTACAATTTCCACCTTGCCTTTCCCTGAATCACTGATGCTGAACGGGAAACTCTCCTCCAAGCGTGTGTCCTGATCATGGAGCACCAAAAACGCCTGATGTGGCCTTCGCCCCGTTTTCCCTTCTTTGGCCGTCAGGACTATCTTGAGCGTCTCTCCCGTCCCAAACGACAGCGGATTCACCACGGTGGAGCCTGGGACGATGCTGTCATGACCGTTAAACACCAAACCGACAGCCCCACCCATTGACCACGACTTACCTTTCTTTCGATCGCGCGGCATTGCCCGCACCCTTCCCTTGTACGATCACGGAGGCATCGGAGAAGCTCCAGGACGATGCGGCAGATGTCAGGAAGGCATTGCCCAGGGTCAGCCAGAGGGTAGATGTGCTAAAGAACCTCATCGCTACGACGAGCGTGTGAGAGCACTGGAGAATGTGGTGGCAGGTTTGATAGAGATATCAAGCTCATGTAGTAGCTGGTAGGTTGTCTGTCCATCTGTTTGTAGACTGGAGTGAGGACACGAAATCCATACAGGGGTCGCGTCATGGGCAGGGACTCAAGTTAGTGCCTTAATGCCTGAGGACAGCAACACAAGTCCAACAAACTGTCCAAGGATTTACTTTGGCACGTGACCATGCACGTGACTTTGAGCATTGAAACATCCAAGGTGCTGACAATCTCCAATTAATCTCGCGATACTATGTTACGGCCATCGCAAGATCCAGAAGACAAGCAACCAGACCAGCACGGTTCCCCAGAACTCCAGGTATCCAAGGACTGACCACTGCCTTGCCAATTGGCAAGAATCCGCGCCATGCGACCAACATCATGCCTGCGCCTGTTCGCCGGGCTCCGGATCTCTGAACCGTCCCTGCACCTCCGCCCGTCCTCAATCCGACCGCTCGCACTCCCTCAAACCACGCCGAAACGGACCTTCTCCCATTCCCCCGTATCGCACACGACCTACAACCAGGTCCTCCGCGGCTGCCGTGTCGCCCAGCGCGCGCGACAGAAGCGCTCTCCGGCCCTGACCAATCGGCCGGAGATGAAGGGCGTCTGCCTACGGGTCACCACGACGAAGCCGAAGAAGCCCAATTCGGGGGACAAGAAGATTGCGAGGGTGCGGTTGAGCACGGGAAAGGAGATTACGGCGTATATTCCAGGGGAAGGTAGGGTGATTGGGCATGTGAATGGATGGACGGGGCTAATGGAGTTGCAGGACATAATATCCAGCAGCATTCGGTGGTGTTGGTGAGAGGTGGGCGGGCGCAGGATATACCCGGTGTCAGGTATAAGCTGGTTCGGGGCGCCTTTGACCTGGTACGTCAAAGCTCGATTGCACGATTGCACGGCACCTTGAACCTTGACTAACATTTCATGTCTAGGGCGGTGTTGGAAACCGGCGGGGGGCACGATCGAAATTCGGAACAAAGAAGCCCAAGACAGTATGATGTACCTGTGCATGTATAGTAGTCTTCGAGAGCATTTGCGTGGCGTTTACGGAGGATGGAAAGCACGGGAGGTTTGACGAAACCTTGTACAATCAATGACGACTTTTAGCTCTATATAGCGTCTCTACCGGATGGATATATGAGCTCAAATACTGTAGAAGTAACACCATTTGATCGCCTCCAAACATAGATAGAATTTAGTGTTTATAGTCAGTCTACCTCGTCCTGCTCGGGATCCTGCTTGTCCGCCGATTTTTCCTCTTCTTTGAGCTTCGGCTGCTTCTTTTGCACCTTTGTTTCTTCGGGGAACAACTCGGCGAAAAGGTTCGGCAGGAACCGGTCTAAGCGTGTCCACGTTTCATTCCATAGCTCCTCTTGCTCCGGCTTCTCGTTGGGAGAAGCGAGATAGCCGCCACTCGACATGACCAGCAAGATATTTTTCAAACTTTCCGGAACAGCCTCTTCCTGTGTCAAGTTAGTAATTGCAAAAAAATCCGTGCGCGCAACGTACTAAGTTGTCGCCCTGGCCACTATTCATCAGCCGGTCCATGATGCTCAAGATCTTGATCCATAAATCCAACATTCCCTCCCACTCCGACAAGGCCACCAGATAGTGTAGGAAGATCTTGCATAGCATCGTGGCAGCTTGCACCCGCGTTTCGCCCATGCCCACAGGATCGGACTGGAAGACTTCCGGCTTTAGTAGTTGGTTGATGAGCGGGAAAAGCACGTCGCCGAAAATCGCCGTCCATTCCGTGTGGTCCGGAGAGGTGAGATCTTTCGATAGAAGCGTCCGCTGGAGACACGAGAGGGCGTGGTGCCGAACCTCCCGGCATGGATTCAGACACTGCATGGTCAGCGCTCGGAAAATCGGAGACCAGTACGCGTTCCATGCTTCCGTGGCTTCCAAGTGGGACTGTTCAATAAAGGTAGGGATGCGCCCCGTCACGGTGTAGATCAGATGGATCGACGTGACTCCACGAGCGACTACATCGTTTTCCTTCAGCTTCACCGGCTTCTTCCCCCGCCGGGCCGCATGATCCCGTCTCTGCTCGTCGATCGTGCCGATGCTTCCGGCGGTTGCAAAATTGTTCAGCAGCTCGATGGCTCGTTCGTAGTTGTCGGAGCTGAGGCAACTGTGGGGTCCCGTGATGAGCTGCTCGGTGAGGGAGAACACCTTGGGTGCTTCGTCGGCGATGGCATGCAGCGAATCGAGGATAGACCAGAAGTCGGGAGACGTGACGAGCTCGTTGCGGAGACCGGAAGGGGTTTCAATGCATTCCGACAGGCCGCGAATGAGAGGTGCTGCGGTGTTTTGTAGGAGCTCCTGATCGAAGCTGGAGATCTGATGAAGGACGACGGGTGCTCGGATGAAGTCATGGTTCTATAAAACGTCAGAATCAAAGAGAGAAGGATCCAACATTTTTACGCACGCCGCTGGCTTTCAGAAGGCTGAAGAGGTAGAAGACTGCTCGAGAAATTACGATGTAGTGGAAGTTCGATGCATCGCGAATGACCGATTGAAGCGCCTCTGCGGCATCTTTTCCCAACGTCTCGATCGAGGGCTCGTCCCGGAGCGTGAGTATTGTTGCGAGTTCGAGAATGAAGACGGTTCGAGAATCATATACAGCCGCAGTATTTCGGGCCTTGTGTCCATTCGGTCGGATTGGACTGGGGGGAGGCATCTCGGGTTTCACAACGATCACTCGTGGGGAGGCATCCTCGGGGAGCTGGGATAGAAGAGCCGAGACAAGAGAATTGAGCGTGTTTAGCGGCATTTGACTTGGTTCGGTCAGTCCGTGTCCTTCACTTGAGAGGGCCCGACTTACCTGATGTTGGCAAACACCTCCTCAATGTTGCAGGTACCGATGCAATCGACCGTGCAAAGCGTGTATTCAAGCTCCTGGTCGGATGGCTCCGGCGGTTCGTCATTCGCGAAACTGGAGACATATGAGGACAACGTCGAGAACAAGCCGCCAGCCTCGCTATTTCGCTCCCCACGGTCAATGATTTGGACCGGTGGCTGCAATGGAATGGGCGGAAGGTCGAGATTGAGTTTAATAGTCCCTCCAGGGGCAGGAATCAACGAGTTCACGAAAAGGTTGAGGAAGATCCGAACCACCTAGACGATGCGTCAGTGATGTGCCTCAACTTTGAATCATTCAACTTACCGGTGTCCAGCCGTCCCGAATGGCTGCCTCGTTCCCATTAATCACCTTGAACAGGACGACCACAGCCAATTGCGCTCTAAAATCGCGACCAAACCGTACCGCCGTCTCACTGACCATGACGCTCTTCTCTCCCGCCTGCACTTCCGTGTTCAGGGATGTATTCGGCGGCGTCTCGGATGCAAGGGTGCTGATGGAGCTGAGACAGAAAATGATATGATCTAGAGCTTCGTTCACATTGTACTTCGCCGCCAGCTGTGCGCATTGATGAAAGCCGGTAATCACGCGGGAGAAGACGGCGTCATCGGATGCGGACATAAATACATAGGACAGCGTGGAGACGATCGGTTTCCAGGTCGCGGCGAAAACGTCGGCATCAAAAATATTCGTGTCGCAAAGGATGAGGTCGGAGGAGGTGGAGACTTTCATGAGCAGCTCTTTCCAGCCATGGTCGTATGCATGCTTGGTATTGTGCTCTTCCGGGAGAATGATCTCGTTGGTTTTGATGGAGTCGTAGATGTCTTGCAGAAACTGCGGATCGAAGTCATCGCCGCTATTGACTCCCCGTAAATTCCTCGAGAAGTCGAGGATGGTCATCCGAGCTGCGGATTTCAGGTTGGGATTATGTTGATCCGTATTAAGCATGATGATTGCATATGTCAAGACAAATGCGGCATCTTTATCCGCGATGCCTTCGGGAGCCGCCATTCTGCAGTATTTCTCCGTGAATATGGTGACGATCCGTTCGATGAGAGCGGATTCGCCGGGGAGGCGGAATGTATGAAGGAGTTGTCTAAGTGCTTCGTCTATCCTTTGACCGGAAAAGTTGAAACTCTCCATGAACGCATCTAGAATCTCCTCGTTATTCCTCTTGGAGATAAAGTCTCCAAGGACCCTTTTATCGACTCGTGAAGTGGCTTTCAGGAAATGCGCGACCGAATGTGGGCTATTCGGATCGTCGATTACGCCTTGAGAGGCAAGGAAGGCGATGCCCCCTTTCGGGTTTTCGTTGAATTTGCTTGCACCTTTGATGATGACGGTCTTCAAGCGCCGCCGCTCGCGAAGTCTCTCCAAGTCGGGCAGCGCTCGTGGGCAATGCTCGTCATCCAATCGATCGGACATGGACTGTATTAATCCCAAGAGCGAGTCGAGACATAAAGGAGGAACATTTGTGGTACTCCAGGTTGCGGAGTCCGGAATGGCATTTCGCGATAACAGCCCCACCATGTCCATGCAGAGGTCGTTTCGATCCACGTCGCAATCGTAATTGACGAAGAGCTCCGCCATGAAAGCGGGCAAGCGAACCAGCGCACCGATGCTCTCTATCATTGCTTCCCGGGCCTCCGGCCTCCGTTGCCCCCCCTCCAGGCCAAGTTTCTGACGGTCCTTGACCGGTACGGGTGTGGAACGGCCGCTGGAATGCCCTTGATTGTTCTGGGACGAGGGCTTAGCTAGACTCGCAGTTTGGGGGATGCCGGCATACAGCCGTGGGTCGATCCCGGGCTCGTGCGGAATCTCGACTCGTGGAAACAGGCACGTAATCAGGTACGAAAGGAAGAGCTCTTGCTGAAGCTTGAGGACCTTTCGACATGTAGCAAGAAGCGTGCCTGCCACACGAAGGGATTCGTTAAGGATGGCCATATTTTCCGACCGAACCAGTTGGAAGAGGTGGCGGCAGAGGGTGTCTTTTGCTAGCGATGCTAGGCTGGGATGGTTTGCAATGGACGGCCCCGCAACTTCGAGGGCAACGTCCACGATCCGGAGGGCCATGATCCGCATGGTATCCGTTCGCTGTTTGTCATGCGGATCCAACAGATCCACGAGAACGCGGAGAAGCTCTCGTATGGATGGGAGGGAGTACGGCTTGATCTCGGCAGTATCCTCCGTGGCCTCTGCTTCTGACAAGTCCAGCTGACTCGCATTGAGATCTTTGGTTGTATCCTCGGTATCGCCTTCCGACGTTCTCTCCGCACTGCCATTCGAAATAGTATCCTCATTCTTGCTCTCGGGGACCGTGAGTTCATTGCCAGCGACAGCGGAATCCATTCTCACGGACTCCATGTCATGCTTCGTTTTCTCATCCAGCGCAGTCGGCTTGTCCCCTGCCTCCAGTTCAAGGTGCTTCAAGCGCTCGAATATCACCTGACACATCGAGACCATAGATATCTCTGCCGCCCTTCTCAGGACTTCGGACAGCCGATTCTGGCTACACATGCTCAGCCCCGTCTCCATCAGCTCACAGACGCTCTCGTCACCGAGAATGTCGCCGACGGGGCCCGAGATCATCCGTTCCATGAGTTTCAATATCCTCAGGAGGACCACATCATCTGCGGCGTTATCGGAAGCTTCGAAGCGGCAGTGGGTGATTGCGGACGAGAGGAGCTGCATTGCAAGCGGTAGTCGCGGAGAAGCTTTGGAAATTATGTCATATGACAAGAATTTCGTAATGGCAATGAGCGCAAGAGATGTAATCGGTGCGGTAGTTGAGGATGATCGAATGACTTGAAGGAAAGGGTGAAGCAGAGAGGGAGTATCGAAGGTTTTGACGTCTATCCAATACACGTTAGTATTGATGGCATCAACCCTCAGAGATGGTGTGGCCAACCTTTACAACCCTTCAGCTCACCCCGCAGCTTTGAAAACGCGCTCATGAGGGGGTTATCTTGCAGGCTCTTCCCCTTCTTTCCCCTAAGTCCCCAGCGGCTGGCAAGAGCCTCACCCTCCGCATCCTCCTCTTTTCGCTTCAGATCGCTGGCGAGCGGCTTCGCCAAACCCGACGTAACACCTCCCCCCAGGATTGCTGATACGCTTGAATGTGCCCAGCGGGCATGTTTCCGCATGGCACTCGTGACCGTGATACACTCGGTCATAACCAGGGCGACGGGGTCGACCGCCACTGATATCGACGAGAGTCGCATGAGGTTTGGCTGTGTTTCCGACGCAACTCGGTCGGGGGGGGGATATGGAGCGCGCCCGCTCGAGGCGACTCTGTGACTTATATCATGGTCCATCGTGGGGTGAACGAGCGGTTAGGTGTAACCCTCGGTCTTCCTGTGGTGCTGTCGGAACCCTTCCTCGTAGTCCTCGATCATTAATGGAGCTGGGCAGCATTCTGTAGGAAGGAGGACGGCAATTCCATGCTAGCAGTGTTCAACGTGAAATAGAGATTACAAGAAAGGAATCGTTTCGTCTCTGAAAGATGCAGCTCTTGTTAACTGCGAACGGGGAAATTCGGCGTGTATGGTGAGGCCACATGGGAAGTTCAATTGACTGTCAAGCTGTTGGTCGTTGACTCCAGTAGATGCCTAACAATTGGTGCCTTAACTCCTTAAATCCATTTGCACAGAATTGATTAACATGAGTCAGCAAGTCAGCGTTGGAGCCTGGAGAATACATCGCCCATCGGTTCTTCTATCCATCACATTCCATCAAAACGGCATCAAAGTTGAAGGTGAAATTAATTGGATCTCGTAAAGATCCTTTGAAATTTCACCATGGTACCGAAAGAATCCGCGCGTGAGAGCGCCGACACGCCTGAGCCCGTGGAGAAGGGTTTTGCGACTCTCTCGACATTGCAGTAAGTGGCACTACATCTATATGGTAACGTTCGATCTAACATCAACTTGTAGAGTTGGAGTGAAGGCGTTTGTTGAGAAAGTGAGTAGCGCCTTGCGTTTATGTCTTATATCATCAGCATCTTTGGCATCTCATGCTCAACCATAACCACCCCCCTTTAATTGGGCCAGCTGGTGCTTGGGAAGCATGTCACCCCAATAGCATCGAAATTCCACGCACTGTTATGTGTTCTTATCGTTTGAGCGTTACTAACGCAGTACTTCAGGAAGGCGAAAAACGCAAAGCCGAGATTCTTGCCATCCAAAGCAAGAAGGGGAAGCTAGCCTTCTACGTGCATTACGAGGAGTTCAACAAGCGTCTCGATGAATGGGTCCCGGAAGGTCGCATCGACCTCTCAAAAGAGGTGGAATGGCCTGCCCCAGAGAAGCCCGAAAAGAAGAAAGCCGCCCAGACCTCCAAAGCGAGCAACAAATCCAAAGCCGATGCCGCGCTTGCCCAAGCGTTACGAGACAAGAAGAACCCCAAGCGCGCACAGCAGCGCCAAGCAAGACTTGATCGCGAACTGTCTGGCACGCCGGACTCGCAGAGCATCAATCTGCCGGGTAAGGTGTCTCGAGCAAGCAAAGCCGGAGGCAAAGAAAATCGGGAGATCAAGCAAGACAAGGACTCCGTGACCGTCATCTCGGAAGTGATCGACGGCACGCCGAAAGCCGAAGATGAAGATATGGTGGATCTGATGGAGATGGCCGACGCCGCAGCGGCCGCGAAGGCGCAGGCGCCCCACGAGCCGTTCAGCCGGGAGGAGGAGATCGAGAAACTGCGCACCGGCGGCTCCATGACGCAGAACCAGACTGAGATCTCCCGCGTGCGGAATCTGAGCCACATCCAGATGGGGAAGCACGAGATCGAGCCGTGGTACTTCAGTCCGTATCCGCAGGAGTTCTCAGAGGTGGACATGGTGTACATTTGCGAGTCGTGCTTGTCGTACTTTGGCGGGCTGAAGCAATTCACGAGACACCGGGCGAAATGCTCGCTGCTTCACCCGCCCGGCAACGAGATTTACCGGGACGAATATGTCTCGTTCTTCGAGATCGACGGCCGACGGCAGCGGACATGGTGCCGAAACCTGTGTCTTCTATCGAAACTATTCCTCGACCACAAGACGCTGTACTACGATGTCGATCCGTTCCTCTTCTACTGCATGGCCATCCGAGATGAGCATGGCTGCCACCTCGTCGGGTACTTCAGCAAAGAGAAAGAGAGCGTCGAGGGGTACAACGTCGCCTGTATCCTGACGCTGCCCCAGTATCAGCGCAAGGGATTCGGCAAACTCCTCATCGATTTCAGCTACGAACTATCGAAGCGGGAGGGCAAGCTCGGGAGCCCCGAGAAGCCTCTCAGTGACCTGGGGTTGCTGGGCTACCGCGCCTACTGGCAAGAGACCATCGTCGATCTCCTGATGGACGGACGGACGGACGCCAACATCGAAGAGCTGGGCGCGACGACAGCGATGACCACCAACGACGTCTTACATACGCTGCAGAATCTGAACATGATCAAGACGTCGAAGAACCAGCACGTCATCGTCCTCACCGATGCGGTGGTCGCGCAGTGGAAGAAGCAGAAGGAGAAGGAGAAGATCAAGGGGAAAAGGACGATTGATTCGGATAAATTACAGTGGCGACCACCGGTCTTCACGGCGTCCTCTCGAACCTGGAACTGGTAATGCTAGTCCTTTTTCCACGTTATGTGGTTTGAGCAAGGACGTCATGGTAGGAGGGGGATTTCGGAATGCGGCGTTAGGATTTGTATGTTTGGTCGATACCCAGAGCGTACCTTGTATGGTTACAGCGCATTTGTTAGCAATATGAAATCAGGAAGATCCCACCCTCGAACAAGTCCATCGAGTGACGCGAAGTTAAGCAATTCGACCATCGCCTGTCCCTAGTTCATGGATATTAAATGCTACCGGGACCGGGACGCTTGTATCGGTAGCCGTGGAGAATTTGCCGGGATTTGACGCCCGATGGCCAAGTGTTAATATAATATGCCGCATAAATAGCTATTTTCGGACATCCCAGTGCTTCCATTGAGCTTGATTTGAAGTTTGAATTCTCTAAAGTGTGAACCCTAAAGAAGTCGAGACACGGTATGATGGGAAATGGTACTATAGACTGTTACGAATCAAGGTCCAGTATACCATCATTCATAGAATTGGGACCGTATGAACGATGAACTACGGAATAAATCATTCCGAACTATGAAGTATGAACTGAATGGTCTATAATTAGATCAGGCTCTAGCCAGATGCTAGTTGCTCCATAGCCCCGTAACTCTCGGAACTTGGCCCTGGGCTTGGATGATTGGATCATGGACCACTTACAGTCTTCACCACGTTGTCTCAAGACTCCCAGGAGGGTTTTTTTTTGTAGGGAAGTTAGGGCTTGAGCCAGGGAAGCGGGAAAGCTGGTTGCCAAACATCAGGGGCGGAAGTGCGGCGGCTGTGACGTTGTGCAACCGCTAACCAAGTGACCCAACAACTTCGATAAAATGCATCCTCTGAAAAGTTTCCGGTTCTCCGTATGGTAAGGCACAGTCAGCATCGGCCCGGAAGTCAAAGGTCGTTACAAGTCATGGGGCGAGCAGCCGATCTCGAGTTCTGGACTTCTGAGTTCTGATGCACTCTTTGGAGGCGCTGAAAGGGAGATAGTCGAATGCCGATCCTCATTTCTCTTAAGTCTTAGACCTCCAGCGCACATTTCATAAAGACAATACCCCACGGTACGATACATACCGATATGCAGCCTGCCTCTTGTGGGCTGCAATATTCCGCACGCCATTCCGTTACAATTGTATTCTAGCGCTTAGCCTCATTAGGATTTAGGAGAGACAAGACGCGCCATTTTTGACGACGGTGACCACGCCTCCGACGAACCCGCTCTCCAGTCTTACCTTGTCACTTCACCGAGCCACAGCTCACTCATCACCACTCCCCTTGTTCCCTCGTCGACCGCCCAACCTTTCGCTCTTGATTCGGAGGATTCTTTGGATTCATTGCGTCGTTGCTGTTCCCTCATCCTGACTCCATCCGATCATGTCTTCATTGTCTTCATTTTCTTCATCGCCTTAATCACCTTCGTGACCCATACCAGCATCTTCCATCCACTGCAATCGAGGATCGGCGCCTTATTCCCAGACCCTGACCGCCCTCCCGCTTAAAGACCCTTTATGCGAACCTTATATGTGACATCGTAGCAGCACCGATTCCCTCGCAAATAGGGCCAACCGAGTTCCGTCGCTCCCTCCCTCCCTCTCGTGGGAACGTACATTAAGTTGCTTTCCCATTTCCGCGCCGTTGGCTTCCGTGGCCTCCGCCTGGCCATGGCTTCCTGGTCCGACATGAAGTTCACCTCCTACGCCTCCCTCCTCGAAGACCCACGCCTCTCCAACTCCCTCCGCCGCACCCGCACCCTCGTCCACCAGCACCAACCCTTCGTCATCTTCCTCGCCTTTTGCGCCTTCATCCTGATCTGCATACAGCTGCCCTGGGCGTCGACCGACCACATCGGCGGCTTCACCAGCAAGTTTCACAGCCAGATCACCTCGAACGGGACGATCACGCCGGGGAATGGGACGATCGAGTTCGTGCCTACGATCCAAGATGGCGTGGCACCACAGACGGGGGGCGCGCGGGCGCGGTATGCGAAGGTCGCGGTGGCGAGCGGGTTCGAGGATATCTTGTACGAGCGGGCGATCGAGACGCATGTGCAGCATGCGTTGAGGCATGGCTACCCGCTGTACATGGCGAGAGAGCAAGCGGCGGATGGGATGTTCAACAAGGTCGCGTACATTATGAACATTTTGCTGAACGAGCTGTACAAACCAGCTGAGGAGCGAGTGGAATGGTTGTTGTACGTCTTCTCAATCCTCCTTGGACACCTTTCCTGTCTAACCGTGTTATGCTCAGTTACTTCGACGTGGACTCAGTCGTCATGAACCGCGAGATACCCCTCGAGATTTTCGATACCCCCTCCGACTTCCACCACATCAACTGGATGGCCGGAAAAGACTGGAACGGTCTAAACGCCGGCGTCTTCCTCCTGCGCGTGTGTCCCTGGTCCCTCGAGCTGCTGACCCGCGTCATGACCCACAGGCACTACCACCCGACAGAGGACTACACCTTCGAGGAGCAGTCCATCCTGGCACGCCTCACCGAAACCGACGACAAGTTCAAAGAACACAGTATCTACGTCCCCAAGTCCTGGATCAACGCCTACTTCTACAGCCTACACGAAGTCAAGCCGGGGTTACTCCTCTCGCACTTCCCGCATCCGGACTACAAGTGGCACATCTACGAGTGGCTCAAGGTCATCGAGACCGACGCAGAGGACAACGCCAAGCCGATCTACAACAAGCCCGTGCACGAGACGGATTATCCCAAGGAAATCAAGAAGTTCTGGTCCGTCAAGCGCCGCGTGGATAAGGCGTTGAAGGGGTTCGAGCGGAACGTGGCGCGCGGAGCGGACCCGATCCAATTCGGACTGCAGCATGAGGAGACCAAGGCGCTGGCCGAGGACTTCAGAACCAAGCTGGATAAGCTGAAACACGAGGCGCGGTTCAAGACGGATAGTCCGGATGAATTGGACAACATGATTACCGAAGCAGAAGAGGTGAGCTCGAGTCTGTGGGCAAACATAATAGCTACTGTGACTGACCACGATATAGGCCAACGCGAAACTCATCTCCGAACTCATGGCTTACTTCGAGACGCATGATGACCCACCTTCCGTTGCAGGCTTCTAGAAATGATTTTGTTTTCACTCAGCGTGTCTATTTAACTAGGCGACACATCAAAGGCGACCGAAAGAACAATCGCATCGTTCCCGTAGGTGTGCCTTTTCCCCACCGCTCGCACGGAGAGTGGCTGTTCTCCAGCCCTTCAATGGGCTACATTCCTCCGTCCGGCGTCATATTTCGCGACATCGGATCGCGAACATTATCTGTACATAAACTCTAAGGGCATTTCCGGCGTCAACCTAGAATGATAGGAAAAGGCAGGGAACGGCGTCTGGAAAATCTCTATTGCACTGGCGAAGGAAATATGAATAGCGAGGATGGTAACTAGATGGGGATTTCGATGTGATAGTGGGACCTGGCTGGATATTTGGCGTCAATGGGGTACATATTGGATGCGCTGAGAAATGTTTCGAAAGGGAGGAATACCTTCAGATGAAAAATCAATGATCTTTTAGACAACTGCTCAACTCCATACACACTGAGTTCTCTGTGTGACTAGAATCTAGACCAGACGTTCATCACTTCTGGACGCCAAGATTTTAGCCCGCAAGTTGCAGCGAGAGCCCTGTCCATAATAATAATTAAGTCCATCTCCGCTTGAACTTCGACCTGGATTTTATACAAATCTAAAACATTCCCGCCTCCCGCATCTTTGTCTTCCCTCACCCACGAGTACGATAATGCACACTTGCCTCAATGTCCGATAGAAGACGAATCAACCCGCCCCCAGGCGGCACCTCCGCGCCCGTCTATGCCTCCTCCACCGCTTCCCCCCTTCCCCCCACGCGAACCCGCCGTCCCGACGAGCTGCGCAAAATCTGTACGTGCCACAGTATCCTATTTGATCCCCAGCATGCTAACCCCTCACCCAGTCCTCAAAACCCACATCACCCCCTCCGCCACCGGCTCCGCCTACCTCGAACTCCCCCCCTCCCCCTCCCCCACCCCTTCACTCTCACACTCTCAATCCCCCTCCCTCAAGCTCACCGCCACCGCACACCTCGCCCCACTCCCCCGCTCAGCGCCCTTCACCCCGAACCTCTTAGTGTCCGTACACGTCAAGTTCGCCCCGTTCGCCAGCCCCATCCGCCGCGGCTACATCCGCGACGCCGGCGAGCGCGAGCTGAGCGTCCGCGTGGAGAACGCGCTGCGCGGCGTGATCATCGCGGAGCGGTGGCCGAAGATGGGGTTGGATCTCAGCATAGTAGTGTTGGAAGGGGAGGAGGAGGGACCGGCGGCGATACAGGTTGGGGAGAAGGACGCGGGGGGTGCGGCGAGGAAGACGGAGGCGTGGTGGGCGACGATGACGATGTTGGCGGGGTGTGTCAACGTTGCGGCAGCGGCGGTGGTGGATGCGGGGATTGATTGCGTGGATGCGGTGGCGGGGGGGGTGGCAGCGATGGTCCCTGCGAACACCGCGGGGGGGAAAGGGGGAGTGGAAGTGGTGCTAGACCCGGTGCCGAGGGAGCACGGGGATATCATTGCGGCGGCAGTAGTCGCGTATTTGCCGACGAGAGACGAGATCACGGAGTTGTGGGTGAGAGGGGATCCGCGCGCGGCGGGGGGAGAGAAGGGGTTGGAGGATTTGGTGGACGCGGCGGCGAGTGCGGCGGTTGGGGCGCGGACGGTGATCCTCGAGGCTGCGAGGGAGGAGGTGCAAGGACGGGTGGAGGCGACGGAGGGGGTATAGAATGGGCTTTGGGCTCTACAGGGAGTGGCTCGATCAGATCTTTGCTGCATAGCGACGGCGTCATGTGTTGAAAGTCGAGACATGGTCAATGTTGACACTTATGCCTTGGTATTAGAATGGTTTCAAGTTCGGTCATTAGTACTGTTCGGTCCCCCGTCGCCTCGACCTTCCGTGTCCGTAGTTGACATCGAATCGCCATGCATCGCCTCGGCGAATCCAATCCATTCGTCGACTCCGCGGATGTACGTGTCCTCCACTGGGTCCGGAAGCACGTCGTGGCCCCAAACCATGAAACCATCAAATGACCCCTCTTCTCGAACTGGGTATGTCTCGCCCGCTGCGTCCTCTTCATCCGACTCTTCTCCAGCCGGTTCCTGTATCGGCTCACTCGATCGGCGAAGTATCACACCTGCTCCACAGTCAATCGCGGCATCGTTGCAACCTCAGCGAATACCGCCTACCTTTATACCCCTCAGGCACGTCGACCTTCGTCCCTTTCAACTTCCTCCCTCGGAAGTATGCCGTGTGTGTGCGCTGCTTCGATACCCCACTCGGACTAGCAGCTAGGGCGTCTTCGCGCGGGTTCCAGTGGCGCGTGGTCGCCGCGATTGCGCCATGATGGTGTACCCGGCACGGGAGAATGTGCGGTGTGCATTTCTTGGAGGGGTTTGAGGACGGTTGAAGCGCGAGGGACGGCATGGTTGGAGGTGGTGAGAAGAGATATCGGGACGCGTCCGGACGCGTCGTTGCGCGTCAAAGTGCTAAAGATGGGATGACGGGATGCGAAAGGGAATTGATGGCGGATCAATTCCGAAATGTGGTTCTATGCCAGCGTGTAAGCTCAGTTGGTGTCTGCTATATAGAATCTCCCTATCAATTGGTTGAACATGTCCTGTCTTGCTCCGTAGAGAAGAGTAGTTTCTTCCTTGCCTCGCCTGGCCAAACCCATATATTGGGGCCTTATCGCCTTAGACCTGTAATCAGAATTGTAACTCCAATAATTAGCGCTCACTGCGATCAAGTCGAAGCTGCGGAGATCGATATTTCCGGTACGTACATCGAAGTCTGCAGTGAAGATCCTATCTATTCTCTCCAATTTATAAATGCCTCAACGATAAGATCGCAGGATTATCGGCTTTTCATCTGCACCCAGCCCCTCCTCACTTAGGAGCCACTAGTAGCCCAGCCCCCGCGCAGCATACACTCTCCGCAGGATGCCCATTAACCTTTCCTCCTATTTATGTTGACATCATGGGATATCTCATTGTACTGTCATGTCTACTCCGTACCATACGGGACAATTTGTGAATCAATACCTAATAAACGCTTCGGAACAGCCCGGTCACGAAACGTAGTACGATAGAGTCCAGCCGATTTTGTCACTTCCATTTCTCCTCCGAGTCAACCGTATCCAGACCCATCTATCCAATTGTAACAATCATGCCTCCTCGGGGTCCTCGCCGGCATGGGAATGACCTTGCCGTCCTTGTGCGAAGCGTTCCCACCCTGAAGACCCGACGCGACTGGTGTCCCTGGATGAAGGCCATAGAAACTCATGCGCGACGAGTCCATGTGTGGGATTATATCAATCCAGACGGGGATATATCACCGCCCGAGGCAACCTTCCCTACGGAAGATGCGTACAAGGCGATGTCCCAGTTCGCAAAGAAGAAGCTGGAAATCGACCGGGAGGCGGGTTAAAGCGCTGATCCGGGTGGGCGATATCATCGCAGCTACAGTCTCTGACGAAGCTCGGGTCTATCTTCGGCCTACGGATTCCTTACGTGATATTCTGAAGAAGCTGTCGAGTCGCTTTAAACCATCGGAATGGCAGGAAAAGAAGTTCTTGAGAGAGTCCCATGACCAACTGCTCCGGGGCCCGAAGAAGAATGGCCCCGTCGGCCTCGCCAATTGGATGGTGCAATGGTCCGATTTCCATGAAAATGCGAAAGAGACTGGGATGACCTATTTTTCAGACGATTATAATCTTGCCGCTGACCTGATCGAGGCGTGTGATCTAGCGGGTTTCAAGAGCTTTGCCACGTGCGGGAGAGGGCGCCTGTTCTCTGCCGACACGGAGGAGGAGAGAAAGGAGCTGAAATTCTCTGACTTCATCGACCTCTTTTGTTTCGTAAGTAACGAGGAGATCGTTCGATGAGTTGCTGTGTCTGTTTGAGAGGTCGGAGACGGAATCAGAGGAATACACAGTTTATCCCTCGGGCTTAGTAGTGGCAATTGACAAGACTTGAATATCAGTTCCATATCGCAAGCAAGATCACATCTTTTAACCATAACCAGAATCCAGCCGTCCCCCTTTCGTTCAGTTGGTACCAGTGGACACAGAGTGAACATGTCATAGAGGAAATGAACGAGTCGTTCCCACGATCACTGTTCTTTCGAGCAGACAGATCAGTGGGGTGTAGTCTGTTCGTCGCGTTGTCACTTTGCCCCTCTAGGACCGTATTCAATGTGGTCAGTCGATAGAGCAGATGAGAAGGGGAAGACGCGGGAATGCAGACATTGATCGCACTGGCGGCATCTTAACGAATATGGGAGCGTTTTTGCAGTTTCAGGGGCAGTGTATTATTCTCAGAATTGTTCATTTGGTCCGCTATGCTGAAGATAATGCTGGGGTATCAATCCTCATGATCATGGGCTTAATCGACTGTTTAGAGTACAAAACTCCTTCCTCCGCAGCGTGATGAATGCCGATGGATGACCTGAATCACTAGGCCCGCTTGGTGCGCTTCTTAGCCTTCTTCTTCTTCTTTCTTCGAGGCTTAGCCGCACGTCGAACTGTTGTCTCGCCGGTATTCAATGCAACCCCACCATCCTGGTCAGCATCACTGTCGTCCGTGTCGTCCACTTCGAAATCAGAGTCGTCAATCGAGCCCATATCATCCTCATCCCCATTGCTCGCCTTCGCCCTATGACCTTTTGCGCCATTGGCGGTCACTGGCAGATCCAGCTCCGCATGGAGTCCGAAGTCCCTCTTCGACATCTCCCGATCCATCCCCTCCTTCTCTAACTTATACAACTGCATCGTCATCCTCGAGTCCTCCACACTGTCATGGACGCCGTCGTGGACTTTCCCACTCTCCGTGCGGCCGGTGTCTCTGGGATCCTCTTGTATCTTCGTCCCCCGCATCTCTACGCCCAGAACGTCTCTCACTAGGTTTCTCAACGCCGGGGTTCGGCCACCAGCCATGTCTCGAAATCGTCGATATCGACACGTGTCGCGGACGCCTTTGACCAGCTGTCCGCGGCGAACTTCGGAGTCCAGAGACAGGACGATCAGATCGTTATGGATCGCGTGTCCCACGAGCACTCGTCCCCGTAATATATCCCGCACCAACTTCTTCACGTCTTTGAGGGGTAATGCGCCTGATTCCGGCGTGAGATGGTGGGGTAGGATTCCGGATACATGTGTGCGGTAGTCGGTCACTGGTACGGTCGGGAGAACGTAGACGTCTAGGAGGACGTGAAGGTGGTAGTTGACGATGGACACCCGCGCGGGAATGGAGATCGTATTGGGTGGTGGACCGGTGCCGACCATTTCGCAGTCGAGCGACACATATTTTCCAGGGGCAAGTTCTTTCGGGTTCGGTAGAGGTATAGAAGGGGATACTGGTTGCGATTTGCCCGTTTCTGACTGGCTTGACGTGCCGTTTTGCCTCGTGATATTGCCCTTCTCCTTCTGCACGACCTTCGCAGTTGATGAAGTGGAGGTCATGTCTGTTCGATGCTTGGATATTTTATGGCTGACAGTAAATGCTGAAGCATGGCCATTCGTTTTAACCACGCGGTTCTTCTTTATGGGCGGTTTCCCTTGCCCGACATGCCCTTCATCCTCTGCCTTGCGCTTTGGTGTCTGAGACTGGGACGGGGAACGGTCAGGCTTCTTGCTTTGGAGCTTCTCTTGAAGCCTTTTCCAATTGGATGACAAATTCGGTTGCGCCATTGTATTCAAAGGTCGACTTTGACCTGCGTCAACTGGTTCAAAGACATGGTCTGTTTTTTCATGTGTCTGGAAATGTTTCGGAGGTTGCGGGGAATTTTTTGGCCTCTTCATGAAAACCTCCATCACGTGGTCTGTGCGCAGAGGCCAATATCTCTTATTCTCTTTATTTATTCTCTTAATCTCTAATTCTCTATTCTCTAATTCTCTATTCTCTCAGCTCTCTCAATATCTCAGCTCTACTCTAATTCCCTATTCTCTAATCTCATCTCTGATCTCACTGCTGATGACCACAACAACGTCACATCCTTGGGTGAAGGTATTATTCTTGTTTACAATTTCTATACCGTACACAATGAACTTTCATAGTTTCTCCTTCATCATCACCCTGAGCGCTTCCGTGTTCCTGGGTTGAAATACGACCTTATACGGTCTGCACATCGTCACCAGACACGTGGGATCGATGCTTCCCCGAACCGGGTGGACATCCACCGCTTTCTCGCCTTCTTTCCATCCTGGCAACAGTTTGAAGCAGCTCAACATCCTCATGAATGTGAGGTAAAGCTCCCGATTAGCGAGGAGACTGCCAGCACACATCCGGTACCCTATCCCGTACGTGAACAGCGAAGCCTCTGGATGTTCAAGCCATCTCTCCGGTCTGAATACCTCTGGATCTTGCCATATTTCTGGATCTTATTCAGAAGTCAGTGTATGGTTACTAAAAGACGCGAGTTATCTGTGGAGGGTACCCATGTTACACGCCCAAGCGTTCAGGAAGATTGTAGTGCCGGCTGGGATCAATTTCCCTTCATAGGATATATCCCTTATGCTGGCTCGAGGTAGAACTAGACGAAGGACGGTGTAGTATCGGAGGCACTCCTTTACCAGCGCCGCCACGTACTCGCATTTTTGGTCGTCCTCAACATCACACATGATTCCAATCTCATCGCCCGGAAACATCTGACGAATGGCCTCGTGTGCTTTGTCTTGAACTTCCGGGCGCTGGGCAAGCAATGCGATGCTCCACTGTACCAGCGTCGTGATCGTGTCAAGTCCGCCAGATAGCATCGTCAACGATATCGATGTTAGCTCTTCCTTGTTCAGTTGAGCTTCCTTATCCATGATGACATTGGCTTGAATGCACGGCGTTTGTGTCCCTGCCTCCATCCTTTCGTCCAAGTCATTGTTTAACTTCTTCAAATACACATCTCTTCTGTCTCGCACTTCTCGGGCCGTTGCCGAACTCCCGTTGAACGGGTTCAGTCGAAGCAGTGGGACGTAATCCTGCAGATTACCGGTCGTGCTGCGGAACTTGCTAATGGCTTCCTCCACCTCGGTGATCTCATGGAAGAGCGGGTCATCTCGGCTTCCCATGCGGATGCCCCAATTCAGAGTCAGGGCCAGCGACAAGCTGAGGCGTTGGATCATCGGCATGGGGTCGATGGCCTTGGCTCCATATTCGCCGTACTCCAATCCTTCCGATATGAAGGCGCGAGTCTCAATGTCTAGATGAGGGATGTAGGTTGCGATGGCTGGCTTATTTAGTGCTGATGCGGCTCCTTTGCGGCGCCGTTTGAGGGAATCTGAGTAGGGCGAAGTCCCGATCGTGGTTCCGGCGGTATTTGACAGGACCTGTCATCATTAGCCTGGCTTTGCACAATTGACCAGCACCAGCAGGTTACTTTGTGGAAGGTATAGAAGACTGGCCTCGAACTCAAGGCTTGGGAGTTATGCCCAAAGATCGTCTTGGCCGCCTTCGCACTGTTCACCACAAGGACTGGGACGTCGCCCAGCATGATCTGGTAAACATCTCCATGCTTTTTCGACCAGATCCGATACTGCTCCGCTGCGTTGTATCGGATATGTGGCAAATTCCCAACGATGGGCCATCCTCTCGGCCCCGAGAATGCGGTTATTCGTCTCCTCTGCCGTACTAGTTCAGCAAATATCAGGTAGGTTGAAGGGATGAGAAGAAGTGCTGAGACAATGGAGAGGACGGGATGGTCTCCAATGGTTTGAACCAAGATATCATACGCAAATGTAATCATTGCTTTCCTTTCACTAGTTTCTTCACTGCTTCTTTCGTACAGCCGGCCTGTATTCAAACAAAATATCTCTTGACTTCTGGTCCTTAAAGCCAAATTCACCGGTCCACTCGGTTCATATCAGTCGGTCCGAGTCAAACATTCCAGTCCCTGTATACCCCGCAGTGTAGACAACAGCGTGCGGAATTCTGCCGCACTCTTCAGCAGATGTTTACCCGTGACGTTGAATTCGATGCAGTGTTTACATAAAAAAAACGCGAGACCCAGGATGTGCCAGTTCGATCGATGTTAAGCGCAGGGCTTTGGAAGCAACTTCACATGCCACTGTCTATGCCAAGTTGACATATCGCAGTGCCAAGCCATCTGCTCTCTTGCATCACTGCACCCACCCAGGGTATCAGATTTGATCTCAATAACAACAAGTTGTCCCTCTATAACAGAAACTCAAGGGCAGCTTTGAACGTGTTATATCATAAATTTACTTCATGTGCATCTACAGTGAGATCTTCCTAGAATTTAGATTGAGGCAATAGGCGGCCGGGGCTGCTTTGCCGTCCAGTAATTATGTAGCTCCACGATATCACCTTGGTGTGACCTGTCATGTCGAATCCAGTTTCCAGTGATCCCATTGTTTATCAACTCTCTAGAACCATTTTCATGTTCTATGAGTATGACTGGAGGTTTCTTCTCAGTTCATCCATTCACAACCTCCATATTCAACACTTCGATCAACTCTCCACTCCACTCCACACTCTCCACTCTCCACTCTCCACTCTCCACTCTCCACTCTCAATCCCCCTTCCACATCTACGCATCTTCATACCACTAAGCAGGTACGTGCATAATTTCACAATTTCTCCCATTATCACTGAATGGGACCATATCACCGCCTTTGCGACTATAAATCGGGATATAAGACTCGATCTTCACATGGTTTACCACTAGCGCACTGCTTTGACTGACCATCTCACTCCACCCTATGTGCCATCACTCGCAGCTCGAGAACACATCATACAATTCTCATATCCGAATGTCTTTCACTGCACTCAGGAATATGAAGATCTATGCCTCGAATTATTGCATAATCTAACTAGAGGTTTGTAGAAACTCAGACACTCCGAAGCAAATCTATCTAATCACCATGGCGTCGAAAGCCCTCCAGGACAAGAACGTCGTGTTCCTGCTCCAGTGCTTCAAATATGCGAAGACCGAAGTCTCGGTAAGTCACATCCAGTTTATTTTATCCTAGCTAATCGTAGCCCTGCCTGTCAATATTAAAAATCATCGTGCTGATGTCCGAAACTATAGATCGACTGGTCCACCATGGCAGCTGAACTGGGAGTGAATCACCACACCGCCTACTGCCGCTTCCGTGACCTGAAGATGGCCTTGGAGAAGCAAGGGGAGGGTGTCAATGGTGCCGATGCTTCACCCTCCTCAAAGAAGAAGGCCTCGGGTGTCAAACCCAACACCCGGACCAACGCCAAAGGGGGGGTGAAGAAGACCGGAGGGACACCGAAGAAAACCAAAGCAAACCACCCTCTAAGCGACGGTCTTGCGACGTCCGATATGCTATTGGAGGAGCTGGAGGATGGCACTGAGCAGCCCGTGGCTCCGACCTTTCCTGTGAATTCCCTGGCAAACTCTTAACGCTCTGTACTTGGTTACTGATAATTCACTAAACCAGAACGCATACGAAGCTACCACCGAGGTCTAGGCGTTGAGTGGGACCTTAGAGGCGGACAGTTAGTGAAGGATTCAGGAATGATGCTGGAGGGATTACATGCACTCCCATATTGGGTCATCAGATATTAAGCAGCAGATCATTATGGTGGAGATTTTCCTCTGGTCAAAGCAGAGCTACGGCGGTGCGTTGATCAATAGCTTTCCAAACGGTGCAACATTCCGATTCCTATCTCCAATGAGCCCCATGTACCCGATGAACGCCTTGATCGCCGTGATCGCCCAGTCCAGCTGAGTCCCAATGTCAGACGGGACAGACTCCTCAGCGACCCCCGATGAAAGCTGCTGGATGAAACCAAACCCACGACATGATATGCACATTCAGTGCTTTCCTTTGTTACGCCGTTTTGCAGTGCTGTCTAAATAATGGATATTCGGCGAAACAAACGGTTCGGATGCAGTCCAGGCGACCGGATGATTGTGAACCCGGGATATGCATCATGAGAACAGTAAATATTACCTGTGATACGGAATCAGCGCTATGCTCCTGCAAACCGCGAGAAGTCAGGAACCTACATTCCAAAGGAATCCTAGTCCTTCTCTTCTACCACGTTTCCTCAACCCGATCCCGGCTTTTCCAGCTCGTTCGATGCATCGTCCTGACCATCATCATTATCCTCTGGCCCTGCCGCGGCTCCCGGCTGGTTTGAGCGCCTTTTCCCCGGCAACTTCTCCGCCTCGCGCGTCTCCGATTCCTCGCGGACCGCCTTTGCCTTCTGAGCGTCCTCCTTTGCCTTCTGAGCGTTTTCCTCCTCCCTCTGCACTTCTTTAATGACTGCCATGTCTGCTTTCCATTGCCCGTCCGAGGTCTCGAACTGATCTTGGATCTTTTCAATCCGTTCTTTCTCCTCCTGCTCTTTCTTCCGCTCCTCTTCAAGCTCGGCCTTCATCTCTTCCATATGCCGAATATCATCGACGGAGGGCTCATAGAGATGCCAGATGGTATAGTGCGGAAGCCCCACGACGCTGTATTTCATGCGCTTGGCCATCTGATGCCATCGTCAGTTAGTGTGTTATGGTAGAATATGGAGTGCTCGGGCCTACCTTTCCAAACCCTTCGGTTTCTGCATGTCGCTCGAAGCTGAACGCGGGAAAGTGGACTCCGGTTCTAAAGACGCGAGCCTTTGCAAGGATGCTGACACCCCCAACTCCATCCAGGTCCATCTCCATGTCGGGATCGCCATATGGGTCTCGGAGGTAGGCCAAATGGGGTCGCCATGTCGCATACTCCGCGTATCCTTCGACAATGACAGCATCTTCATCCAACGTCTTAGCAAGCTCCAACGCCGTATCCGATTCTTGCCAAGAGTTCAGATCGTATGGTTGCTCGCCGCCTAGCCAGTCGGGGAGGGGTCGCCAAACATCTGGAGAGTGTCAGATTACTCAAGTCGAAATGAAGAGCGGAGATCCTTACTGGGGACAATCACATCCTTATTGTGACGCATTAGATCTTCTAGGATCGTAAACGGCGCCGTCTCCACATCCACATCTCTCCAGTACACCCAGCTATGAACGGGCCTCAGCGCCGCACTCAGCAACCAATTCCGTGCCTGCGCCATACTCTTCCGTCGACCCGCTTGCGCCGCAAATCCGTGTCGGGACTCGACATCTTGATCCACTTTCTGGCCGAAATCTTTCTCCATGATGCTGATCTCGCCGAACGTTTGCTTCGGGTCTGGGTCGTCCTGTAACCCCTCCAACAATTCCGTAAGCAAGTCCATAGTGTTGTCTTTCGAGTCGCCCACGAGGAAGGCGAGGTCGATCAACTTGTGCGGGTACGTCAAGTTTCGGAGGTGGCTGAAGAACATGGGGAGGTGAGGTGCTGCGTCACGAAGCGGTGCACACAGGAGGATGCGCTCCTCGCGCTCCCATCCTCGCGCGCTGCCTTGAACGTTGCTCAAGTCGTAATATCGTACGGTTTCCAGCTGGAGGTCAGGGGTGCCGGAAAACAGGCCGAGCGAAACGGCGGGAAGGAGGGTGTATCGAAGCGAGGGGAATATCAGGAGGAGGAGGAGGAAGCCCAACGAGGCGAGGGCGGCGAGTCGTATCAAGAAACCGCGTCTTCTCCGTAAAGCTGTGTGCGATCGAGGCTGGAATCTAGAGGGAGGAGCGGGTTAGCGGTGCCATGACAACTGTTGCGCAGGGTAGAGAACGGGTTGACGCGGAGAAAGTGAGGACGTACCTATTTGGATGAATGGAAAAGGATTTGCCTCCCATGGGGTAGGCACCCGTGTGGCCATTGGTATACGGGTACCGCTCCATCTTGCCTTTGGACGAGAACGAGTGTATCGGAAGCATTTGGGATGGTAATCGTGGCGAAAGGGATGGTCTCCTGACGATGTGAGAAACGGGGTGGCTTCATGCAACAACACCCACAGAGGCCACGGCCTCCGGCCCTCTGCAATCGTGTGCCAAACCCGCTATGGCCGACGACTGAAGCTGAGTATCCACGGATAGTCAAGTGTAAGACCTGATCTAGGGAGTCCCCGACGAGAAACTGTTTGGAATTGGAGATAGGATGAGATCCGCGTAGCGCGAATGGAGTAGAGCGGTCGCGTGGTATCCGGGGCGTCAGAGGTGGGAACGGGTGATGGCGCCGTTGAACATAAGAATGATAAGAAAGGAGAGGATGGAGGAGAATAACTGGGAGGCCAGCTGGTGATGTCGAATCGGCATGGGCGATGTAACTTGTAACAGTTCTGTTGGTCACAGTTCTGAGTTCCGGGCTACAGCCGCTTCACTCAATCGGGTTTAGTGTTTACATCAGACTAGGTATCAGAATAATTCAGAAATTAACTAGATCTTGAATTTCGGCTTAATCAAGTTTAGCCAAACGCCACTACTGAGATCGATACGTGGGTATCAAATGAATAATTGATTACTTGATCTCAAAATTTTCCGAAATACATGTTGAATTTACTATTTGCTCTACAGAGGTCAGGCGCTGCGAGCCTGCAACAGAGCCCCAAACTATATCCTTACCCCTGGCGAAACAATTGAAGCCGAGTGATGCAACACCAAGGTGGTACCGATCCCCCGAGTCCGTGAGGTACATGTAGTACCCGACCAGGTACGCAATGTCCGTTATGGGAGTAGAGCCTGCTTCTGCTTGATCGGTCAGCGCGAGATCTTCGAAAATACTCGTAGTTCCAGCAATTTGACTGTTGGTGAGATCAGGAAAAGCCGATGAACCCATATCCCACTTCCGGCCACAGTGCCATCCAACCCAGGACGAGCAGAACGACACCACAGCACTGGACCCAGAATGACATGCAAGCAAAACTCCACAACCAATCATCCCCGACAAGTCGAGTCCGGTGCGGGAGGGTGGATTGGAAGTAAGGAATCGTAGAATGGATAGACTAGGTATCATCATTCAAGATGGATGACGAAGAAAAGGTGCAACTCACGTTAATGCTTCCTGGCGATATCATCAGGTATTCCGGAGTTCCTAAGCCTGCATCTCATAAGCCAATGTTCAACAGAAGCAGTGGAAGAAACAAGTGTAATTAATAACATCAGATATATGTAACGTTGGTTCAGTCTCTTTCATGGGTATTCAGAAGCAGAACTGTAAAAATGAACGATATCATCATGAAAGGGAGATCGAAATAGAAAGCGGCAAGACTTACGTTAGAAAACTCTATCCATTCACTCTGGCTCCCTAGGAATAGATGTCAGCAGGGGACTAGACATCAAGACCGTGTTTATTGATGTTATATGAGGTGTAAATCATCAGATGGTAGTGCATGTTGTTCAATGCTCATGGGAGATCGCAGGAACTGTGGTGAAAAGTTTTCTTCATAGAAAAAATGGGCTAGAGGGGAGGAGGTAGGAAGCTCTTACATCAGAGGATACTGAAGAGCAAACAGTGAAAACTTTCATACTGCCTTCTCATGGGAATGAACAAGCATCACATATATGCTCAAGGCTCCAGGTGCAGGAACCATTCTGATGTTCGTGATGAGAAAAAGACAAAATTGAAAGGTTGAAGCTCAAGGGAAGTTTTGTAGTGCTGCAGCGCACGTGCACGCGAAGCTTGGGTCACGTGGTGTGTATACCTTGAGATGCCTGAGGCATATAGTTAGAGCTCCAGCCACAGCAAACAAATCTGCGCCACAGTTTGATCATCAATCGCATCGCGTTAGGATTGAAGATTCAGGAAACCTTTGGATCAGCCTCTCATCGCTACCTCGCTGTAACAGGCAGCCAAACCATTGAACAAGCCAGTACCAAGGGCAAAGTCGAGGCGCTCAAATAATATGGATGACCTCGAGAATCTCGAGTACCTTTCCTTGGTCTCCAAGGTCACATCCGAGATCAACAACCATATGGGTTTGAGCGACAAGACGTTGGCAGAGTTCGTGATTGACCAACATGCGCAATGCAACTCCCTTCCAGAGTTCAAGAAAACACTCTCTGGGCTTGGCGCCGACTTCCCGAACAGCTTAATCGAGAGCATCGACCGGCTCATCCTGACTTTACACCCGAAACATAAGAAATCTGCGGCGGCAAATCGATCAAGAGGCGATGAAGATGGCGGAGCGAACAAGAAGTCGCGAGTGTTCAAAGGCTTGGCTATCCCCGACAAGGAGATCTCTTGGGAGAATAAGAATCAGGGGAACGACAAGAAAACAAAGTCGTCAGGGCTGGATGAGTTGGATGATACATTCGCCCAACTTGAAAGTCTTGCTGGGGAAAGGAAGACTAAGCACCCGGAACCTTCTTCGAAACGTCGCAGTCCTTCGCCAAAGCCAGACTATGATTATACCTTCGATATCTTGGAAGGCCTGGAAGCAAAAGCTCGGAAAGGTCACAATGGAGGTTCAAGAAAACGAAGCGTCAGCCCAGAGCGGGAAGACCGCGACAAAAGGAGCAGCAAGCGGTACCGGCAACGGTCCAGGTCAAGAAGCCGAAGTCCTCGTGGTTCTAAATATGCGCGAGACGGACCCGGATACGTCGATGAATTTGGAAGGACAAGGAAGGAGAGCGGGCGACATACGGACCGAAATGGAAGACGAAGACACCGTGACGACAGTGAGGACCGCTTTACAAAGCCACCACCGCCCGAGATCGACGACAGTCCTACCCTATACAAAATCTACACAGGCCGCGTTACTGGTATGAAAGAGTTTGGAGTGTTCGTCAACCTCCAAGGCGTCAAAGGACGGGTTGATGGTCTTGTCCATGTGTCCGCAATGCAAGAAGGTGCTAGAGTCAACGACCCGGCCGATCTTGTGTCGCGGAACCAGGAGGTCAAAGTCAAGGTTATGAAGATTGAGGGCAACCGGATCAGCCTATCCATGAAGGAGGTTGACCAGGTCACAGGCCGTGATCTTGCACCAGGGAAGCGGCTTGCGTCCGGTGCAAATATGGAGGGTTTGGGTGGTATGGACAGCAATTCGGGCAGATATGGCAACCTTGCGTCCGAAATCCCAATCGTCGATGATAACATGAACGGCAAACCCAATCGGCAAAGGAAACGGATGACCTCCCCAGAGCGGTGGGAGATCAGGCAATTGATCGCATCTGGCGTAATCAAAGCGGAGGACTATCCCGACCTCGATGAAGACTACAACGCGGCCTTTAACGGGGAGATCGAAGAGGAGGAAGACATCGATATTGAAGTAAAGGAAGAGGAGCCTCCGTTCTTAGCGGGTCAAACGAAGCTTTCGTTGGAGCTATCGCCGATCCGCATTGTCAAAGCCCCCGAAGGCTCGATGAATCGAGCAGCCATACAAGGAGATGTCTTGGCCCGAGAACGAAAAGATCTGCGTCAACAGGAAGCACAAGACACTGCTGCCCAGCGAGCGTCCCAAGTAGACTTGAATGCGCAGTGGCAGGACCCGATGGTCTCCTCAGCGGAACGAAAGTTTGCGAGCGACTTGAGGTCCGCTGCCCCGCGACCGACGAACGAGCCGTTGCCCGAATGGAAACGCATCACGCAAGACAAAGAACAGTCCTTTGGCAAACGAACCTCGATGACGATCAAGGAACAGAGGGAAACATTGCCGGTGTTTAAATTTAGGAAGCAACTTCTTGAAGCGGTGAAGCAACATCAGTTGTTGATTGTCGTCGGTGATACCGGGTCGGGGAAGACGACCCAGCTCCCGCAATACCTCGCCGAAGGTGGATATGCTAATGAAGGCGTGATTGGATGCACTCAGCCGCGCCGCGTCGCCGCCATGTCTGTTGCCCAGCGTGTCTCCGATGAAGTCGGATGCAAGGTAGGGCAGGAAGTGGGATACACAATTCGATTCGAAGACTGCACAAGCCCCGAAACCCGCATCAAATACATGACGGATGGTATCATGCAAAGAGAGATCTTGTTGGATCCCCTACTGAGCAAATACTCCGTGATCATGCTGGACGAGGCGCACGAGCGGACGATCGCGACCGACGTGCTGTTTGGATTGTTGAAGAAGACGTTAAAGAAAAGGCCTGACTTGAAGTTGATTGTCACGTCCGCCACTCTTGACGCAGACAAGTTTTCGGAGTATTTTAACAAATGTCCGATCTTCTCCATTCCCGGACGAACCTATCCGGTTGAAATTATGTACTCGAGGGAGCCCGAGTCGGATTATCTCGATTCTGCATTGACAACCGTCCTCCACATCCACCTTTCCGAAGACGCCGGAGACATTCTTCTTTTCTTGACCGGTAAAGAGGAGATCGATACAAGTTGCGAGATCCTGTACGAGCGGATGAAAGCGCTGGGTCCCAGTGTGCCGGAGCTGTTGATTCTCCCAATCTACGGCGCATTACCAGGCGAAGTGGCCAGCCGTATATTTGACCCGGCTCCGCCCGGTACTCGCAAGGTCGTCATTGCGACGAACATCGCCGAAACGTCTATCACTATCGACGGCATTTTCTATGTCGTGGATCCTGGTTTCGTCAAACAAACCGCCTACGATCCAAAGCTGGGAATGGACCGACTGCAAGTCACCCCCATCTCCCAGGCACAGGCGAAACAACGCTCGGGGCGAGCTGGACGGACTGGACCTGGGAAATGTTTCCGTCTATATACCGAAGCCGCATTCCAATCGGAGATGATCCCGACCACGATCCCAGAAATCCAACGGCAAAACTTGAGCAACACGATTCTGATGTTAAAGGCGATGGGGATCAACGACCTGTTGCACTTCGATTTCATGGACCCTCCACCCACGAACACCATGTTGACGGCTTTGGAAGAGCTCTATGCGCTGTCTGCATTGGATGATGAAGGCTTGTTGACGAGGCTCGGGAGGCAAATGGCGGATTTCCCTATGGATCCCGGCCTGGCGAAAACGCTGATCATCTCCGCCGACATGGACTGTTCAGACGAGATGCTCACCATCGTGTCCATGATCTCCGCCGTCCAAACCGTCTTCCACCGCCCCAAGGAAAAGCAACAACAGGCTGATCAGAAGAAATCCAAATTCCACGACCCCCACGGCGATCACTTGACCCTCCTCAACGTCTACAATGGCTGGAAACTTTCGAAGTTCTCCCAAGCGTGGTGCTTCGAGAATTTCATCCAACCGCGTTCGATGCGCCGGGTCCAGGACGTTCGCCAACAGCTCGTCACCATCCTCGACCGCCACCGGCTCCGTATCATCTCGTGCGGCCGTAACTCCATCAAGGTGCGGCAAGCCCTCTGCGCGGGCTTCTTCCGCAACTCTGCGCGCAAGGACCCGCAGGAGGGGTACAAGACGCTCGTGGAGGGCACGCCCGTCTACATGCACCCGTCGTCCGCGCTGTTCGGGAAGCCCGCCGAACACGTCGTGTATCACATGCTGGTTGAGACGACGAAGGAGTACATGCACCACGTCACGGCCATCGAGCCGAAGTGGCTGGTCGAGGCGGCGCCGACATTCTTCAAGGTCGCGCCGACGGATCGGCTGAGCAAGCGGAAAAAGGCAGAGAGGATCCAGCCGTTGCATAATCGGTTTGCGGGGGAGGATGATTGGCGGTTGTCGGCGCAGAGAAGACAAGGGAGAGGCGGTGGTGGTACTTGGGGATAGACCAGCAGTTGATTGGAATGAAGAGGGCATATATTAGTACAATTTCTGGAGACCTTGCGGTTCAGAAAGAGGGCGTAGTCGTCCGAAGCGTTCATCTCATAGTGCTTCTTGTCAGGGGAACAGAGTCCTGGCACTGCAAATCTCATTGGCTGAAATTCCAGGTCTCCAATACTCTTCTCCAATACTTGTCTTCATAGAGGGCAAGGCTAAGATGTCACTTCTCAGTCTGCATGAATCAATCTATGAAAGTCTGCCAATAGCATTCAGTGGCCTTCGCTTAATATGGTCGCCGCATTTAAAGCTGTTTGGGTAGAGAAGAATCCGAAGTGCGTTCTGCTTTCCATCTTGCTTTCCTACTAACTAACTACTAGTATTTACAAAGTAGTGTTTTAGGTAAGAATCTGAGACAGATCTATTATGAAGCCCCGCATTGATATAACTACGCCAAATTTGACTCGGGATTGATGTATGTGGTCGTCTGTTTCCATCCGTGTAGCTGATATACAGCAGTGTGTTCCGTAAATGCAGTGACTTGATATCTCATGGGTTTACCCCACTACGCTCCTTCACACATCTACATCCCACAGCATCAACACCTCTATATATCCTACTGATATCATGTCTTCAGCCATGAATTACACCGACCCCGTCACTAATCGTCCTCTCCCCCCTGAAACGATCCAACGCGTCCTATACATCGCCAACGCCGTGCACGTCTACCAAATCCCCCCCATCACCTCCGCCTCTGGTTTCAAAGCCGCCTCGTGGACCAGCAACCCGAAATCCCACATCTTCACCGCCCGCCTCCGCATCATCGAAAACTCCGTCCCCGCCACCGCCCGCGCCCCCGAAAAGGTTGCCATCTACGCACTCCTCGAAGACGCCAAGGAGGCCACCCTCTTCGCCGCGTGCCCGTATCTCCACCCCAGCAGCATCGAGCAGGCGCAGGACAGCTCGCGGTTCTTCGCGGTGCGTGTTGTGGGCGATGGGGGGATGAAGGCGACGTTGGGGATCGGGTTCGAGGAACGGCCCGAGGCGTTCGATTTCAGCGTGGCGTTGCAGGACGTGAGACGGCAGTTAGACATGGACGTAGCACAGGGTCCCGGAGCCCGAGGTAAGGCCAGTGGACGCGCCGCGCCGTCAACGGCTGCGGAGGAAAAGAAGGATTTCAGTCTGAAAGAGGGTGAGACCATCACCATAAATCTAGGGAACAAGACCCGGACCTCGAGCGGGCAGGGGTTTGGCTCCGCCGACGCGGTTCAAGAGCAGCGAGCGTTGTTTTCCCTTGCACCTCCACCTACGGGAGGGGTCAATACCGGTACTCAGAGGTCGAGTTGGGGCCCATCGAGCTTTCCATCGCCACCGAAAGCTCCGGACAAGAAAGAGGCCGAGGAGTTTGGGTTTGATGATGGGGAATTTGGAGAGTTCCAGTGATGTTGCTGAGAAGGTTCTCCTCTATCTCAACGGAGTGGTTGAGAGCCATTCCGGATTTTGGCGTTTTTCAAGACTTCAATTGGGTCGATGATACCTGCCTGCATTGATCTAACTCCATGGAGTACTGAATATGGTCCTTGATTTTTACACTACCACTTAATCCTTCCCCATCCCACGGAATTGATGCGTCCAAGTATGTACAGAAAACTGTAGACTGATGACTGGCTATAAGAAACCATATATCATGCTTGCCAGATGCTCTTCACATAGAGTACAAATCCAAAGGCTCCTCAGAAGTTATACTTCCAAACACTCAAGCAATAGTTCCCGATGGTTGTCCTTTCCCGTCAAATCGGACTCCCCTAGCAGCATATAGTCAAGGCCCTACGGACAACATCTAGGGACACATCCAATGGCTGACCAGGCTATTGAAAGCCAAGATACCTATCTCGGGGGTGCTGGTTATAATCGATGCATACTGAGAGATAGAATTCCTCCATGGTTTCAGACAATGGTTGACAGTTTATGTTCCGTGTCCAACTAGATGACGGGATTGTATCCTCCATCTCCCAATTAGTATCATAGAATCAATCAAAATGCAGCACTCATGACGATGCAGACTAATTGTTAACCAATTGTGAGGCTTCATATATATTAAAAGGGCATGCTGATTGGACGAATTAACTGATATATTCCAGGACAATGGCATCTGGATTGGCGATGATTGGACTGGTGTCACATAGAGACAGCTACTGAGAAGTAATCTAGAAGGCATTATTGATGATGATTGCTTCCGCCTTTGTAAATGTGCATCAAACTCTTCTGTGGTCAGACATCACGAAAATGAAGGCGTCCTGGATCGTGTTTCTACCGTCTTTGGTATCTGCGCACTGTACGTCTGAAATACTGGGTAACGAGAGGCATGCTCACTGGTAACAGACACATTCCCGGTCTTGAACAAGACGCCAGACTGGTCTCATGTCCGGCAAACAGCCAACGATGGCTCCGCTGGGAACTTCCCCATCACCGATCTGGACTCCCCAATGATGAGATGCTTCGAGAAGAGCGGCCATGAGCCTGCAAGTACGCTTGACGTGCAAGCTGGTCGGACACTGACCTTCACGGCATCGAATGGACTCGGACACCCAGGGCCGTTCTTGCTGTATATGGCAAAAGTCCCTTCAGGCCAAAAAGCAAGCTCGTGGGATCCGAGTGGGAATGTGTGGTTCAAGATCCAGGAATATGGTCCGAAGGTCACGGCCCAGGGCTATCAATGGGAGATCAATGGATCAACCAGAGACGTGCCGGTGACGATCCCGAAGGACGTACCGTCAGGAGAGTACCTGCTCCGGGTAGAACATATCGCGATCCATATTCCGGAGACACCGCAGATATACATCTCGTGTGGCCAGATCAATGTTCAAGGCGGTGGAAACGGCCAGCCTAAACCATTGGTAGCCTTTCCCGGGGCGTATTCAAAGAATGACCCTGGAATTGCCGTATACAGGCAATGGGACAGCGTGTGAGTTGTATCCAATGGCCGAGAAACCCAGACATGCTGAATGAGTACAATAGGCCGTCGGAGAACGTTCCGATGCCTGGACCACCAGTGTGGAAGGGTTAGTACCTGAAGGTTGGAATCTAGCAGCGAAAAATACCAATTCCAGAGACATTTAAAGGCAAGAAACCTGAGCAAAAGCAATGGAATGGGCAGGAGAAAGAGCATCTCGATTCATGTTTGTATAAAGCATCCATCAGGTCATCGTGGCTAGTCGGAGCATGTTGCATGGCGGACCCGTGTGCTGCGTCGACGTAAAAGGAATCGACTGAACACCTGAAATTAGCATTGTCATTGCTTCTGTATAAGCCATCTGGTGGTGGAATATAACTCAAAGCAATTGGGCTATCCGACATTGAACTTTTGATTGACGACAGGCAGTCTGAACTCTGAACTCTGAAGATGAGTGTGGATCGGACTCCACATAATGATTGCTAACACGTGACCGGAGTAGAGCTCTACTCTACCCCAGATGCCGGAAACCGGAGATGATAGTCCGGGGTTGAGAACCAGTTCGGTTGCTTTCCCCAGAGCAACCATTCGATCCCTTGATTCCGTCTCGTCCATCTGGCTCCCGCTGTGGAATTCGCAATTCATGCTCTGTCGCCTCCCTATTGTACCTGGGTGTACCTATAAAGGCCGAAATGCCCGCAAAACTACTCCGTAGGCCGATCCAGTAACCCGTCACATCGATGTGAATCGCAGCCTGTGGGGCGTCTCCCGCTGGACCTCGCGGATACCCTCGGCTTTCGTCGTCCGTCGGTTTAGCGCGAATGGTATCTTGATCGGAAAATCGACGTTTGGGATCCTGAACAACAATTTACCATTTAGGTGATATATTCGCAAAACGGTTTGGAGGTTGTCAGTAATCGGTATGGCAGCAGTATGCAGGGCGTTACGCCCATTACGGTCAGAGCTACCTCGATCCGTTTTCAAGCCCCAGCCTTCCTCAAGAGCCTTCTCGAACTCGAGGGACCTGAAAACATCATGGGGATTCATTGGTCTGGGAAGAATGGGTAATTAACAGTGTCTTATATCATCTTTCGAGCCAGTCACTGACGAGTTCGTAGGATATGCCATGGCCAAGAATCTCCGAGCCAGGATTCCGGCTGAGGACGTGTTGATCATCCAAGATATCAACACGGCTGCAACCAAGCAATTTGTGGAAGAGGCGGGAATCCAGAAGATTAAAGTTGCAGACACCGTACGGCAGGTTGCTGAAGAAGCTGTAAGTTGAGATCGTGCTATTCATGCCGCGTCAAGCGCTCCATTTCCCCTGCTTTCCTAGTCATTTGGCTACGCTGGGGCGCAAGCCCCTCACATGATAACAACCTTGTTTAACCAATCTTCTGAATTGAATCCCTCTATCATGCTTTCGACATTATATATAACTCCCGCCTGACGTGATCCTAGGAAACTATCATCACGGCACTCCCTGAACCGCAGCATGTCAAGGCCGTCTATTCCGCAATGCTGGATCCGCCCACTCTTCTCACTAGTACCTCTATTCAATCTCCTCGTCTGTTCATTGATAGCTCTACTATCGACATCACGACCTCCGCCGAGGTCGCCGCGCTTGCCCAGGGAAGCAAGCAAGGCATCTTTATCGACGCCCCGATGTCGGGCGGCGTAGTCGGAGCGCAAGCCGGCACCCTCTCATTCATGGTCGGATGTGAACCGGAGCATCTGGAGCGCGCCAGCGCAGTCTTGATGATGATGGGAAAGCGCGTGCTCCACCTCGGCCGTCAAGGGGCCGGGTTGAAGGGGAAGTTAGCGAACAACTACCTCCTTGCGTTGAACAATCTCGCGACTGCCGAAGCCATGAACATGGGCGTCCAGTGGGGATTGGAGCCGAAGGCGTTGGCGAACATGATCAATCTTTCCACCGGCAAGTGCTGGCCGAGTGAGGTGAACAATCCGGTTCCCGGAGTGGTTGAAGCCGCGCCATCCAGTCGAGGCTATGAGGGCGGATTTGGAGTTGGGTTAGCCAACAAGGACCTGAAATTAGCGTTGAAAGATGCCCATGAAGCCGGAGTCAAGATCGTGCTGGGCGATGTCGCAAAGCAACTCTATGACGCTGTTGAGAAGGATGAGAAGTGCAAAGGCAGGGATTTCTCGGTCGTTTATAGGTATCTCGGCGGAAAGGAATAAGCTGTATAGCACAAAAATGAATGTACTCTTTTCCAGCAGCATTCTTCTGTTAATATTAGAAGCAAATCAGGCAATAACATAAATCAACCTTCATAATCCGAACTTGAATGTTCATGTGGATGTCAACCGCAGAACGCCACCGACAAGGATGTGGGGTCGATCAGCTTCATCGCCAGTTCAAGATTAAAACCTTCAGCGTCTATAGTAAACAAATCCAACGACCACCCCAATCCCCCGAAAGGAATTCAAAATACCCACGTCCTTAGATGGTACATGCAAAACGATCATGAGCAATCAATGCGAACTTCCCGATGCGCCGTCGGACGCCATATCTGCGGTCAGATTCTCTCCCTCGTCCACCAAGCTGCTCGTTTCGTCATGGGACAAACACGTCTATCTTTATGATGTGTCGAAGGAAGCTGGAGACAGTCCTCGACTGATACAGAAGTTCGAGCATCGTGCGCCTGTCCTCGATGTCTGCTGGGGGAAGGATGATTCGGAAGCATATAGCGGAGGGCTGGACTGGGATGTCCGAAGGTAAAATGAATGCGCGCCATCTATGCGGTATGGATCTAACGTTCTTCCACTACAGAATCGACCTGAAGTCAAGCGAACAGACCGTACTCTCTTCCCATTCCTCCGCCGCCAAGTCCCTAGCCTTCTCCGCTTCCCATAACATCCTCGTCTCCGCATCATGGGACTGCACCCTCCACATCCACCACATCGGCACCACCACCACCCCCGCCACGATCCCCCTCCCACACAAGCCCTTCTCTCTCTCCCTTTCCCCCACCCGCCTCGTCGTCGCCATGGCCTCCCGCCAGCTCCACATCTACGACCTCCCCGCCCTCTCCGCCCTCTCTGCGCAAGCCTCCCAAGCCCCGCCCAACACCCTCGAGCTCGAGCCGTGGCAGCGCCGCGAAAGCAGCCTGAAGTTCATGACGCGGGCCGTCGCGTGCATGCCGAACGATGAGGGGTATGCGTCGAGCAGCATCGAGGGGCGTGTGGCGGTGGAGTGGTTCGACCCGTCAGTGGAGTCGCAGGCGCGGAAGTACGCCTTCAAGTGCCATCGGCAGACGGTGGATGGCGTGGATGTGGTGTATCCAGTGAATGCGCTGTCGTATCATCCGGTGTATGGCACGTTTGCGAGCGGGGGTGGGGATGGGGTCGTGGCATTGTGGGATGGGGTGGCGAAGCGGAGGATTAAGCAATATCAGAAGTACTCGGCGAGTGTGGTGGCGTTGGCGTGGAATGGGGATGGGACGCGGTTGGCAGTGGGGGTCAGTCCAGGATTTGAGGATGGCAAGGAGGTGGAGGAGGGTGTCATCAAGATCTACATCAGGGAGGTCGCGGAAGGCGAGGCGAAGGGGAAGGGAGGGAAATAATACTGGGGTTGCGTTCACACACAGCATGGATGGACAGAGGCGTTTCGTGAATGCATTCAATGATACCAGATGACCAAGGATATTTCTCTCCTATACAAGCTGGCGCGTTCCATCGGCAGGGCAAGGACATTCGATTTGCTTCAACTTCGAAACTTCTTCGTGTTTGGCTCGCGTGAACTCGGGCCTCCAGTCTTCTAGTCTCCCGGCAATCAGCATTCTCTAAAGCCAAATCTTGCTCTCTCTGTCGTGATCCGTATGAGGATACATCGTTCAGAGGTCATCCGCTGAGGCATACTGTTTTTCAGTCGGGCCGCCTTCCCCCAGGCGCCTTGTCTCTTGCTGGCACGGCTTAGGGGCTCATAGCCATAGAATCGTAACTCGGATCAAGTAGCGGATGCCAATCACCCTCCATCGCCCAGGTCTTCGTCATCCTCTTCATCATCGTCATCATCATCAACATTCAACCCCTCCCCACCCCTCCCCACCTCCTTCCCCAGTCCCAAAACCCCCATCACCACATCATCCCCCTCCACCCCCGTCGCCCGCCCCACGATCTTCTTCGCCCGCCTCACTACCTCCTCCTCCGCCTTCCGGATCGTCCCGCTCACCCGCACCACCCGCACCACGACGCTGCCCCGCACGGGTGCTGGTAACGACGTCGTGCACGTCAACGCCGCCCAGACGAGGCGAAACGCATGGCGCGGACAGCGGACGATGGCGGTGCTGGTGGCGGTGCTGAGGTATTTGACTGCGCCGGGGTCAGTGATCCTCGTGGTGTGGAGGACGTCAGGGGTGGTTACCAGCTAATGTGTTCCCTACTTGGCCGAGGCCGATCTGGCCGAATAGCCCTTCGATGGCGTTGCGGATTGATTTGGATAGCAGTCCGGGCGTCAGGAAGTCGGAGGTCGGCCCATGGAATGCGAGCGCGGCTGGGAGGGCTCCGAGGGTTGGGTTGGAGGTGGGATAGAGGAACTCGACCACGAGATATCGGTTCTTGACTCGGACCATGGTGATAGGAATTTCAGTCTCCCCGGTTAATGATCACTACACATGATTGCTAGTGCATCGAAGTAAGAGTAGTATCTTCATAAACGATCTCAATGAAGTGCAACCTAAACGCTGTGTACATGCATGGATATCAACTTTAAAGTGGGTCGAGGTTTAATGCTGGACAACTTCCGACTCTGGCTTACTGTCCTGTCTGGTGATGTTGAATTTGAAAGTATACCAGTCAATTCAGTTCCTTATAAGAATCTCGGAACTAGTGAATCACGGTTTAGGACCGAACTTCAGAAATCCGCAATTCTTATCTCCATCACATTTGGTTGCGTCATGTCAAGCCGCGAGGGCGCGGCGAACGCGTCAACAGGCTCCCAAGGGGCGGCAAATGGAGGATCGCCTTCCACATACTTTGAGCAACAGAGAGCGATACTCGTTGGGGAGATATCTCAGGTACAGTGTTTAAGCCAAGTGATCGTTGGAACCTGGCGGTCCCCTAGCTGTAGTGTATCTAACGCCTGTGAAGAGTTTGGAACATACCCTACAGAACCTGAACAAACTGAACCTCAGTCTGGAGAGCGTTATCCAGGTACGTCGTGTCTCACCTTGGGATATTATACGGGAGTCAAACCAGCTAACCGTAAGATACAGGTTGGTAACGAGCTTGGATCGGTGGAAGCGCTATGGAGCCAGTTTGAGAACTTCATGGGCAAGGAGGAGCAGCGGGAGGACCAGGCAGATGAGACGGCCGTGAAAGAGGAAGAGGAGGAGGCTGGGCGGGATACGACCGAGGCGACATCTCAATGAAGGCTGCGTTGCTTACGAAATGATACCCCCGAGGCGTGTTCATGGATCGTCCGATCGCGACGACGGTACGGGCCGGCGTTCTGGTTTGAAAGATTTTGTATCGATTGATGATATGTACGACAGAAACCCATAGTCGTCAGTTCGCATGTCATCCATCCCCAGTCTTACACAGATGCGCCGATGTGACGCCGATAAATATGCACCGCCGAACTGCCCATCCATCCAAACCGCCCGATCATCGAATGGTCATGCCATCCTCGCACACTGGCCGTCATCGAACTCGTTGGCCATATCCACGTAAACTACGTAAACCAATCGGGTGACTCACCAGGCTCCAACATGGCTGATTAAACTTCCTCCATCAAGGATGAAGCAGCGTGGGAAAGTGTCCAACACTATAACCCAAAGAGGTCGCTCAAAGAATCGTGCACCGCTTGATCTCCCTTCTCCTCCGTCCGCTCGGCCGAACCAACCCTCCCCGCGCCCTATCCCCCGTCTCCCGATCCACATCTCGCTCCGGCCCGCCCGCGTCCTCCTCGCCTACCGCCAGGCGGACGGCGACGTCGAAGATCTCGGCGACGCCGGTCATCTCCTTGCTGGAGCACTCCATGTAGGTGGCGCCCATCTTCGCGGCGACGGCGCGGCCCTGTTCGGGAGTCACAGGGGTGAGGCCTTGGGTTTTGAGGAGGTCAATGCAGGTTTTCTTGTGGCGAAGATCGGATTTGAGACCGACGAGGATGATGGGCGTGTGGGGGAGGAAGTGCATGACTTCGGGGTACCACTGGCAAAAGATTTGTTAGTGGTTGGTGATAGGAGGGCGAAGTGCGGTGACGTACCTTGTCCATGACATTCTCGAGACTGTTGGGGCAGTCGATGGCGAAGCAGACAAAGGCGAGGTCCGTCTCTGGGTATGAGAGCGGGCGGAGCCGGTCGTATTCTTCCTGGCCTGCAGTGTCCCACAGTGCTAACTCGACTGTCTTGCCGGTCGTCGGATGTGGAGTGTGCGTGATATAGTTCTCGAACACAGTCGGAACATATTTCTGTTGTCATTAGCTCTATGAGCAGTGACGGCAGGATAGTTTCTGTGACGTCTCACCTCTGGGAAGATTCCCGCGCTGTAGCTGATCAACAAGCACGTCTTGCCGCATCCTCCATCGCCAACCACCACTAGCTTCTTGGAATAAACAGGAGGTTCCGTCAATGAAGTTGTATGGGTAGCGGCAGTATTCGCGGTCGAGGTGGTGATGGACGAGCTGACCGTCCCGTTGCTCACTCGCTCGCTCGGCGGCCGAACGGGTTTACGGGTAACATTGTTCGAGTCGCCATGGGAAAGGTTGATGCGCTCGGAGTTCTTCCGCCGCAGATAGTCGTAGTTTTGTGTTCCTTCGACGGACATGGCGGAGAGTGCCCGGCCGCTCGATGGGATTAGTGATGATGGAAATGGCACGTTCTGGGAGAAGAGATGCAGTAATAATCCAATTAATATGGGGGACGGCGTTCAATGGTGGAGGGGTGTCCCAGAAGTGTGCGGAGATGGTGGTGGTCAGATGGAGACAGTGAAGTGGAATGGTGGAAAGGCAGTGACACCGAAGGTCGCCCGCCCAATAATGGATGTTAGATGACTTGACGCTGGAGTTGCAAGAGCGACGTGGCTCTCAAGTGTGCGGGATGGAAATTTGGAAAGCGATTCTTAAAGACCAAGAGGTCTGTGCAAATTGAATGTGATAGAGTGAACGGTGAAGATGTTCTCGATGTTGACAGCGAAGACCGGAATTGACCAACTGGGGGTCCATCAACATCCCCATAGCAACGGTTGGGGCCTCGTGGGGGGGACGTGGGCCCCGTAGGATTGCACCAATAACTGGGTGGTATAGGCGCTATAGACGCCATAGACGCGGGGCTTCCATCGCCAAGGCGCTGGGTACGTCGGGGCCCAACCGCCCAATGGACAATCGATCACTTTAATATCTTTGTCAGCTGATCAGCATGGGCCGTGGATTGCTCTGCAGTAGTACAGAAGTATGTATCGAGGTATGCACCAATCCCTATCGTCCAACTGAAGTCACTCAGGGTCTCAAGCCACTCAAGCCACCGTCATTTTCGGGCTCCTCGTCCGCTCATCTCCCGACTCCCGCTCTCCAATTCAATATCCGACGCGCATCGCATTTAGCAATCACCACTCCTCCGTTGCTCCTTTCCCAGCACCCGCAGTTCTCTTGGTTGCTCGCTGCGGATGGATTATACCTAGAGCCCTGTGATTCCCCATGCCTTGACTCTCAATTGACCATGTTAACGGTGGATGATCTTACCCCTCCGCCCTGCAGCTTATCAATTTCGGTTTTTCATTCTCTCCATCGCATTCCTTCTGAAGCGTCCTGTCCTTGAAGCGTATCATGAAGCCAGATATGGATTGTAACCAAGCTAATGGCCATGGTGGGAGACTCGATGCGGGCTGCCGTGACATAGACCACTGTATGTACTTGCATCGAGAACTCCACGCTATCTCGTTCGCAGATTCCCTATTGTACTGTCCGATAGACTAAATCCCTCATCCCCAGATGCATCCCGTCTCCCACGATGGCGATACAAGCTCCGCCAGGCCCTCATCCCCATCATCCGCGCTGAAACCCCCTACCTCGCCATGCTCCAACACCACCTCCGATCCCCCAACCTCGACGGCTTCTTCGCCTGGTCTGCCAACCTCGGGACCCACACCGCCTTCATGGTCCTGCTCCCGATATTCTTCTGGGCTGGCCACACCTCCTTCGGCCGCGCGTATACCCAGATGTTGGCCGCCGGCGTATTCTTCTCTGGCGCCATCAAGGACCTGCTCTGCCTCCCGCGCCCGCTCTCGCCCCCATTGCGCCGGATCAGCATGTCGGGGAGCGCGGCGCTGGAGTATGGATTCCCGAGTACCCATTCGACGAACGCGGTTTCCGTGGCGGCGTATGCGCTGGTGCTGATTTGGCGGGCGGCCGAGGAGGGCAGGATATCGAGTCACGCCAGCACAGGCATCCAGCTCCTGATCTGGGGGTATACCTTCGCCATCGTCTTCGGTCGATTGATTCTCGGCATGCATGGTTTCTTTGATGTCATTGTTGGGTCGCTCCTTGGCTTAGTCATCGCCATTGTACAGATCCAATGGGGCGAGGACTTCGAAGTATGGCTCACTGGGCCTTCTCCGATCCCGATTATAACATGTCTGCTCTTGATTCTCTTCTGTGTTCGGATTCATCCCGAGCCTGCCGATGATTGTCCATGTTTTGATGACGGCGTTGCTTTCGCGGGAGTTATAATCGGGATTGAAGGGGGCATTTGGCATTTTGCAACCACCTCGTATAGCGTGTCCGAGCCTACACCCGGGACCGCCCCATTTTCTTTTGAGCGTGTCGGGATATTCAAATCCCTGTTGAGAGTCGTTCTCGGCATTGCTTTAATCTTTGCGTGGCGAGCGACCATGAAACCGATTCTTCTAGGAGGTCTTCCTCCTCTATTTCGGACTTTGGAGCGCGTGGGCTTCGAGATGCCCCGAAGATACTTCCTCAAGGCCTCGTATGTTGGACTACGTCGATTTATTTCCCGGATCATCCTTGCTGACCATATGCCTTGTACAGTCAATACACCAAAATCCCCTCGACAGCCTATCTCGACAGCGTGATCCCCTCAGCGTCCGACCTGCCTACCATCATCACGAGCTTCCGGCACCCGCGTCGGCGCGCCGTTTCCATTGGTCCTCAATCCCAAGCCGACGCATACGAGGCCATCGCCTACCGGCGCATTCGCCGCGAAAGCATGGGCCAATCCCGCACCACCCCGTCGCCCATGCACGCGGCCTCCGCCCACCCGTTCGGGCGGCCGAAGTTCGATTCCGTGCACGAGCAGGAGGCGCGCGATGCGAGCGCCGACGACAGCCCAGACGTCGGACGGGAGCGGTCGCGGAGCTTTGGTGAGACGATCAGACCTGAGATCGAGAAGTATCAGGGGATGATGGGGAGTGTGGCGCCAGAGCAGGAGACGGAGGAGCTGGGCGAGCAGGAGGAGGAGGCGGCCGATCAGAACATCCTGGCGGGGGTACAGAAGCCGCGGGTCAGGTATGATGTTGAGGTGGTGACGAAGTTGATCGTATATTCCGGTGAGTCTTTCGCTAGCCAACGCCGTCCACAAACCCACTCATTTTTACTTTAGGGATTGCATGGTTAGCAGTTGAAGGCGGCCCAATCCTCTTCGAAATTCTGGGGCTAGGGATGTCATGACTCATGATGGCTATGTATATATTTTGCACGGATGTTCATGTCGCTGTACATATCGAAAGCTGGATTGCGGCACACAGTATTGGCCTGGTATATGTATCAACTCCTACTTCGGCCTGCTATCGTTCGACTTCCCAAGTTTCCTGCTCGCAGCTCAGCCAATACGTGCGTGCGGCGCCACAGGTACCCCAGGAATGGACCCTTTCAACGCCGCCTCCAGCTTCTCCCCGTCCGTCCCTCCTATCTCCACGCCCAGGAGCTTTCGTACGTGATCCAACAGCCCCCCTTCCGCCCGTTCGATCTCCATGTGCCGGCCCTGCCAGCTATAAATCAGCTGCCCATCCCGGCTCGAGTCGGCCATCAAGTTGGCTGTGCTTCTCGCGACCACCTCCGGCCCCTGCATCATATCACCGAGCGCTACACGCAGTTCTTCGGGGACCAGGCCCGTGGCGGTCCATGAGGGGGCGATGGAGTTGACGCGGATGTTGAACGGTTTGAGGTGGGGGATGATGGAGCGTTGGAAGCCGAGGACGCCATGTTTAGCGGTCGCTGTGAGACGTTGAGCGGGAATTGCGCACTGGGGGAGAGGTTGGCTTACTGTAGTCGGGAACGGGGAATTCTTGGAAGCCTAGACGCCAATTATTGAGTAAGCAAATGAGTCGGAGGTGGTAGAGTCAGAGGGACGCACTTGACCCGCTGGCAGTGAGCACTACGCTGCCGCCATCGCCATGCTTCTTGATGTAATGAGCAGCGAGACGGACGGTGGAGATCACTCCCAGGAGATTCACGTTCACTGTCCTGAAATTCGGTGGAGTAAGGTTCCCGTCACTGTCAACCTCGTCATCAAAGAAGGTGCTGGTCAGCGAGAGGCCCGCGTTGGCGAAGACATGGTCCACCCGCCCCCACTTCTCGTGGACGTTTTTGAAGATGCTGAGCAGTGATTCCCACGACGTCACGTCCAGCTGCTGGTAAAAGACGCCGGCGGAATCGAGACTCGCGGGCAGCGGGTTCCGGTCCCCCATCGCGACGCGTGCACCGAGCGAGACGAGGAGCTCTACGGTAGCCAGACCGATACCTGACGATCCACCTTTTCACATTGCTCAGCGAGTTGGTTCACGGCATCCATCTTGAGAGATATTGACGCACCGGTGACCAGGACAACCTTGTCCTTTATGCGCGCCAGATCCTCATCCTTAATAATGAATTCTGACACCATGTTTGTGGAAGATCCGCAATATCGCTCGTGGGTGGAATAAGTGATGACAAGGGCAACTTCAAAAGTCCGGAAGCAGAAGAGATGACACCGTTATCGACCGTCGGCCGACCGCCATCATTATAAATAGGGTACTTATACTCAACCCGATGGCCTAGGCACCACGCGGTCGGGCCTACCAAACCTTTCACCTCGCTTTGGGGTGAGGTAGTATCGCGACTGAACCCCGCGAATCATCCTGCGGTTAGCCGAAAGGCGGCCCAAGACGACGGACCAAACGCGCAAGAAACTTTAGAAAGACTTGGAAGCATAAAATGAATAGACCAAACCATAGATCTACTCAACTTGCGCATCCTGGTAGACGTAGGCTCGGCTTCAAGTGTTAGTTACTAGAACTTGCTCAGTTGCAGCAGTGCTAACGCTTATTTATCACCAATGCGATGAGAATGGACAATCATGTACTCCAGAGGTAATAAAGCGGGGAAATCCTTCCCCAGGTCTTAGGTCCAAACGAGTGCGGATAAAAATAACCGCTGGGATTAGCGTGCTGCGTGTCCAGTGTTGGGCAGTTCTACCAGCTCCAAAGTTCCGAGAGCTCTACCAGAACCACATTTGGAAGTTGATAGTAGAAAATCGGACGTGAACTTGTCATGGCCGACACCAACAAGGCATGAAAACAGCCAAGCGAAATGGGAATGGAATAGGGGCGACGAAGGTCTTCAATGACGAGGGGAAAACGAATCATTATTTGTTTCGTCCGTCGACGATCGGATATCCATAATCTGCAGCTCTTGAACGGAGTCCGTCCATACTTCGGAGATCCAGGGGAGCTCTAAGGACTCAAGAATGAATAGCCAAATAGGCGCTTTTTGATCGGGCACTCTACGGCGAAAGTTAGCTGCTGATTGTAACACCACCACGATGGGCAATAATAATGACGGCAAGAATAGGCATGGAGTTGTTGAAAAACCGATGGAGTTGACATTTGGAGGTCGAGATGCCGCTAGACTATATTGGGTGTGACCTAGACATCAGACCAGACATATCAACCTCATATCGGTGTGCGACCTCGACATGTCAACTTCCAACTAACGTGATCGAGTCGGAGTCCACGTCTAATAAAACAGAAAATCACACCACTGATCGATGGAAAGCGGCGTATTGTCGTTATAAGTCCGTCGTCTCTGCTCCGCAACGAATCCTCATACGTAGTAGGGACTCGACGCGACTCGCGCTCCTGTCCGCGAAATCGCGGAGATGTCGCCAGTGTTGCTGGACTTCAGTATCGGTGGACGGCGGTGCGACTGAGAGCCGTGTAGATCTCCTGTTTCAAGTCGAACATATTATCGTTTTGGATTCCTCAATTCTCAACATGTCCTTCGAAGTCGTCCTGCATCCCTCTCGCACCGTTGTTAAAGGCCCTCCTCTTCAGTCGTTTTTGCGTCTCTGGCCTGAGGTCTTTCCTTAAGGTCACTTTTCTTCTTCTATTCTATTCAACTTTGATCGTTCAAGATCGCACCGATGAAGCATATCTCTAGGTCCATTACTTTGGGTTTTGCCCTTGCTGGTGCAGCAACGGCGGGCGTCCAAGAACAACAGGTTATCCCGCCTCAACATGTCATTTCACCAGAATCATCTTGCTCCGAGACACAGGAAGGAGCCTTCACGCGTAAGTATAGGCCTCCATCCCCCGTATTCCGTGAAATTTAGCCATCTCCCTTGAATGGTACATGAACGGAGCTGACAGTACTCGAAGAGCATGGATTCGAAGACTGCCTGGCGAAGCAGGCGATGTCCATCTTTTACCCCGAAGATGAAGAGTACGCACCAATGATCTACCCTTACAATCTCCGAATTCCCATATACCCGAAAGCCGTGGTGGTGCCTGAAGATGCACAGGGCGTGTCATTAGCAGTGCGATGCGGGCACCAATGCGGACTGAAGGTGCAACCTCGATCAGGGGGCCACTCATTCGGCAATTTTGGGCTGGGCGGAAAAGACGGCCAGCTGGTTATCAGCATGCAGAACTTCCAGGACGAGATCGAAATCGACGAACAGGGCATCGCCAAGGTCGGTACCGGTTACAGGCTCGGGAACGTTGCGCTCTCTATATATGAGAAGGGGAAGAGGGTTCTTGCTCATGGCACATGTCCCGGCGTTGGTGTTGGTGGTCATTTCACTCACGGTAAGCTCGTCTACTATCTTTCCAATGATATGTGCTCATTTTCTTAGGCGGTAATGGATACTCAAGCCGCCGATATGGTCTTGCTGTGGACCAGATTGTTGGTCTCGACGTTGTCACCGCGGATGGCGCCATCGTTTATGCCAGCGAGAAGCAGAATCGCGAGCTTTACTGGGTACTTAGCTCCCAAATTCTATCGTAGAAGCCCGTCTAATCATTCCAATAGGCTCTTCGTGGCGCCGCTGACTCTTTCGGAATCATTACAACATTCTACCTTCAAACCAGTCCAGCCCCCGAGAATGTCGTCTGGTACTCAATTCGTGCCAATATGGACATCCTCAAGAATGAGACCCAATTTGTGCACTACTTCGAGCACATGCAGAACTTCGCGCAGAATGCTACTATCGTCGACCGCAATCTGGGCATGGGCATGTACTATGACAACTGGAACCACCACTTGTACGGAACCTACTTTGGCTCCGAGGAACACTTCCGAGAGAACATCTGGCCGTCCATGCGGGATGCATATCTTCTGGAACCCCAGTCAATCGTCATCGCCTCTGTCAGCTGGCCCGAGTCGCTCCAGAACTTAGCAGAGAAAGTCCCGCTCCAGCAGCCGAAGTTCGGATATGACATGGCATCCAACTTCCATTCGACCGCCCTCACCATCCCCAGCACGAACTTGGTCACCCGCGATGCCTGGGTCAACTACTTCAACTACATCCAGACCCTTCCCAACATCGCCGACGACGGCGTCGGCTGGTTCGGAATGTTGGGTCTCGAAGGGGGTCCGGATTCCCAAGTCCAGCGGAAAGATCGCGACGAAAACTTCGCCGCCTACCACCGCAAGGACAAGTTCTGGGACTTCCTCCACTATTCGTACGTGCCCGATGAGACCACACCGCAAGACTTCCCGCTCTGGTCGATTGAAGTTGCCGACGGCCTCACGGCGGCGATTATGGACGCCATGCCCAGTGCGGAATTTGGCATGTACATGAACCATGTGGACCCCACGTTGAACAAGGAGGAGGTTATCAAATATTATTACGGCGGCGAGACGCTGTACACGCGGTTGCAGAAGGCAAAAGCGGTATGGGATCCCGAGGAGGTGTTCTGGAATCCACAGAGCATTGCACCCGCGCCTCGCTCCAGGTCTGGCTGGTCCAAACTGGGGCTGGGGAACGTTTTCCGCACTCTGCAAATTGCTCCTTCGATCGTTCCGGAGCTTTAGGTGCAGAGTCCTTTCCTTTCAGACGAGGTAATGGATTAATCGGGGGTGAGGTTTTAGGGGGCTTTTGACATGCATTCAACGGCCGGGGCTTTGATCCTCAGTATTATACGGAATTCCATAGATGTAGTAACGGTGTCTTGATTTTGGAATGACGGATCTGAGACAACGTATAATAGATCAATTCCTTAAATGCCGACTGGTGCCATTAACTTCTGATGGCTGCACGTGTAAAATATAACAGTAACGGCAGCAAGGAACCACAGCCAATCAGAAGCCGAGACGGTTGGAGAGACGTCGTCATTCCGCCACACGCAATCTTCCCCGTTCCCGCTTGACAGCTTGAGCTTCGAGTTCACTGGTAGCTAATACTGTTCACCCTCACATCCTTATCACTTCACATGCGAAACTAAATACTTCTTCTTCCCGCGTAAATCGAATTTACCGTGAAGTTGCATCAACATCCACAATGTCCGAGAAACCTACTGAGAAGCCGGTATGTCTCTCTCTGTTCCCTGATGCGACGGAATTTGTGGTCTGACTTCTAGTCCAGGCTCCAGGCTCCGGCCGAGAATCGCCACGAACAGCACGGGATCCCGATTTCGACGATGACCCGGAAGAGATTGTCGCAAGCGCTCCAGCATTCGCCCTCGCGCCCGCCGCCTCCGAACCTAAACCGAAACCCAGGGTGAGCTTTGCCGACGAGGAGCAGCCACCCGTGAAGCCACCCCGACCCGTCAGCCCGCAGGCTCAGGCGGAGGCGACATTGGTAGAAGCCTTTCCGAGCGTCGATACGAAGGTCGTCCAAGCGGTGTTGCGCGCCAGTGGTGGGAAGATGGAGCCGGCATTCAACGCCTTGCTGAGTTCGTATGCGCTGCTTCGTGTCCGGCCCCGATGCTGACCAGTATACAGGCATGTCCGATCCGAATTACCAGGATGAGCCAGCACCTCTACGACAGCCTCCGCGGCCCACACAGGCACGGACACAGTTGGAAGCAGACGAGTTGTATGCACGACAGTTGGCAGAACACTATCAGTCGCAAGGACATGAAGGATTCGGATCACGGGGGAGAGGCGACCCTCCCATGCCTAGGGGAAGGCAGGAATCGGGATTGAAACCCAACGAGATGTACGATGACAGGGATCACAGCTTCTTCGACGGTAAATGGCATCGGTTGCATGTGGCGGTGATGCAACTGACAGTTCTTAGATGATCTACCCGTCATCCGCGAAAACATTCGAAAGGGCTTCGTCGAGACGCAGTCATGGTTCAACAAGACCATCTCCGATTTAAAGAAGAAGATGGACGGCGAGGACGACGACGACCTGGACCGGCCCGGTGCAGCTTACCAGCGACAGAACTACGGCCCTTCGCAGTCGGACCAGATGCGCGGGATCCGGAGGAGCGCCGAGACTCGGGGAAGCGGTGACAGGCATCGCTACGACGCGGATCCGAGGGTATTGGACGACGATTTCACGGCCCTTGAGCTTCGAGATGATGAGCGTATGTTCCCTCACTTTGTATTCCGTTTTTAGTTGTTAACCGTCGATACAGATCCGCCTCCCAAGCCTGCCCGCCCGCTTGCGAATCCCGACCTCTTCAAACCTACCCCCGCCGCTCCGCGTCCCGGTCCCGTCGACGAAATCGACGCCATCTACGGCCAACCGACGCGAGATCCCTCGCCGGGGGTGGGCAAGACGAAGAAGTGGCAGCCTCTCACCTCGGTCGCGCCGAATCCGGAGGGGGATAACGATCCGTTCAGCCTAGGGGACAGCGACGAGGAGGAGGCTAAGACGAAGGATCTGAAGCAGGAGGATACTGAGAGGCTGAAGAAGTCGGCGTCAGCGTCCGTTTCAGAAGGAACGGGAGCCGAGTTGCCGAAGTTGGAGAAGGCGGAGACGTCGGGGACGAAAGATAAGGATGCGGAGGAGCTATTGAAGAACAAGACCTAGGGTTGGGACGGTTTCACATCCTAACGTTGCAGACCGTGACGATGCTGTAGAATGTACCTGATCGTTGCAACGTGTGACGAATAGGGTGTGCGAAAGTGGAGAGAATTGTTGCTGCACTAGCACTCAGGTTCCTTATCTTACCTAACCAATCGTGTCATTGAAGCGTTGAAGTTGAACGAGATAGGTAGTTCCGCGTCAAATTTCCATATTGGGTATGGCTCGTCTTTCCTATCAGTAACGGACCGCCCGCATCTCGACAATCCATCAGGTGCATTTGAACTCAGCAACTTTGTCGTTCCTAAAAGACCAATGTGTCATAGACCGATGAAGCACTCGCGATAATGATCCTCTCGTCTGTACTTGTTTTTGCAGCCATTGCTCATGGCAGGGAGATCGTGTTTCCTCCTCTGCTAGACATCACCCAGAATGACCAATTGTTCAAGAGCTTGGAAGGCGCAGGGCAAGATTCAGGCTTCGGTGTTGCGATCGCTGGTCTGCCAACCTATGCGAATTTGCCATTTATAAACTGTGCAGCCAAGGACGGCGACGATGTGTTCGACATTGGAATCCTTGGGGCAGGTTTTGATACTGTGAGGCCATCTCCCCTCCACTCCATTTTCGTATCGCCGTCATTAGAAACATGAGACCAGATGTCATTATGGAAGATTACTGAAGTCTTGTCGCGCATCGCGTTTCTCTCTTCCATATTACCTTCATTCCATGCTGCGTTCCGTTCATCTCCCACAGGCGGGAAACATAGTGCTAACTCAATCTCAGGGCGTAACTGCCCGGCCTGGCACTCGCTTCGGCCCCGATGGCATACGGCAGGGCTCAAGGCGCATGAGCGATAGCATTTGGAGCATCTATACCGGTACCCGCCTCCCCTTTCGTCAAAGTGTTCAAGCAGGCATCGGGCCTGATCCGGATCATCTGGTTTTCCCCTGAGCGGGTGCCCGCGTGTTGGTTTTGTGTGACAGTTGCCGCCCATTGTTCTTGTGCATGACTAGGGGATGTTATCTAAAGGTTAACTGCAGGCAAAAATACTTTCCGCGACTGGGCCCGGATCGTCGACTGCGGGAACGCGCCGTTGACGTATCTGGTGAGTCATACCCGGCGGAGCCCCATTGGAGAACAACACTGATGTATATGGTACGGAAAGGACAATACGGTAGCGTTGAAGCAATTGCAGCTTTCGCACAAGGCAAGTAGCCGATTCGCTTGGGGACGTGCTGATGGGGATAAGCGAGACTGATATGTGGATAGGCCATCTCAGCGAGAAGGACCAGTTCCAGCGAATATACTACCCCGAGGATATTGACTCTGGGTGGAGATCATACAACCACTCTCCCGGCGTTAAGATCGGCTTATCAGAAGTTTGGACAAGTCAGCGTAATACATTTCGATTCGCATCTCGGTAGGTCAATAGAATCGTTGCACCCTGCCAGGACAATATTGATTCTGACATTGGGAAGATACCTGGGATCCTAAGGTGCTAGGTGAGTAGACTCCTGGAAATCCAAATCATGACTAGACTGATCAAAGGTTCTACATCTTGCAGGAGGCGGAATCTCGCATTATGCGTACGTGTGCAGAACTCTCGACTGGTGTAACCACCCTAACATGTCAAACAGCGGCGTCAACCACGGAACCTTCCTCCACATCGCACACGAAGAAGGCCTCATTGGCAACAGTTCGATCCACGTCGGCATCCGAGCGCCCGTCTTGCGTCCGAAAGGAGACGTCCGAAATGACATCCGATGCGGCTTCGACATGATCAAAGCGCGTGACCTCGACCGAATCGGCGTCCAAGGGGTGGTTGACAAAATTAAGGAAAGAGTCGGAGCGAATAAGGTCTACATTAGCGTGGATATTGATGTACTTGATCCCGCGTTTGCTCCAGGTGAGTTGTCTGGGGAGAATTGCCGAGCACTTAAAGAGTCGAAGGCTTGAAATGGGATTGATCTGTTGAGGAGTACTAGTAACTGACATGTTTCGCAAACAGGAACCGGGACAGCAGAGGCAGGCGGTTGGTCGACCAGGGAGCTGCTCACGATCCTCGATGCGCTCTCTGGCCTGGAGGTGGTTGGGGGAGACGTCGGTAAGCTTTCCTCCTGTCCGCTGCCTAGATTGCTTGAATTAACGTTGTCTTCCCCCAGTCGAGGTGGCCCCGATCTATGACAACGCTGGTGAAACCACAATCATTGCTGCAGCCGAAGTCGCGCACTCGTTGCTGCAGTTGATGGTGGACCAGCCAGTAAAGAGTCTACGTGCCACAAATGAGTAGAATGGTGCTTCCCGCGGACACAAGGACGCTACCACAATATATTGATGCCCAGGCATGAAAATTTTTCATAAGTATCTAAGTGCTGAAGGCCTCGCTCTGGAGAAGAGGTAGTATATATCAATATAAAGTGAAGTAGTCGGAATATCTAGACTCTAGATAGAAATATAGCGGTTGAGATGATATACTTGCATGCGTATCGCCCTCATTTGTGGAAGCAAGAGGTACGTCCTTGCAACGTATTCCACGTGTCTTGGCTTCAGTGCATTCTTCGTAAGCAAACGCGTTCAATTTGCGGTCGGGCAAAAGCTAACGGTGTCGCCACTGCTTTTGTTCGGACTGATACTGGACTTTTGACAAACCTATGGCCAATTTGGGCGGAAGGGATGGGTGTCATGATACGATTTTGGGATGAGTTTAATGAGAAGAACTGGGCCAATTGCGTACACCCCGTTCTGGTTAAGGACGATCTTGGAATCGACGCGAGCAGTATTGTTGATTTGGAGACACTGAAAGGACTGGTGTTGTAGATGGCGCAGATTTGTCACCTGATCCAAGTTCGGAGAGGGAGATATCCGGTAGAGTAGCTGTCTAGGTTCGGTAATGAGAATCAATGCCTTTACTTTCGCAGTTTGATGACACTCGTAGTGTCTCGGCTGACTTCGGTATTTTTAATATGGGTTTCGTGAACCAAGTAGAAGGACGAAGCCTGGAACGGAGATCAATAGATCATGTCTCTGTTAGCTGAATGTGATATAAGACCAGTGGCGAAGGGGTTGTTGATGTGGGACGTTTGAATAGATTCTGTCTTCAATCTGCCTTCAGTCCGCCTTCGCAAATTCGTATGTTGGTCAGATATCACTATTATTAATATTTAACTCCGATATCTCCGCAAAAGTGGATGGGATCTGCAAACCAATCCAGGCCTATAAGTCTCGGTGCTCTAAGGGAATAAGGGATACATTTTTCAGTGAGTACTTCAACACTCAAGGGTCGCTCTCAGCACATACACGTCGAAAATGGGTACTTTAGTCATTGGCGCCGGTGAGCTGGGCATGGCAATATTACAAGCGATATCGCTGCACCCCCATCACGACAGCAAAAAGCTCGCTGTCCTTCTTCGGACGGAGGCGATCACCTCTCATGACACCTCGAGGAAAGAGAATGTCCGAAAAATCAAGTCTATGGGAGTGGAAATCGAAGTCGGCGATGTTGTTAGCTACTCGCTCGAGGAGCTTGCCGAGATATTCAGTGGCTATGATACGATTATCTGCTGCTCTGGCATGGGGTTACCTTCCGGGACTCAAATCAAGCTGTGCGGAGCGGTCGTTCGCGCCCGAACGCCGAGATATATCCCGTGGCAATTTGGTCTCGATTACGACCGCATCGGATACGGCAGCTCGCAGGACTTGTTCGATGAGCAACTCCATGTCCGGGAGGCGCTTCGTGCTCAGACAACAACGACCTGGACCATCGTATCGGCGGGACTGTTCATGAGCTTTCTCTTTCTTCCGGAATTTGGCATCGTTGACCTCGAGAATGGCGTGGTCCATGCTCTTGGCTCTTGGGAGAACCGTGTTACCGTCACCGGCCCCAAAGATATTGCCACCATGACCGCAGAAGTGGTCTGTAATGCGGAAGACACCGCCGACCGAGTGGTATATATCGCTGGAGACACTATCTCATATGGTCAGTTGGCAGAGCTTTTAGAAGCTCGATTTCAAAAGGAATTTGTGAAGAAGCTATGGGACATTCCGACTTTACATCGCCAATTAGCCACAGATCCTGGCAATGGGATGATTAAGTATCGAAATGTATTCGCCGATGGTCGTGGAGTTGCTTGGGATAAAGCTGAAACACTGAATGTCAAGCGCAGCATTCCGCTTACGGACCTCAATTCATACCTTGACAAGCTTTGAGAGATGAATCTCATTAGATAATTTCCGTAGCCAATCTGGTCCTGAATCTAGGTGATCAAAGGTCTTGTCCCTGCTCTGGATGGGAAATAAGTTGAGCTCTCGCCTCTAGTTACTCGTCATCTGATGCCTTTCGCTCGCTTGACAAACATTGAGTGACCGCCCCGATGCGTAGTCCAGAATAGAATTAAGAATTACGATAGGTACAGTTAATTTACTAAAAAGAAGAAGACCATCACTACGATTTTCCTCATGGTTGTTTGTGTTTTGAAACGAACACACATCATCTCAGATGGACATGGAGCTGGAATTTGATAGGTGCCTGACTGCCTGAGGTTTGCCGAAATGAAGCCGCGGTCCAACTTGAACCACCCACATGCAGCTCCTCTGTATTTACATCGTCTCCCTGACTGACATTGGTCTAACACAATTTCGTGATATCCGGACCATCGAAATATTCCACGAAAGTTTCATCAACGTCCATCGAGCCCATCGATCACCATGGCCGAAACAACAGGATCAACCAAGGGGAAATTCGAGCCCAAAAACCCCGTCACGCTGGCTCCACCGAAAGATGATCCGATATCATTAGAATACCTCTCCAAGTGTGACGGTGTGTGACCACGCTTGCACCACATGAACCTCGTGAAGGCCGCAAAGTGAATTCAGAGACCAACATTTCTAACCATTTATAGGGACCCATGAAGGATATCCAACCTATGTTGCTATCAAGGTACGTACTGGAATGACCACGCTGCAACTTCATGCTGACTAGCTGTAGGGGAAGGTATTCGATGTTAGCGGCAATCCTGCCTATGCACCAAAAGCCACCTATAATGGTAAGTTCAACCTAATCCCGGCATCGGGGTCCCGCTGAATCTTAGTCGAAATGTAGTGTTCACTGGCAAGGACTCATCGCGTGCACTGGGGCTCTCGTCACTGAAGCCCGAGGAGTGCGTCGCAGAATGGGAGGACCTTGATGATGACGCGAAGAAGGTGTTGGAAGATTGGTTCACGTTCTTTAGCAAGAGATATAACATTGTCGGCGTCGTCCAAAAGGAGTGAATGTGCAACCTCGACGCATATGTTCAGCGAAAGGAACGGGTCGCAAAGCTGCCCGCTGGCGTTCCTCCTAAAGATATTATGTACAACTATGTGCATATATGATTACCGAAATCAGCCACTGCTGGGTACAATTGACTTAGCGGCGTCTTTCCAGCCAAAAAACCTATTCAGCGCAAATGAAACACTCCTATTCAGTGACCACCCACCACGCTCCCATTTTGAACATCTCGCAGTATCGCAACAAATGAGTGGCGGTGATCAGAACCCTCCCAGTGGGTGTCTACGATATCGGTTTTGAGCACTCTTCCATATTACCCGCATCCAGGGCATGGTACTGATTCACGCCATTGCCGAACGACGACTGCCACTCCAAAACACTGGTGGTTTGGATCGTTCCGGGCAAAATGGCAGTGCCGTGCTAGACGTCGCATTGAATGCCCACAGGCAAACACGATATGCTCGTAGAAACACATGATCGTCGATTCCTGTCTACGTTAGTGGAATAGATCTTTTTTTGTGCGGTGGGCTACCTACGTTCTTGATTGATGGGGAACGCTGGTTGCTAAGGTTTCGCCGTCCGCTGTTCAGTAATGGTATGCGATGGCAGGCGTGGCTTCCGGGTAAGACTAGTAGGGTATGATAACGTCGGTAAGGTCGGCGTAGAATGACGATGACAAGAACAAACTGCTCCGGCCATCTAGCTGCAGTCCCAATATATGCCTCGACAGACGCCCACCGCTGCATGGGGATTGATTCTCCAAGATGATACCTCGACTAGGAATTGCCATCGCGCTATCTAAATAGTTCATTTCCATAAGACGTTCGGCTCGGCAAGGCCCTGTCCTGTTGACTGTTGAGGACCCAAGATAAACGGCGGCGCGGTCGATGGGCCTTGCACTCTGGGTAGAACCATGGGAATACAAAGGCTGAGTGCAGTCGATCGACCTGAGTGAAGCTCTATCGGTTCATTTGCTCACTGAATATGATCGATGGCATGGCCGATCGGGGCAAAGGGTCTGTGTCAGCAATAATCAGTCACAGGTATCTGCAGGGACACGCATGTTAATGCCCTTCGGCCTGTTGCAGGTGGGGACATTTGTGCATTCGACCATGAAATTGCTAGATGGAACGACAAAGCGATCCGGGGCATATAGCTGGTCGAGTATGTTCTGGAACCAGTTAGAACGATGACACATAAAACGGATAGCTGCGCCGTCATACCAGAACTTTCCACGCATGGTATTGGTGACAGGTCGCAGCACAATGAAATAAAGTCAGACAAGGTAATAGCAACGGGTTTGCGTACTGGTCAATGAAGCAATGATGGATGCAGATGAGACGGATAGACAAAGGAGGTGGATGGATGTTTGAATAAAAGTTCTATTATGCCGTGAGACGCCTTCGTTCACAGGAGAATGTATACTAGTCATCACTTTGATCACACTATATTTGACTAGATGACTAGGGCTTTCCACCTTTCCGTTGCCGTCTTTGGTTTCTCTTCCTTGCAATAATCCTTTGCCGCTTTGCGAGGTCTTCATCTTGAGTGGCATCCTGAGTGGCTTTGTCTAGTTGCTTGCCGCTCCCAGAATCTACCCCAGCACCGATCGTGCCATTCTGGGGTCCGTCGGTCTTCTCACTGTTCGAAGATGTGGCCTGTTTAGACTGCTCCTCCCTCGTCCGCCGCCTGGCGACGACCTGAGCGTTTTCAATGGCAAACTCTACAATGAGGCGCTTTTTCGGCTCCCCTGAACCGCCTTTCGCGCCACCACCCGCTAAGCGACCATTCAACCACCGCAGTCCCATCAATGCTGAGCGATGGGTGTGGTACTCGATGAACCCATAGCCACGGCTCTTTCCCCCGCTCTCCTCTCTGGTTTTGGCGCCTTCGCTGCTTTCGAACTCAATTTTCGCTTGCTTCACAATACCCGTCCCCTTTGCCTTGCGATTCTGCTCCGCTTGCTTCATCTCCTCGCCACCGCGGGCCAGCTCTTCTTTGGACAGCCTCTCACGCAGGTCCTCTTTCACGTCTTTGGCAAAGCCAACGACAGCTTGGCGAGCCAGGGTCTTGAGATCACTGGAATTGACATTCCGAGGAATATTGCGGACCGAGAGCCTAGTTAGACTGAGGAAAAGGGATGGATTGGAATCTAAAAGCTTCTTGCGCTGTTTCGCGCTCGCTTCGCGCATTGAAATGTCGGTCTGCGAAAGCTCCTTGTAGAACGGAGAACTGGACTGGATGGCTCCTTCGCCGAGGAGGTAAAGGCGTCGCTTGTCCCTATCGCGGTGATTCCGTTTGTTCAAACTTTCCTCGGCTAGTCGGGATGCCTCGTTTCGATCGACCGCTCGAGAGACTTGAAGGATGCGGGTGTCAAATGTGAATTTTCCCGAGGGGTCCAATTCTTCGTTTTGTAGGATGGACACGTTGGTTCTTGACCCTGGACCCGCGGCCTGGGTCTGCTTCGGCGATTGCTTGAGACAGTCCGTGGCATCAGATTCATTGACGAATCGTACAAAACCTGTGCCGCGAGGTCGCTCCGTTGCAGGATCTAACACAACCCGAGCAAACTTCAATTTCCCAAATTGGCTGAAGTGCTCGAATAATGTCTCGTCGGTAGCGGTAAAGGGGATATTTCGCACGAACAGTGTCGATGTCAAATTCTCAGCAGGCTTGTGCTCGGGTTCGTCCTCCTCGGTGTCACTGCCTGAACCATCGTCTTCAGCACTACTATTAGTATCGTCACTCTGGTTTGGTTCTGATGTAACATCTTCATCGTCTTCGGTAACCAAATTCTGCTGTGTAGTGGTGGGCAACGCTTCCTGTCCCTCGTCACCGTCGTTCGTCGCTTTCTGCCACTCTTCTCGGCCCACCGACCAGTCGACCGCGATCGTACGGCCTTCGATTTCCTTCTCGTTCAACCCAGCGATGGCTTTCTCCGCATTTCGTCGTCCCCGAACAATGACGATACCAAAGCCACGCATCACACCGTTCTTGTCCTTTGGAATGATAGCGTAGTTGACTTTTCCGTAGCTCCTGAATAGAGACGACAGCTTCTCCGCAGTGTCGATTGTCCATGGTAGATTTCGTACGATCAACTTCGTTGGGGGCAGCTCGGCTTTTTCCACTACCGGTCGCTGTGTTGAGACTGGTTCTCGCTTGGGTTTGGCTGACGTGCGTTCTTCATTGCGCTGCCGTGGCTCAGCAACATCCGTTTTGATCTTTTTGCCATGGATCGTCGTCCCGTCCAGCTTCTCCTTGGCTGCGACGGCATCCTCGGCGTCGGTCAAGGTTACAAACCCATACCCTCTGCATTTCTTGGAGACGGTGTCGAGTACCGCAACAGCATGTTTCACGGGATAATGGAACGAAAAATGATTCGTAAGGTCGTCGGAAGTCGTGTTCGGATGGAGTGACCGCACAAAAATGCTTCGAACTGCATGGGGAGCGGCTTCTTCAGTTGGAAGGGTGGATTTCGCATGCGATAGTTCCTGCTGCTCTTCAGGGACCTTGTCGGCTTCGTCGCCCCCGCTGGACAGCTTCTGACGCTTTCGCTTTTGTCCCATAGTGTCGATGGGGTAATATGCACGGTGGAAGTACCGCTTTGAAAGACTACCAGTAGTGTAAGGTGAGGTTCGGTGGGACAAATTTATTCTATCTTCGTTTTCAAGGCGGAGAAGGAAATTCATGGGGTCCGTGCATGGCACCATGGATAATTCATAATTGTCGCCTTGAACCCTTGACGCCTTGACGCCTTGACGTCTTGAATTCGAGGCATCGAGCTAGCCTGCTTCCAATCGTCAATTGAACGCAAAACCGTCGCGCACGATGTGGAAAGTCAGTTCGAGGCCAACGCACGACAATATTTATTGGTGACTTAGCAATTGATCAGCTGTTGTAGCTAGGTATTCAATGGGTCTCTAATGGCTTCAGAGATGGCCCTAACCCCGCGTTTGGATGTGTAGTACTACATATGCTTCACAAAGACCTAATATCAAATCCTCACCGAAGCCCTGCAGCATGGATGAACCAGGAGACGAGATCATCCCGTCCCTATACCGGCCGTCCTCTTTGCTGCCTATTGCTCGCCATCGGGATGCATTGCTGTATCTCGCGGAGAATTATCCGGTCACAATAGTTGTTGGACAAACTGGGAGTGGTAAAACGACTCAGATACCCCAGTTCCTTGCTCAAGCAGGATGGTGTGCAGACGGAAAGCAGATCGCCGTTACTCAGGTACGTTAGCTCTCCGCATTCGAAAAAAACCTTCTTTTTCTTAATTAGCGGTTCACATAGCCACGCCGTGTCGCCGCGACAAGCGTCGCACATCGTGTTGCGGAGGAGATGAGATGTGAGATCGGTCAAGAGGTAACACTGCATGAACCATTGTTCGGAGCACATGTCTAACCTCATCTAGGTTGGTTACTCGATACGGTTCGAGGACAGGACATCGGCTGTGACGAAGATCAAATTCCTGACCGATGGTCTGCTTCTACGGGAGGCGTTGGTCGACCCTCTCCTGAGTCGTTACTCAGTGATCATGGTAGATGAAGCTCATGAAAGGTCCCTAAGCTCCGATATTCTACTTGGGCTGTTGAAGAAGATTCGTAAAAGGAGGCATGACTTGCGTATCATAGTGAGTAGCGCCACCATCCAGGCGGAGCGTTTCCTCCATTTCTTCGACGAAGAAGCAAGCGTCTCCAATGGACTCAGTCCCACTGGAAGTACTGTGGGCTCAATCATCAGCCTGGAAGGCCGGATGTATCCTGTCGATATCCATTATCTTGAAGAGCCGAGCGATGACTACCTTGAGCGCGCAGTCCAGACTGTATTGGACATACACTCGTCGGAAGATCAAGGGGACATCCTAATCTTTCTTACTGGCAGAGACGAAATTGAACGTGCTGTCGAAATGATCAATGAGCGTGTCGAGTCATCATATTCCAAGGCTTCAACTGTGGTCCTTCCTCTGTACGCTGGTCTGCCCACCGACCAACAGATGTACATCTTTGAGCCTACTCCAGAAAATACCCGCAAAGTCATTGTTGCTACCAACATTGCCGAAGCTTCTGTCACTATTGATGGCATCGTCTACGTAGTCGATTGCGGCTTCGTCAAAGTTCGAGCTTACAACCCCCACTCAGGCATTGAGACATTGACCGTCGTCCCGATCTCGAAGGCTTCTGCCACTCAACGAGCTGGACGAGCCGGCCGAACGAAACCTGGGAAGTGTTACCGCTTGTACAACGAAGCGGCCTTTGCCGCCCTAGACGAATCAACCGTCCCGGAAATTCAACGGTCGAATCTTGCGCCCGTAATCCTACAGCTCAAAGCCCTGGGGATCGACAATATCGCCCGATTCGATTATCTTACAGCACCTCCCTCGGAGCTTGTCACGAGAGCGTTGGAGCTATTGTTTTCTCTTGGAGCATTGGATGACTACGCCAAGTTAACCCGGCCACTCGGTTTGAGGATGGCAGAGATTTCGCTCGAGCCAATGATGTCCAAAGTGCTCCTCGCTGCACAATCTTTCGATTGTCTGAGCGAGATGCTCACGATCACAGCTATGACCAGCCTACAAGGCGCCGTCTGGTTCTCTCACGAAGGTGACCGAAAAAGTCAAGAGTCGGCCCGGCGCAAATTTGCCGCGGAGGAAGGCGACCACCTAACGCTGTTGAACGTATTCCAAGCTTTCGTAACGAGAGGAAGAAGGGACGCGAAATGGTGCCGCGACCATTACCTCAATTTCAAGTCGATGAGCAGCGCCGTCAGCATCAGGAACCAACTGAAAGGGTATCTGGAGAAATTCGGGATCAAGCTGGACGAAACGAATTATGCTAGCAAACCTCGGACCGTGGGTGGGCCAGATGTGGGCGAACGGATAAGACGATGTTTAACCACTGGTTTATTTGCCCATGCAGCACGGATGCAGCCAGACGGGTCTTTTGCCTCCGTTAATGGCACGGTGTTCTACGCACATCCGACATCGTTGATGTTTGTAAGTGCTCGATCCTTTTCCTTTCCGAGGACCTTGACTCACTTTTGCAGAACCGTAAGGCCGATTGGGTGATATTCCAAGACATCATGGAAACGGGCAACAAGACATATATCAGGGACATCACCAAAATTGAGAAAACCTGGTTGATAGAGTATGCGCCGCAGTTTTATCAAATCTCCAAATAGGAAGAGGACGCCAAGAGAAGTCGATCAAACTTAGGCATCTCCCAATGTAACAATACCATGGATCATCCGTAGAACACCTTGCAAAAAGAACTTCCTTTCGTCATCATCACTTCATCACCCTTATAAATAGTTCCCGCATCCCCTTTAGAAACGGAGCCAAATCCCTGCTCTCATTCAGTTTCTCCACACACCTCTCGATATCCTCTCTCTCCAATTTTGGCCTCGCCGAGAACACTTGGTAATCTCGTGAACCGGTCCCCAGCTCGAACCACGCTTCCCTCTCCCAGTCTGTCTCGCACACATGTGTAAACACAAACTTCAGTCGGTCCACGGCTCCGGCTCCCTCAATGCGCATGCACAGATTGTTTTCCCAGAAATCCAACTCGGGGACATTAAATCGCGCTTGCTGTGACAGATGACGCGCGTGGGCTTGTTGGGCGGCCTTTCGTGATGCAATGGTAGCCTGGACGGATGAGATGTGTGCCAGTAGCGCGTCTCGATGGGTGGCGTGCTCGTCCCGCTGGGTGGTGAGGGAGGTGATGGCGCTGTGCATCTCGTTCGTTTCTTGCGACTCTTTGGCGACGGATTGGACGTGGCTTGTCGTTTTCAACTGGAGGATCTCAACATCTCGGTTCTTGATTCGGTGGTCCTCTGTAAACTGGTCAGGGCCCATCTCCCCATGTATTCGGACGCTCTCCCATACCTTGCATTTCCGCAACATTCATTCGGAACTGATTGCGCTCTTCGAGAACTCTTTTTCTACCCCGCTCGATAAAGTCGTCGAATCGGACGGTAAAGCGCGCCATGCGCTCTCGCAGCTCATCGAACTTGAAGTCCACGCTAGGGAGATTGTCCGCCATGGAGATGGCATTGCTTGTTGATCGGGATGCGCGAAATGCGCTCGTTGAGGAAGCAGGATCGAAGACGGCTGCAGCCATCCTGTACGACTTGGATACGTAGGATCGTTGTTGAGTTTGGGAAAAGTAATGTATTTCGCGGTGTGGAGTACCTGAGCTGTTTCTCGAAGAGTCGAAGTCGAGAGCGATTCCAGCCCTGACGATTTGCATTGTTATTGTTTTACCAAAAGGAGATTAGCGCGGGACAATCCCGATCACGTGAACCCAACCAAATACTCAGGTACTGGTAGTAAAATCTCGACCATTAACTTTTTGATACATCAAAGCAAGCCACATTCGAAGGAAATCCATGTTCTAGCCATGGCTATTCCTGTTGTTATTGTTGGCAGCTTTGGGACGAGATCATATTCAAGCAGAGCGAGATGTCTTGGAGACTTTGAAACCGCAAGTCCACAAACCACTTGTAGCATTTCAACAAGCATGGCGAATGGCAACCTGATGATGCCAAACGCCTGAATCGATTTTTGGGAAACCCGGATAAACAAAATGCTCACATGGCGAACACACTGTACCGAAATTTCCGTGGACAATGAGCTCGATTCGAGGTCTAAAAGCCCACTATGGCCACCCAGGTCGCGCTGTGTATGACTTAGAGTCTGGCAAATGGCGATTCCAGCGGGATTTAACGTCGACGCGCTATGTCCGAATTCTTGAAGACCGAACGCCTCAGGACGACCGACCGCGACATGGCGGAGAAGATCTCTCCACGACATTAGCTCCTGAAAAACGTACTTCAAGAGTACAGCATTTCTTGCAAGCAAATCCAGAGCTCCAGTTTGCACAAAATGTCGTTCCGCGGCTTGAGTCCGTATCTGAGATGATCACGTCTAATACTACCCAAGTCGATCCCAGTCTAGGCGACCTGGTGGCTTTCGGATATGCCAATCGTGGGGGCAAATATCGGAAGCCACGAATCTTGGTTAGCGCGGATGGACTCAATGGAGACTCAATTCGGATCGAGGAGATCCAGGAAGAGCTACGTAGCTGGACGAAAGGATACGCATCCCATCTCCGAATGCCGCGGATCGTTGGACAGAGTGCCTGGTGGGTTGGCGACGGCGCCCCTGTTCGCCAAATTTCCTTCTCGGATCCGGAGAACCGAACCGACATTTTTTTTGCGGTGCGATTTTCAGGCTATACGATGTTGTTTCGGCCAACGCTACAGGACAACTTCATTGAATCGAATGCGCCCCCTGGACGGCAGTACCCGCCATCCCATATCGATCCATGTCCGTTCATCAAGATCCCAGTGTCAGCTACCGGCGGTTCATTACATGCCGATGTGGCCTTCAGTCCCTCGGACAAGCGCTGGTTCGCCATCGTTGACCAGAGCCTGAAGTGGACGGTTTATAATATCGGGAAAGGCACCGAGTCGGAAGCCCGGCGCTTGAAAGCAACCGTTCATTCTCAAGGGCAGGTTGAGCTTACGGGCACCACAGAACCACCTAGTGGAAAAGAAGACGGTTGGGCAAGAGTGATGTTCGTTGGCGACGATCGCACATTGCTTGTTTGTAGTCGTCGGAAGGCTTTGCTCTTCAGTGCGAAGCGCGCCGACAAGGATGTTCCTCCAGTCGCCGTGACTGTCGAGAAAGAAGCCTGGATCATTGATTTCTGCAGACGCCCTGGTCGTCGCGATGAAATATTCATGCTCACAACATCTGGGATATACTGGTACCGTTTTTCGCGACCTCAGGATCAGGATGGGATTGGAGAGATGAGTCTAAGGCTGTGCTGGAAGCATTTCAGCAATGATCAGGATGTATCATTAAGCCTATCACTTTCCGAAGAAAACAATGGTGGGTACCCGTAACTCTACATAGAGCCGGTTGCTAACAATTGCCAGTCATCCATACCATACTTTTCTCGCGTCTCCATGAGTCTGCAACGTACCTCGACTTCTCGGACAAGGAAGCTTCCGCATCCCCACCGAGAGTGAGTACTCCGGTTACCTTAAGAGGTCTTTTCCAAGGTTCGGAAGGATCCAACGCGAAGTCTGTTCAAACAATAGTTCTCAGTGTACTCCCTATGCGTCAATTTGTATTAAGGAAGGGCAATGCTTCGCGCACCTCACAAGACTTGGACCGAGGGCTGCTTTACCAACGACGAGGCGTATTCTTCTTTTCCGTTTTTGTGTTACCCAAGAACCAGACTCGTCGGCAATATATTGTCAGTGTCAGCAAAGATCCTCTTACTCCTCAGTTGCCTTCCGTCTTGCTGCAAGGCCTGTCCAAGCTGCACAGGAGCTCTGCGTTTGTGGAGGAAAGAGACACGTTCCTCGACCAGGCCAACTCCGAATTGGACTCGGATGCTTCTGCGGCGTACAAACAAAAGAACAGGTGGCGAATGGCCAGGCGTGATTCAAATGACAAATTCCTCCTTTCTCTCGTAAGGATCACACGCGATCTACGGCAGTCCACACGGATGGGGGCTTCAACATTCTTACTCAGAAAAAGGCAGCCACGGATGGGTATCCAGGATTTCTCCCGGCTGCTAGACCGATATCTTCGCGTGGTGCAACAAGGTTTGAAGAACCGGCTCCAAAATATGTAAGGATTCGATCCATGGTCATCTGACCTGTGCTAATCCTCCACAGTTCGGAAGTGGCATTTTCCCTCCCGGGAGTGTCGGGGGCTATTCGAGAAGATTCGCGGACTCTGCAAAGGCTATGGACCAAATACTCGGGGAACAAAGACCATCATCGGCCTAGCTTACGAATCGATAACGATTCGTTCAAACTAATCTTGGACATGCCTCCGGCAAACGAAAAGATTACCATTTGGAACATATTCCTACTTTTCCTAGCACAGTGGGGCCCGAGAATGCCCCAGTACCATCGTCCGGGGTGTTTAACACGAAAGGCAGAGATTATATTATCAGCAGCGACCGACATTTTCTTCGCTACCTCGACAATAGTTTCGCGAACAGGGGATGTCGAAGCCCGAACCGATGGATCTTCGCTGGGCAAGACCCAGAAGCCTACAAAGGGGATGGGAAAGCATCGCGCAAGTGAGAGACTCGAGTCTCAATCCGAGCATGGTCCGGATACTTCAAACACCACGGGCCCCATATCAAACAGCTCTGTCTTCGCAGGCGTGGAGAATCTATACGACAGACTCAGTATGCTCAGAGTTGACAGGGCGCGGCAGCGAAAAGTACGGCCCAAGGGCAAGTCCAAGTCTCGCCCAGTTGCAGGTGAAGACATGAAATTTGAGCCAGTAGCCGGAGGAAATACGCCGCCGATCGTTATACCCTCTGGATTGGAGGACGAAGAAGATAGAAACAGGGAAACAAGGCTAGAAACGGAGGATGAAGAAGCCGCCCGAAACCCTTCCGCTCCAGGTCGCCATGAACATGTCGAGGAAGATTTCGATGACGCTAAAGAACGAGACGCCTCTGAAAACAATCTCGAGCAGGAAATATTAGGTTACATAGACGCCACTTGGAAGCTAGGCATCGACCCGACCGAGACCGATTGGTCGAGATTGATTCAACGCTACGTTACCATGGACGGCGAAGTCGAAGTGGAGATCGACGCGCGCACGGCAGCGCGACAAGAGCGTCGCAAACTCCGGGAAGCCATGAAGATGGACCGATCGCAGCGGGAGGACATCGAAGCCGATGCGATTCCCACGGAGCATGCGCGACGGCCCGCAGCTCCCGGCGCCCGCCCGTCCGCCTTGCACGGATCGCGCAGCTCGCCCGCGCCACGGCCGCCGATGGTGGGGATCAGTAGTCAGGCGGTCTTCGAATCTAGTCAGGTCGTGGCGAGCCAGATCGTTGGGGGGAGGCATGGGGGGAGGCCGGAGAAGAAGAAGAAGCGGAAGAGGGCGGAAGGGTTCTAGGGGTTATATTGGTCTTGGGATCGGATATAGCTAGTCGGTTCGCCTAATGGGTTGGGGGCTGGATTGGTGAACTAGTGCAATATCTCGCCGCCAGTACGGACTACATGTACCAGTTCATTGCGCCCATCTGGTTAGAGGTCGGCACGGATCGAGTTCACGGGTAGACCAGCCTTATCCGGATAATAATATCCGATCCGCCAAACTTTGTATCCGTATCCGATCCGTGAAATACACGGATAGAGAATTTCTATCCGGATAATTATCCGTATCCGCGAATATCATGAGGCTATCTATAAAAAAATCTTAAATTACCCTACAGCCTCTTAGGGCATCAACATACGGGGACATATCGCCAATATCTTCGCCAGGTTCCTTTCTAAGCTTCTCCCGGCGAGAGGCTCGGGCCTTACGACTTAACTATCATGACCTAAACGATGGAACAGACGAGGAGAACTCGGAGTATAACGGTGATGCTCTAGAGTCGCTGGATCTTAGTATCACGGCGTCATCGGTATCACAGGATAGTTTGATGTATTCTGCAGATTCCATTTCTAACAATTCTCTAGAACAGCCACTAGGGGGCATGTTGCCTATCAATCGTGGTGGCAGGAACAGGAAGAAGTATAAGAGCTGGGTCTGGGCCTTCTTTTCAATCGATAACAGATCAAAACTGGTTAGTTGTATAAAGCCAGGATGTCGCTGGTCATCGAACGAAGGCCTCTTACAGGGCTCTACGAGCAATCTTATCCGCCATTTATCGACAACTCACGGAATCACTCGCGCTCAACAACATACCGCGCTCGTTCTGCCAAATTCCCTCGCTAGCTGGGTCTCTTCGACTTCGGCTTTAGATCTGGTAGCGGATTCCTTCGAAGAAGCTCTCCTTAAATGGGTAGTTGTTGATAAGATTGCATTCTCTTCCGTAGAGAGTCCAGCCTTCCAAAATATGCTAAGAGCAGTAGCAACATCAAGAGATCCTACAAGCTCTGCGAGAAGCGTAAAGCGAAGTCTTGAAAGGCAGTTCCTAGAACCCCGAGAAGCCCTTATTACAGAGCTGGCCAGCACATGCAGCACTATCTCGCTATCTATAGACGCTTGGACGAGCACGAACAGCATCTCAATAGTAGCGATCATCGGTTCATGGTTAACCCCTACCTTTGAGTTTAAAGAGAGAGTATTGGAGTTTACAGAGATTGAAGGTAAGTCTATTTACTAAATATCAGTTTATTTAATACTAAGTTCGTTGCAGGGACGCATAGCGGGGAGAATCTTGCAAAGATCCTATATGAGACTCTCTAAGAGCTTCAGATTAGCAGCAAGCTCCTAGCGGTAACAGCGGACAACGCTTCAAACAACGACGTGATGGTGAGCCAGTTGTATGGCCACTTACTTGCGGAATACGGCATCACCTCACCCTCTACCGATCTAACTGATCCTTTATTCTGCGACAACCTCCCCTTTCGGTTTCGCGGCTCTCAGAGCTTCGTTCGCTGCCTCGCTTATATTCTGAATCTGATTGTCAAGGATATACTGGGGGCTCTCCGCAGTGGGCCTCGCCAAGCGGCTACAGAGTATGTCGACCGACTACGATTCGGACTTAGACTACCGGTAGAACACTCAGCAATCGAGAAGATCCGGATCCTATCGTTGTGGATCCAGGGATCTCTACAACGTATTCAGAACTGGAAGCGCTTCTACTCGCTATATGAGCTCCCGAGTAACCTTATTCGATATGATGTTGCAACACGATGGAACTCGACATTCGAATGATCGACGATGCTATTCGCTCTTAAAAACAGCTGATAGAGTTTGTTAAAGTTACCCTAGAGATCCAATCCCTAGAAATAACCTCAAACGAATGGACCTGGCTTAGGGACTTGCAAAAAGTTCTAACGAGATTCGATAGCCTTACCTGTCAAGTGTCGAAGACCCAACCGTAGATCAGCTTCTCCCTTAGTATTTACTACGAGATATCTGACCTCTTACACGACGTAAAAGAAGCGAGGGATTCTTTTACTGACCTGCCGGATGATATTCGCCATACTATTGTTGAAGGACTCAAAAAATACGACAAGTACTATGCGTTTGCTGATTCAATAAACGCATACTACGCAGCAGCTCTCCTGGATCCTAGAGTCAAGAACAAGTGGCTCTCTTGCAATCTTACGAGTGACGATGTTCATACGGTTACCTCCCAGATCCGTGGCCATCTAGAATCAACTTATCGATCAATTGGAGCAGAAAAGGACGCTCAATTAACTCCAGAGCTTAACCCTTTTGCTAACAAGATGCTGCAAATTGTACAGCGGGACGCCGCTCCCTTATCGGATGTGGACCGATATTTCGACTCTAGAGTTGTACAAGTCGATACGGATCATGATAAACAATGGCTCTTTAAGTGGTTGGCACGACATGCTGCAGAATATCCGGATAATCGAAAAGCCTATCCGTATCCGTGAAACAGGCCAAATTTTCTATCCGGATAGACCATATCCGCGGATGATCCGTGATAATATCCGTCTATCCGTGCCGAGCTCTACATCTGGTCACTGATGCCAACATTGAACATGCAGCTAGGTTGATGGAGAGTATCCGTGCCCTTGGACGCACCCACCACCAGACGAATCCACGATAATGTAAAGTGGGAATCTCGGCTTACTCATGTTCTCCTGTGGGGTATGCTCAGAGCTGAAAGGAACCTCTTTAAAAGCCTGAACTGTGATCTAGAAACTCATTGCAAAACTACCTTTTGCTTCTGAACTTAATATTTTAAAAGTTCTATTTGAAAACATACCGTGACAATGTCGTTCCCGAAGTTGCAACCTGCAATGACGGTGCTCGTGCGTGGAACCCCACATGATCTTCCGATGAACCCCATGCTTACATTGTCCGACAGGTTCAAATTGCTGCCCCAATGGCAGTCGGTATAGTCAACTTATAATGAGTTCGCTTGATAGAGTTGACATTGGGTAGGGAGCGGGTCGAAAGGGACGCCATTGAATGTTATTGTATGTGCCTGTACCCAAAATGTGCAGGACAGCCACACGGTCTGATGAGCGCTTGAATAGCCCATGACGAGTGGAACGATCAAGAGCGAACCTGGATTCGAGCCAGCATTGGATGCCGTGCTGTACAGCTACCTGTCTATGGAGTTGAGAGTCGGATGCTTATACAGCTACTTTTAGCGACGGTGTTGGATATGATTACATCCGGAATGATGGGTCTGGGGAGCATATGCGTCTCGACGTTCGCTCTCAGGTGAAGTATGCTACCTTCTCATTTCCGAATGTTCCATCCGTAAAAGAACGTCTGCTGACCCTATGAAGGAATTCAGACGGCACTGTAAGAGACTCTGGAGGTCCGGGACAGTGTGCTCACGACGACTGACTTGACTGTTCTAAATTGCCAGTTGCTTGCACTATTCTACAAGGGAGCAGTAGCACTTAGCCCAGGGGTGACCGCGATCCTCTCAGGGGCCGCGGATGCGAAAACGACTGGGTTCGGAGACTCATGTGAGTTGGATGTCCAGACGTCTATGGATACTTCGCTATGCTAACTTGCGATGGAGTTGTCACTATGAAGTTTGAGGTTCGCATCCTGCACTGCATAGAGATATCGAGCTAATCGGATACAGACTGGCTCTCCAGCGTATAAATCCCTTGAAACCATGCTCCTGGTCGCACAGGGTCGGTTCGTGAAGGAGGCGGACGGTGGGATTACGGTGGAGTACCGAGTCAGCAAGGTCCTAGCTGGTTAAGATGGCAGCCGAGAGAATTGAATGGTTGCGGATCTCGTTCCTTTACGGATCTGGAGGAGTGGATCAAGGATCAACCATTAATCTATTTACTATTATGAAGCGAAGTGATCAAGCAATTGCAGATCCGAAGATCCTCTGGGCGTTGTTTCTTATTTTCCCACATCCGACGCCCGTTCCGGGGATGACGGTTGACATCATCCCGGTCAGAGAATCCGCCGGTGTGGCTAGTGCAACACAATGTGGCTAGTACTCTGCATGGCTCTGTTGATCCATTGGATACGTGTGGCTGACTAAGCGGAATACTTTCACGGTAAAAGTGGGGCATCTACGTAACTGAATCTCCTTCCCCAGCCTCCGGTCTCCTGTCAACTCAGCTCCTGTTAGCAAATGAGACTGTGAGTGATCAGTGAGTTGATCTCTAACATTCATTTCCTCAGCCTCCGCTTTCCTTTCTCCAGATTCTTCGAATTCTACCCTCGCGACCATTCGTCATCACAAATAACGGGAGGAGATAAGGGGACTTCTTCCTTTTTCTTCGTCGCGTCGCGTTACCAATCGTATCGCAAGGAATTGACTCCGTCACCTCGGTGTAACTTCCTCCTTGTGTCGTATCATTCTTATAATCAACCCGTCGCATCATCCACTGCGTTTCCCACATTTCCTCCAAATCCCAAAAGAGTATCCAATGGCTACCGATCAGTCAGTCGACCTGGCGATGGATCCAACCGTGGTCAATGGAACGCAGGAGACTGGATTGGGTCAAGAACCGCAGCTCCCCAGCACCTCGACCGCCCTCGACGTGGTATGCGGCCCATTGCTGAATTACCGGTACATGAGCGACACGACCTCCGATACTCCGGTCTGGCATGGCTCCATCCTCATCGTTACCGCACCCGGACCACGCGACCCGGAGCTTACCCTACGATGCATCGGTGCAGTCGGTGACTCCACTAGTACAGATGGAGAAGCAGACCAATCGGAGCAGTTTCGAGGCGAGAGGCTCTACGAGGACCCTAAGAAAGCGTTCTTTAGGTTCAAGATCAATGTTCTGATCCAGGCGTATGAAGCTCGCTGGGAATACACGATCCCTGGAATGACCCTTCAAAACGGCAATACCAACCCGCATATGGTGTTCGCCGTGCCGTCCCGCCAGCAATCGATGCGGATAATGTTCCACTCATGCAATGGTTTCAGCGTCGGAACCGACATGCCGACGTTCTCCGGTCCAAACGGCGTGCTCTGGAAAGATGTCTTGCGAATGCACCAAGACCAGCCGTTTCATGTCATGATCGGAGGCGGTGACCAAATATATCAGGATGGTGTTCGTGTGGAAGGCCCGTTGAACATGTGGTCGAATATGGCCAACCCGCATAAACGACGCGAGTATCCCTTTGGCGAACAGATGCGCTTGGAATGTGACGAATACTACTACAACAACTATATTGATTGGTATGGCAAGGACCCGTTCCGGCACGCGAATGCGCAAATTCCGCAGATCAATATCTGGGATGACCATGATATTATTGATGGATTTGGATCATACACCGACCATTTCATGCGCTGTTCCGTTTTCCGTGGCATCGGAGGTGTGGCCCATAAGTACGTTCCCTGATCCCTTGCCAGTTGTGCAATGACTGACAGCCTTAAGGTACTATATGCTCTTCCAGCATCACATTGCTCCCCCCAAAAGCACCTTCACCACTGACAGTGCCAAGACCATGCACGGGGAAAAGCCCAGTGATCCGGTGCAGTTAGAGAATACCTTTGTTTTGGAGGAGACGGGCTCAGACCCATGCTACATCATTGGGCAAAAGCCCGGGCCCTACGTAGAGCAGCGCAGTCGGAATATCTACTGTCAACTTGGCGCCCGGGTAGCATTTGCTGGGATCGATGCTCGGACGGAACGCACGCGGCATCAGATCAACTACCCCGAAACGTACAAGCAGTTCTTCGACTATGTGTCCAACGAGTTGTCGAAGAACAAGGACATTAAGCACTTGATCATGCTTCTTGGGGTTCCGATCGCATACCCACGCCTACAATGGCTCGAAAACATCATTTCTTCCCCCATCATCGGCCCCATTCGATTCTTGAACCGACGTTTTGGCTTCGCCGGCGGCCTCTTCAACAAGTTCGACGGACAAGTGGATCTCCTTGACGACTTAGACGACCATTACACCGCCCGACACCACAAGGGGGAGCGACGGGACTTGATACACATCCTTCAGAACCTGGCCAAGCAACACAACGTGCGCATCACCATGCTCAGCGGGGACGTGCATCTCGCCGCCATTGGCCGCTTCTACTCGAACCCCGGGCTCTCTATCCCCGCCGAGCGCGACTGGCGTTACATGCCGAACATCATCAGCAGCGCCATCACGAACAAGCCGCCGCCACCGGCCGTCGCGAACCTTCTGGCGCGCCGCAACAAGGTTCACCGCCTGGACCGCGAGACCGACGAGACCATGCTCGAGCTCTTCGACCACGACCCCGGGCAGGGCCCCAAAGCGAATGGCGACGGCCCGGATAGCAACGAGGGCAAATGTCTGCCCTTCCGCAGCGGCAAGGCCAACAACTGCACCATGCCGTCGCGTAACTACGCCATTATTGCCGAGAGCCACGCGCCGGGTGCCGCGGCCCCGCCACCGAACCCCACCGCCGCCGGCGCCGCGGCCCCGACGGCCGACGGCGAGATCGAGGCCACGGGAGTCCCGAGGCAGAACACTACGAACGGCGGGCAGATCAAGAACCCGCGCCGGCCGATCCATGCCGGGGAGGCCAGCGCCGGGATGAGCCACCCGGCCGCGAGCGGGTTGGATAAGACGGGGTTGTGCGGACCGTATGGGCTGGACATCACGTTGCGGGTGGAGATCGACTCGAAAAACGCGGAGGGTATCACGGATGGATATGGGTTTTCGATTCCGGCGTTGGATGCGACGGAGGTGCCGCTCGAGACGAAGGTTGGGTAAGAAGGCGGATGGAATGGAGAGTAATGGAGGAGGTGGGATGGAGGTCTGTACGATAGTTGTACCGGGAGGTCTGGATGTTATACCCACGGTTCGTATGGTTGGATTCGCTATGGGTACGTCGGAAGCTTTCTTTGCTTCCTGACGTGGGGGTGCGGCGCGTGGCTTTTTATAAGGGGAATCCTACTGCCGAATGTTTGTAATTGAATCGAAGTTCCGTTTCGATTTTTCATGACTGGTATGAAGAATGGATACTCCGTCGCTGTGATTCATGTCAGACAACATGATTCTGGGATGCACAGCACGTACCTGTAGGATTGCAGGCCAGTCAATTGTCCCAAAACTGCTCTCTCCGACCATTGAGCCTCCCATGATGCCAGATGTCGCGATGGTACTGCACTCTAATGGGCCAATCACGCCTGTCCGTTCAAAAGGGTCCAGATGTGGAGTTTCGCTTGACTGGAGCTGATTCCTCGCGAGATAGTGCTGTACAGTCGGAATTCAAAGTATAATATATACATAATAATTTCAAGCCACAGTCCGATTTATTCTTGTCTAGTGCGGCGATAGGCGTTACGTTTGATCGATTCGTGTCTGATCTATCAGCTGTCGCGATGTCGGAAGCAATACTCTCGCAGCGAGGGTCGGCGCTCGCCAAACGCTTTGAAAAGTCCCATCTAGGAGCCGTGCTGAAGGTCGCGAGAAACCCATACGACGAGGGCAATGAGGATGGCTATATCAACTTTGGAATCTCTGATAATGTATCATCGAGCGTGCCATGACTCTTACTTCCAGTCACTGACTGGTTCCAGTATGCGATGCAGGGCGAGATGACGAAATATATAAATGAACATGTACGTGACGGTTCCCGGTCGCACTTTACACCGCCTAACCGTCTAGATTCATATTGAAAAATTATCCCTCACGTATGGTGAAGCACCCTGGGGACCTCGACGACTCCGCGCGGCGATGGCGAAACATATGACTACGTATTTTCAACCGATCGAGCCCATCGACCCAGACGGCATCATCTGCGTCAACGGGGTGACCTCTCTCGTCGAGATGCTCGCCTGGATCCTGGCGGACCCGGGCGACGGCATCCTCCTGCCGCGCCCCATCTACCAGGCATTTATCGACGACTTCGGACTGAAGGGCGGGTGTCGGCCGGTGCTGGTGGGGTTTCAGGGGCGGGATCAGTTCGCGCCGGACGCGGCGCGCGCGTATGAGGAGGCGATCGTCGAGGCGAGGGAGAAGGGGGTTGCGGTGAAGGTGTTTATTTTGTGTAATCCGCATAATCCGCTCGGACGATGTTACCCGCGCGAGACAGTGATTGAACTCATGAAGGTGTGCGCGAGACATAAGATCCACATCATCTCCGACGAGATCTATGCGTTATCCAAATATCAGAGTACCGACTCCAACGCGGTTCCCTTCGAATCGGTCCTATCGTGGGATTTCAGTCCCTACATCGACAAAGACTACGTCCACGTCGCGTATGGCATGAGCAAGGACCTCGCATCCAGCGGGCTTCGGCTGGGCACGCTGTATACGACCAACCGGCCGCTGTTGGCCGCCCTGCAGGGCATCTCGCGGTTCCACTCCGCTAGCAGCTTGGCCATCACCGCCTCGACGCTCATCCTCGAGGATGAAGCGTACGTCGCGCGGTTCGCCGCGAAGGTGCAGACCACCTTGTCCGAGTGCGTGAGAATCGCAGCCGAGACGTTCACGCGGGAGGGGATCCCGTTCGCGGACGGGACTAGTGCGGGATTTTTCCTGTGGGTGGACATGCGGCAGTTTCTGCCCAAGGACGTGGACGGGTGGGAGGGGGAGAAGCAACTCGCGGCGAGGATGGTGGAGAAGAAGGTTTATATGACGCCGGGAGCGCAGTTGAGTTCAGAGGAACCGGGGTGGTTCCGGATTATATTCTCTCATGAGAGGAAGACATTGGTGGAGGGGTTGAGGAGGGTGATTCTTGCGGTGAGGGCAGGAACTTGACAATATCAAGAATGCCTTTAAAGGGGTTGGAGTGTCGACTGAACGCTAAAAAATTAGAGAAGCGCGGGTTACATCCGTGACGTTGCTGATACAATGGTGCGCCCTATCCTTTCCGCACATCTAAGAACCTATAGACCGGTAGCGCCATGCCGTGGAGCATCCATCACCCTTCTGAAACTAGCCGAAGGACAAGTAGTAAGTACAATCATCTCCGTGGGCCATTCGGACCCAAACCATTCTGCCCGGCCATTGTCACCTCGTTAAACTTTTCCCTTACGCCTCCCACCCGTCCCGCCACTCGTAACACCGCATCCTCAAAGCCCTGCATCGTCTGCACCAGCTCTCTCACCACGGCCTGCGAGTCCATCTCCTGCACCCGACCCCTCCTCGCCAAATTCTCCGCTTCATTCGCCGCCCGCCCCTCCACGAGCCGCAAGTGTGCTTCGATCTCGCCGATCAGCCCTTGCATGACGTTCAATTCCTTTTCGACCTCGTCCGACCTCCCCTTGAAGAACTTCACCAGATCTGGCGGCCCCTCATCGTACCCCCCGCCCACGGCATCCGCGACCGCGTTGCCCGCTTTGATCCCGAGTGCCGGTTGGCCGCCCAGATACTGGTGCCACAGCCCGCTCATCTGGAGGTTTGTGGGCAGTTTGAGCATGTCGATGCACCCGCGCAGGTTGGACGCCTCCTCCTGATCTTGCCGCACGATCTTCTTCAGCGCCGCGATCGCCTCCGCGTCGTTCGCCAGCGCCGCCTCAACGGCGTCGACCTTGGTCGAGACGTACTCGGCGTCGTTGGGAATGAAATCGAGGGTCTCGCGGTGCGCGGGCACCACGGCGTCGCAGGTCTCGCAGATTTTGATTTGCGCGGCGGTGAGGTTGTCTATTTTGATGATATCTTGCTGCACGTTCGGGTGCAGTTCGGAGAAGCGCGTGGTCCCTCGGATGTTGCTGATGTCGACTTGTACGCCTTGAACGACCTGGGGTTGGGGCGCGGTACTAGTGCCACCGCCGAACCTCATGCCACCAGTGATACCGCCGCCGGAGGTCGCAAGGTTTGTGATGGGTTTGCCGCCAAAGGTTGGGCCGGCGACAGTGGTAAATTGGGGTTGCTGAGTTGGCTGGCTGGCGGGAGTAGGAAAGAGGCCGAAGCCCGAAGGTTTTGACTGGGCGCCAGCGGATCCGAACATGCTTCCCGCGGTAGTTCCGCTAGATTGCTGAGGTTGTGAGGAACCTTGAGTGCTGAAAAGTCCGCCCCCTAGTGTTGTGTTCGATCCGCCCGCGGGTGGGAAAAGGCTGCTGGTGCCGGTTCCAGACGATGCTGGCGGTTTTCCAAATAGCGACTGCCCCGGATTACCCAGGCTGAATCCACCACTCGACATGTTGGAGGACTGTTGCGGTTGTGAAGTGCCTGGAGTGCCAAATAGACTCGGTGTTGCCTGGGCTTGTGATGAGGTATTTCCGAAGGGACTCGGAGTTGATTGGGGTTGGGCGGAGGATGGGGTCCCAAAGAGACCCTGTGTGGACGGGGCTGAAGATGCGGGAGGCTTCAAGGTGCTGGAAAATAGGCTTCCTGCCGTTTGCGACTGTGTGGTATTTGAGGCACCGAATAGACCGCCGCCCTGGGTGGCGGGTGTTGAACCGCTATGAGAAGTTAACAAGAGGGTCAAATAAATCGGTGATACACAGATCCAGCACATACAATAGACCTGCTCCACCTCCAGTGTTTAGGGACAGTGAATTAGACCGTGTAAGCGCAGACATGTCGTCGCGATGCAAGGGATGTAGACAAGCGCTGTGTAGAGGATGTTTAGAAAGGTATGGAGAAGGACACGGCTGCGGAAGACGTAGCAAGCGAAGGCTCGAATTTCTGCGCTTAATCCAATCTCATGTTACAGATAAGTCCTCTCGATTTGGCTTTGTTCGCGTTATTCGAGGATTGACATCAAAGGGGGAATAAAGCCATTCAATATCATCATCATCATCATCACAATATCCACGAGACGAAGTTTATGGAGATGTGAAGTCGGGCTTCGGCGATGCTGATTGGTTGGCGCGCGTCAAGCTTCCTGTCGATCTTCAACACCTGCGATTCACTATTCCGCGACATTAAACACCGTAATATTAAATGTACCAACAATCCCAGAGCAGAAGCCCTAAAACAAGAACCATTCCCTCTACACCGGCAACTACCACCTGGCCGGAGCTGCTACATACCAAGGAGCCCTAGTCTTACGTCGAGCGCAATCGAAGAACCCACATAGTACCTCCTCTAGAATCAGCCATCCTGGCGGACGACATGGAACACTCAGACTCCGCGAGTCTGGGTTCGGATGTGATGTCGGAGGAAGAGGACGACCTCTACGGAGGAGGCTCCCGACAGCCAAAAGAAGCGGCGAACGGCACCACGGCCGAAGCAGAGGATGACGATGAAGAAGTAGATATGGAGCAGGATGACGAAGAGGAGGATGAGGAGGAGGAGGAGGAGGAAGAAGAAGAGGAAGAGAGCGACTCGGTATGCCACGCTCCTCTTGACTGGCTCTTGTATGCGCTAATGAATACAGGATATCGAGTTCATCACAGAAAAGAAAGCAGCTCCGCCTCCCGAGCCTTCAGGGTGAGTAACGCTACGCGGATTCAATTGCTGGACGGTGCTGATATCCACCCTAGTCGCTCGCGAGAGCCCTCGAAACCAGAACGCAGAGAGTCTATCTCACACGACACATCGCAGAAAACTACCGCTCCATCCACCTCCGCTGCCACCGCCGAAGCGAAGAAGGAATTACCCACAAGATTAGGGACCGACTACCCCGAAATCCGGACCTCCTCGATTGATGTCAACGCGATGCCAACCTGGGGCGACACGGGGAAGTCCCTCGCCGAGATGGATATTGATGCCGGTGGGTTTCTCCACTCTACACAAGATCGTTATGTTATATGCAAACTAACATCCATCCAGATTTCGCTGAACACACCAAACCCTGGCGTCTCCCTGGTGCCGACCAATCCGACTATTTCAATTACGGCTTCGATGAATTCACCTGGACCACCTACTGCCTCAAGCAAAAGTCCATGACCGGCCAACTTGCCGACCAGAAAGCCGAGACCACTAAGTTCGAGATGATGTTCGGCGGCGGAGTTCCAGGAGGCATGCCGGGCATGCCTTCTGCCAGCGGCGCCAATGCCCAGCAACCCGCCGCCCCTGCCCAGAGCGCACAGCCCGGGATGGGGATGGGAGGCATGCCCAGCATGCCCGGGATGTCGGACGACATGATGCAGCAGATGATGGCGACCTTCATGCAGCAGGGCATCACCGATCCGAATCAGCTCGACTTTGGAACGTTCGTTCAGCAGATGCAGCAGGTGCAAGGCGGCGGCCCGGGAGCCGGGGCCGGAGGTGGTGGCGGGATGGGGCAGAATATTCCTCAGGGTCCGGCGGCGCAGCAAAGTGGTGGTTATGGGCAGGGACAAGGACAGGGTAACTGGGGCGGCGGTGGTGGTGGGGGACGAAGGGGACGAGGGAGGTGGTAATAGGTGCGAGAGGTTCTCTGTGTGATTTAATCGCCTCGTATTACAGAGCAGCCCAAGAATTGACGATTCAGGCCTATCACGATGGGTTAGCCAAGGAGTGGCCGCTGGCTGCCTTCTTGGATGGGTTAGGGACAACGGTAATAGTAGTCCAAAGAGGGAAAGGCATACTGCCGTATCTTCGCGCCATCAAGTTTCTCAATGACTTGAAAAGAAAGGGGCAATAGGCTATAATGGACATCAGGCGGGTTGTAAGTCAGCATAGGAGCAAGTCCGCTCCGAAGTACCTGTCGCCTAAGGAGAATCCGTCGTTAGAGGGTCAACAAGGCGTACTGAAATCGCGGTTGGCCTGGCTACTTGAGACCTGTAGCCCCGAGCGAAATAGCCCCTTTGACAGCAATCTATTCGATCTAGATGTCTTTGCTATATCAACACGATCGCACCGTCTCTATGGAGCTGCGGTAGCAACACTCTCCTCCTTCTGCGGTACCTCCATTCCCATACTGGCCCGCTCGTCCTTGAACGAGATCAACTCCTCACCCTCCATGGGCCGTAAGCCCCACCGTCCAAACATCTCCTTATCCTCATCCCATCCACTGCACGGGGTCGTCAGCATCTTCTCCCCCGTGAAGATAGCATTGGCGCCAGCCATGAAGCACAGCATCTGCTTCTCCTCGGTCATGTTGATCCGCCCAGCCGCGAGGCGGACGATCGTTGCCGGGAGCACAAGCCGCGCGGTCGCGATGGTCCGCACCGTGGCATCGAAGGAGATCGGCGTGGAATCGCCTAGCGGCGTCCCCTTGATCGGCACCAGCGCGTTCACCGGGAAGCTCTCGGGGTGCTCCCGCATCGTGCCCACGGTGTGCACCAGGCCGACGTGGTCCTCTGGCTTCTCCCCGAGGCCGAGTATGCCCCCGGTGCACACGTGGATGCCCGCGTCGCGGACGTTCTCGATCGTCGCTAGACGCTCGTCGTAGGACCGCGTGGTGATCACATTCGGGTAGTGCTCCCTACTCGTATCGACGTTGTGGTTATATGCCGTCAACCCCGCGTCTTTCAGCTCCTTCGCCTGAGCGGCGTCGATCATCCCCAATGTGACGCACGCCTCCATGCCCATTCCCCGTACGCCTTTCACCATGGCCACGATGTTCTTCAGGTTCGTCTTCCGACCGCGCATGTCGCGCCAGGCGGCGCCCATGCAGAAGCGGTTGGAGCCATTGTCTTTGGCGATCTTGGCGGCGGCGAGGACCTCGTCGACGGGGGAGAGCTTGCTGGCTTTGAGGCCGGTACTGTATCGTGAGGATTGTGCGCAGTAGGAGCAATCTTCGGAACATCCGCCGGTTTTGATGCTCATGAGCGTGCAGAGTTGTATGGCGGCGGGGTTGTGGAATCGGCGATGTAACGTAGCCTACAACGGAAATGTTTATTAGTACCGGATATAACCCCGTATCTAGTTCTCCCAAGATATAATAACTGTTAGTAGCTGGCTAGCTGCCGAATGACTTCATCCATGTTATTCTCGATGGAAATTAGTACCAGCAATTTCCACTCTCTCGTCGATGCTTCCGAACATCGGCGAATCAAATGCACAACAATAGTAAGCAAGGGATTCCTCACAGCAGCATAAGTCAACTCCATCAACGGCGTATTGTATATCTCCGAGATCTCCTCTTTCGTCCAGTTATTCCTCGGCCGCGACGCATTCATCGCGTCTTGCAGCGCCGTTCCCGTGTTCGACGGCGTCGGAGGAGGGGGAGGGGTTGTCGTTGGGATGGCGGCCCGGGGGGCATCTTGGATCGTGGAGAAGGACTGCCATTGCGGTCGGCGTAGGGCTTGAGAGACGCCGGTGCGGGATGTGAGGGCACTCTGCCGCAGCAGCGAAGGGACAGACATCTTGATGGTGCAATGGTAGAAGCGGGTTGTTGAAAGAATCACTCCGGCGCTGAAGATAATAATGGTGGGACCAGAGCTGAAGGCCTGACCATGGATCGTGGGGGTTTTCAGGGGAATCCAATTGTACCGGAAGGTGATTCCGATGCTATCCGTACCTCCGACATGCGACGAGACGATCCAAAGTTTTTTGTTGATGATCCAATCGAAATGTCTAATGTCTATAATGGCTCTAATCAATTGACGATGTCCTCAGATGTAAGTAGGTATATTAACGAGCCTGGAGCTTGATAGACTACGGGTATCCTGTGCCATGATATATACATTCCAACTTAGATATGCACATCCCCAGCCTTTCCCGCCAAACACCATGTCCGCTCCCCATGCTAGAACCGCCTCAGATGCACCGGAATACCATAGTCAGTGACCGAACAACCGCGAAAAAAGCTCTGAGGCGCCCGCTACATGTGAAACTCATAACTCCCATCTCCCTTCCATGCAAACCAGACATTACCCGTTCGATGCAACCAGAAAACACATCAGAGATCAAGCGAAGGACTCCAGATAAATTTCCCTCCACGGCCCCATAAACTTAACACCAATACTTTCCAGCCCCGCGTTCTTTGAAAAATCGCAAGTGACCTCCATGAACGCGTCTGAAATTCTCCACCGACTGTGATCGATGTCCCATTACCGTATTACTGTTAGCAAGGTCACAGATCCGAACTTTTCGGATTCTGCAGATACACGTCCGGCACCTTCGGCACCCTCGGGCTCTTCTGCCCCAACACCGCCCGAATCCCCTCTCGCTGCCTCTGTGTCTCCTTCACATCTCCTCCACCACCAGTCAGCCTCCTTACACCCGCCCGGAACCCCGATCGGGTCCCCTCTTTGATTTTCGGAAGCATGCTATCGAACGGCCGTTCGGACCCCATCCCCAGTGCTGTGGAGCTCCGTGTCACGACGCCGGGATAGTCGTCGTCCGAGAAGGACTCGTCGATGTCGTCCGAGGCGCCGGCAGCTGCCATCGAGATTTCTTGGCCCGGCGATAGGCGCGGGTTAACAGCGGGAGAGGTTATGGAGCGGGCATGAAGGCCGGGGCGGACCTGTTGAGACGCGGCCGAGGTGGATGCATGGTGGATGTGTGGCGGCTGCACGGTTGCGGCGAACGCGGTCGGCGTCATGACCACGGGATCGCGGTACGTGCCGTACTTCGAGTCCGTGAATCCCGTCTGGAACGACGAGATACTCGCGTTACGAGTCAGACTCTTATGCAGGATGGGGAACGTCTGCTGGTCGTAAATGCTTTCGTGGGCGCCGGACGACGTTAACGGCGAGTTGGAGTCCATCGATTCGAAGCGGTTCATGGCGGGACTCGGCGGGACCAGTGTCGACGCCTCGGATGGTCCGGCTTCCTGGTCATCGTCGAAGAAATCGTCCAGGCTATCGAGCTGCATCACCAGTTCAGCCACATGTCCATCTCCACGCGTATCGTCCGACATCATGGTTGCGGTGCGGTATTCGGGGAAGTACGCGCCGCCATCTTCACCAAGAAGAACGATGGCGGAGGAGCCGGGGTCGGCCAGCGGAGTCTCCGCATCGGAGGAAGCGCAAGTATAGAAGACGGCGTGCACGTTGTTTTGGGTATTTTGGCGGTGAATTCCAGGCATCGGGATGGACCACCCAGACTCTTCGGGGATGCCGTACAGGCTTTGAGTCTTTTCGTATTCTTTACGTGTGGCCCGAGTGGAATGCGAGCCCGCCATGCTCATCCGCAGATGGTGTTTGTCCATCGGCGTGGCCGTCATGCTCATGACATTGTCCAGAACATCCAGCGCTTGAGGGCAAAACTCGGTCTGGAGCAGCCGCAATAACGGCGCGATCAGGTCCGGACCTTTGCTGGAGATCTCCTGCTTCCGCATGTCGATGTCCGGAATCAACACGCAAAGGACCCGCATGGTCTTGACCTTGAACCATGCGATCTTGTTGGTCAGCAACGACATGAGAAACACCAGGGAGTTGAACTCATGATCGGGGAAGAAACTTGCCCGGATAGCGAGAATGATTTGCATCAGGAAGTCTTTATCAGCACGGTATCGTCGCTGCGTAAGCGCTGAGAGAGCTAGAGCAACATCCTCATATCCTTGGGCGTCGGCGAGTTTTGCCAGTACATCGGCGGTATGATATACGTTGGGATCGGGAGAGTCGATGTCGAACGAGTGCATAAATCTCGGAATGTTGGCAAGTAAGGTGAATATCAGCCTCGACCCGTCGCCAATCAGTTCGTGCGACGGCAGGACGACCAGTCGATTCAACACTCGAAGTGACTTCTCCATGCAGACACTCGACCGGACACCCTTGAAAACAAGCTCCTGTAGGCCTTCGAAGTTTCCATCCCATTTCGGGGGGTAGCATTCGGCGAGTAAGTCGAGAGTGGAACGGTCCGCGAGGTCCAGCTTGTCCAATAACTTCTCCAGCATCCCAAGGCTCTCTAGGAATTCTCGTTCATGTACCGTTTCCAGACACGCGCAAGCCGTCCAGAACAGTTGCGGATACTCCAACAGATCCTCGGGGGTTAGAGTTTCAATGATGGTCTTCAAGGTCGTTAGGATCTCCATGGAGAAGGTCTGTACACCCGGCTCCTCGCCCGAGATGGTATTCGACAGCCGAATCAGCATGTCGGCCAACATTTGTGGATCGAGTGTGCACAGAATTGTTCGATAGAGTTGGAACGAACGACACGCGAGATGCCTTACGGAGCAGGAAGTTGCCCAGTGCAGCGTCAACTTCCCCCACTGTTCTCGGACACCGGGATAAACGTGGGAGAATACTTTGACGACTTCGTTGGCCACATACACCATCGTCTCGGGGACTCGCAGCCCGCCTTCTTCGCCTTTCTTTCCATTATAGTCATCGTATCTCCAGATGACTTTGGCGTCGTGCCGCCGGACCATCTCGATGAAGTTTTCGATGGACGCGCGGTCCGCGTTGATGGCGTCGTTGTCGGCGTTGGACAAGACGATTTCATGGATCATGTGCACGAGCATCTCACGAGCCTGGTCCTGGAATAGGGGTATGTGCGCATCCCAGAGCACCAGGATGGCTTGTAGAAGACGAGGAATTTGTTCTTTGGGAAGTTGGAAGGGAGATACCATCAGATCCACAAGCAGCACAAGGCAGATCTGGCCCAGAGAATAGCCACCCTATTCGCCCGCATTAGCTTGCTCTACATCCAAAGATGTTCACAACATTACCTGCTTGTTTCCACCGATCGGCAAGACCAGATTCAAATCCGCTAGATACGGTAGCGCATGCGCCTCGGGCGGCGTCGCGAACAGCTCCGCCTTCTCCGGGTTCGGCACCATCTCCTTGGGCGTGATATGCTGCAACAAGAACTCCACGATTTTCGTGCCGGCGGGCGTGCTGGAAATATGCACCACGATTTGCTTGGCGTAGTCGATAAAGTTTTGTTCGCGCTTGTCCAGACAGAGTCGGATCATGAAGTCAAGCACGAGTTGCACGTTGCCGGCATGCGGTCCGGTGGCCAGTGCTTGCCATAGCGCCTGGATTTCGTTGTGGAGTGCGTTGCCGCACCGCACCGTAATCTCGAAGAGGTTCACAAGAAGCATGTAGGATTGTCCAGTTGGGTCACCGTTCGGGTCCACTTGGAGATTGATCGTCTGCACCCAAGGAAGCATGGCGGCCACCATGTTCCGCTGGTGATCGGGATGGAGCTCCTTGAAGTAACGGGAGAATTCCGAGAATACGTGGAAGGCGAGTTCCGAGTGCTGCTTGGCAAGTCGCCGGGAGGTTTCGAATTGAGCCAGCTTGTAGACGGCAATGGTCTTGTCGGAAATGCTGATGTCCAGGTCTTGGAGGTTGGAACTGTTCTTTTGCGTACGCGCTTCCAGCATGCGGATGAGTCGGGCGGACTTCATTCGTAGCTGACTGTTCTCGTTGCCTAGGGTGTAGATGCCTGCCGACAGGATCTTCCAAAACGGCGGTGCGAACCGCTCCCGGTCGGCCAGCACCTGAGTAACGACTTCAAAGTAGCTCGCCAGCGCCTTGGGCGTCTTCGCCATGTAGCACATCTCAATGGCACGGTCGAGCAAGAATCCATGTTCTTTGTTATGGACGATAAGATTAGTGAGAGCGCGTCGACCGATCGCATGTGTGCGATCCGAAACGGTGTCGAAAATGGCATCGATCCAGGAGAGCATGCGCATCACATCGAATTGCAAGGTCGTGCTCGTAGTGGTGATGCTGACCGGTCCACCACATAACGAGGCCATGGCACTCAATGCTGCCGTGCGGAGATCGCGCTTTTCAATCTCAATCGCGGCCGTCACGATGTTCTTGTTCCCAAAATCTTGCTCCCGTTCCAGGATCGACTGCCGCATCGTATGCTCCCTCGCTTTGATCTGATCTTGATTTGGAGAATAACCACACCATTCTTCCATCAGCGCGAAGGTAGCCTTGCGAGCCTGGAATGGCATCCACCGTAGCGGGTCGACGGTTTTGTTGATACCTTCAAATAGCTCTTCCACCAGCCCACAGAAATGGGTGCGCAGTTTCTGAAACTCCCACTCGTTCTGGATCTCCACGTCGCTGAGAAACAGCCGAAGCTCTTTGGCGTAATCGGCCAAATTACTCAATGCCCACTCATCGTTATACACGATCGGATCTTGCACGAACCGTGACGTGAGCTTGTACACGTGGGTAATCTCGGTCCGAAGCGTGTCGGTCCGCCGCGGCCGATGCGGGCTGCTCACGGTCCGCTGATGCGTCGCAACGCGGATCTTGGCATCCTCTCGGCAGCTCCCTACCGCTAGCTGCATGGACTCGAGGAGCGTCCGATACAGGTTGACGTTGATGGACCCGAGGCCCGTGACGATGGCATCGCGGGTTCCCGTGTGCGGCGCACCGAGGAAGGGGATGACCCGGGTGAAGAGATCGCCCGCGGATGCAATTTTGTCCCCTTGTTGGGGCGATTTCGATGTTTGTCGCATATGCTGCTGGCCAGGCGGTTGACCTGGTTGACTACCGATATTGGTGAGCGTCGTGCATGCGAAGATCAGGTACAGTTTCCATTGCTCGACGACGACCTCGGGCGGCGTTGTCGCAAGACGGCCGGTGGTCATCCGGTTCATCGAGTCGTAAGGGACGGTGGGGGGCATCTTTTGTCCCTCGGCGAGGCTACCAATTGTCCGATGCATCTGGGCCAAACGATTGCAGACAATGTCCCGAGTCAATGTGACCGCGAATGGACACACTTCGAAGCTCAGTCGTACAAGATTCGGGAAGACTTTGAACCACAACGTTGAGTCGTAGGGTGAGTCACTACTGCAGAGTTCGACCAATGTGCTCTGCGTATTGCTCTTCCTCATCCCACGTTGCAATCGTGTTCGCTCCGCAAGAGACAATTTCTCTTCATTGATGTTCACCACCTCCTGCGAGCTTCCTTCCATAATCTGGATGATGCGTTTAGACTCCTTCACGTTCCCGAGGGCCTTGTCGAACTCGGTGATGATCCGAAGCACCGTGACTGCATAAGACCGAACTCGACGCGAGGGCGAGCAGAGGAAGAACAGTCCGTGAGATTCGATTTCGTCGACATGAGCCCACAGCGCGTTCAGATCGAGCTGCGCTCCTCGGCCATTGGCGCCCTCGTCCATCAAATCGACATGCGCCTTCTTGATTTTCTCTTTGATCTCTTCGATCCAAATCCCAAGGAGCTCCACGTACAGTCGCAGGGTGTTCTCGATGTGCCCGGGACCAAGCATTCCACCGTCGGAAATCGTCGCGTATCGGTCATCAAAGTTGAAGATAAATCGATGGAATCCAAGCGTGACTTGTTGAGCATGGCCCTGTCGAGCGATCGACTTGAGCGACTGAGCGGATGAGACTGCGATCCCACTTTGAACGTGAGCAGTTCCTGTGCAGAGGAGATTGATAAGAGAATTGAAGGAAATGAAGGGTGAGAGACATCGTGGAAGAGCCTGCACGGCCACATGCAATAGGTCGTAAAATCCCTGACGCGGATCTCCAGTATATTGTTCATCGCGTCTCGCAAAGCTGAAGGCTTCCGCCATGGGGGTCTTGGGGGTCTGGAGCGAAAACTTTTCGTCCAGAACCGCCTGTCCGCCGAACGCGTTATCGCACGCAATTGTCACGTTCCCTAAAATCTTGCAGAACATGTTGTAGGATTCTTTGGTGCTTTCGCTGAAGCCGGACACAAGCACTGGCCGCGACAGCCGACCCTCATTGAGCGTTAGCAACTTTGAGCTGGGGTGAACGATCGGCTTAGGGCTGATCGGGATCGAGGAAACGCCAAACGACTCCACAGATGGGTCGTTGTCGAAACTGGTTGGTAAAGAAGGTTGCTCTCCGTTCTCGAGATCCCCCATGATCGCTAGGAACGCCCTGATGCCAATCACCATCCGTTCAGGTTCGAGTTGCTCACTCTTCGGCGGACCGACGAGCAACTGCTCGGAGTTCATCAGAGGAAAAAGGATCTGCCGGAAACAGATATCCTGGTGCTTGTAACCGATGATCCGGATCATCTGGATCAGCGGCTCGGCAATGGAGGATTCCGTCGACAAGAACGACCGCTTGCCTGGCTGGAAGACCAGATGGATGATGTCGTTCAATTTCTTCGCGGAGGTGGCTTGGGAATCCGGCGAGCGGAAGACGTACGTCCAGACCAAGCGGCATATTCCTCGAAGCGCCATGGCACGGGTGCTGCGTTCTTTGAGTCGGGGCTGCAACGGCAGAGTGAGCTGCATCCACTGCGCGTTGAACGACTCGGTCGGGGACGCGCAGAGGAGAACGACCATGACTGGGAACGCCGTTTGCCAATGCTTCGGTTTAGCCAACATCGATATGATCCACGGCCGCAACAACTCGACGATGGATCTCCATTTAGGAGTGTTGACCTGCGATGTTGCTTTTGCGGCGATCGGGAGGAGGAGCTCATTGAAGAGGCCACAGTAAGCATACTTGACCGATTGCCCATGCACTTCAACCGCCAGCTTCGCAAGCCGAAACATGAAATCGCAAGAGGCTTCCCACGCTTTCTCGGGCTCGATTTTTAGCTTGAGGGAGCGCATTCCGCGAATGATAAGGACGGCCCGACCCTCGATCTCCCCGCCCGCAAGTCCTTTCACACCAAGGTGCTGCTGCATCGCCTCCAGGTCGGACAGAAACCGGGACGAGACGGTCTCGAAGCTGATTTGGCTCATAACTCCGAGCAGCTGGCCAAAAACGAGCCAATTCGCCTGTCGCAACGGCGATTCCTCCAAGTGGTCCGGGTCGAATTGCTTCAATTGGGTGTATATCACATCTTCCACCTTCGCGGCAACGTCTTGTCCCACATTGGCGAGAGTCGTCTGAGCGAAGATCTCAATCAGGACCCGACACAACAGATATATGGAGACGATGGATCGCCTCTCTGCATGGGCAACATTTTGCTGAAGTAGCATCGTCTGCATATGATTCGGCACCACTTGTTTCTGCAACTGAGCGTCAATCGATTGTTGTGAATCGGTTCCTCGTCGAGTTGGCAATCCGTTTGTGGACAACGGCACGCGGCTTTCATTGAGAGCAGCTCGGGCAGTGGCGGCCGCTTCACTCTTGGCCTTCCGCCAGAACATGAGGGTGTCGATGAGAGGTTTGGGCTTCTGCCGCGCAATGTGACCGAGCGCGGAGATCAGTTGGTCGAAGTTCGCATCCACACCCGGGCCACATATCAGCTCGACTCGAGGTTCGGCCTCGTGGGGTTCGGTAATGCAGGCATTTAGCTTTTGATCGGCCTGCGCGACAAACTATGGCTGGTCAGCAACTTATGGTGCCCGGTTCGAGGACATGCACTCACCGAATTGAACAAGTGGTGCAAAGCGTATTCTCCCACGGTCTTGATCTCCTGTGGATGATGCCGTGACAATGACCTGCCATGGAGGTCTTTCCTCGACCTCCCACTATGCACTCTCTCCATCCTCCTCGTCGGGTCGATGTAAGTGGCATCATGGAGGGAAGGGGCTTGTGAATGTTTCCCGGTCCCGTTTGTCGCCGCCTGTGCCCCCATGGCGGTCGGCATATTATTCATCTCGTCCTGCTCCATGATATAGCTTTCCGGTGAATACGGGTTGGCATTTCCGATGGATGCCAATACGTGGGTATTCAGCGGGCTCGTCGCCGGAGAATTGACAAAGCTCGTGTTCCTCGAATGCTGTACGCCATGCACGATGGATGTCTGCCGATGGTGTCCGTAATTCAACGACGGTCTCCGATCCAAGCTGGAGTTTTCGATGGCGGTCGGGAGTTTGGGCACTGCCGTTGCAGGCGTGTGGGATCGTGAAGAGGAACCGCGGGCGGAGGATGATGTCAAGGCTCGTCCTCGTGTCAACGACGGTTCCCGCGATGGTATGGACGGGACCGGTGAAATGTTCGTGTTAGTTGCGGGGATGTCCGCAGCAGTGACATGGTGAGACAGACTTCCGGCATGTGCACGCGCATGCGACGCTTGGGGTGCAGCTGTAACAGGAGACGTGCCTGGTTAGCTAAAGATCGTCAAGGCTGAGATGTCTTGCAGCCAAGGTTGAGGGTACGCGATCCGGTACCGCAAAGGCATATATAGGTCGGCATGCAATAATGAAGAGCCCGCAGAGGTCACTCGGGCGGCGGACCGGAGGGGGAAGGTTAAGACGAGATATTGAATGGGATTTCCTTACACATGCCAGCAGTTTCGCATCTCCCAGATGCGTCAAACGGAGTACCTCACACCATCTCTTCTTGAGCAAGAAGTACAGTGGGGGATTCACCAATAGATGAGGAGGTCAAGGACGATAGCCACGCAATATAGAGAGCTTGACGAAGCACGAGGGGGTGGAGTCGTGACAGAAGACGAATGCAGGCGTCAAATCACTAAACCCGGACAGTCCGACAGTCCAACAAGTCAGTAGACAATAATAGTCCCTCAGTCAGTTCACGGTTGGTCCAAGGCAAAGGAGAGTTTGGAGACTGAGGAGGATCAGGGTGTATTCAGGCACAGACGTCGTGGTTCCTGGCGGCTGTTTGCCGCCGTTGCAGCCAATGAATGGGAGGAGTCGGCGGGTCATGATGGAAGAAGCTTTAGAATCACGTTGCTACTATTGTAATAAGTTATTTTTAGTACTAATAGCATATTTACTGTAATCATCTCATCTCATCTCATCTCAAGTTAAATTCCTATAGATTAACTGTAGCACGTGGCTCAATAAATTGCAAGTGACGAGTTGCAGAGTTAGGTAGGGCTGTAGGAGAACCCAGGTTGATGACTAATCATAAGCTATTTATTATTTTAACCATTTTACTCTCCATTTGGATGCCTCAGGTATTAAGGCTGCAACTCCGATATCTCTGCGGAGTCGGAGCACCAGACCAACAATTTGCATTCCGATTTCCGAACCTCTGTTCTATCGTGGTGTAATTAGACCGTAAATAAATGACAACCTGTCTCTAGCATAGTTAGTGTTCATTCTGTATCCCCAGGTTCTTGTGTATTAGAATTTAGAGTGTTGGCCTATTCCAACCCATAGCAGACATCCGACGTTCGGACATTCCCCGAGATATCACCGCTGGATCGTCCCCCGCAATTGGAGACATCCATCTTCCGGCAACGAAGGCGGCATCGAATAACTTAGGTATTCTGTATTCACGATGCGGGACCTCGCCTACTGTCGACTGTCAAGGCCCGAGAGATCAAGCGGCTCCATGCTTAACATCTCTGACTTCGGAACCCTTCCGCATGTGCGCCGAGCCGGATCATGTGGGGTTCGCTGCACACCATCCACCCACAGCATCCAGCATGGTCGGACCAAGACTCAGCCCTCAGGAGCACACAAGGTTGGAGGAATCGGAAGCCAAGGAGACCGAGTATGGCCGTATGGGCCTATGGGGCTTACACTCTGCCCCTTCAGATGCAGGCGGATATCTTACATAAGTTACAATTATGTCGAGCTGGGATGGCGGGCTGGGGACGGAACCGAGGCCAGGGACCAACACTCCAGCATAAAAGGTGGAAGCCAGACAGAAACGAGAAAAGATCATGCGAGCCCGCCAGGGTCTTCTCCGGTCGTCTTGTGAAACATATGCCTTGGGAAACAGGGAAAGTCGGATCGCTGCTGGAGTTTCGAGGCTCGAGGTTCGAGGTCTTGAGGAAGACGGGTATGACGAGGAGTAGTATTTAGATTGTAGTGTATTTATTTAGCCATTTGTTCGAGTAGTTATCTCTATTCCTGTGTTACAGTGTCCACGTATCCACGTATCCAACCTCAGATGAGACAAGCATGGACCCCGAAATCAGCAATACTCTAGTCCGCCCCCCACGATTCAGATCCTAACTGTTGCCTCACCTACTCACCAGTCCAGGTTGTTAGGTTGCGGTTTGCATGTGTGAACTGTGAACTGTGAAGCGCGTAATACGGAGTGGACGAATCCCCTGCAACGTAGCGTACCATCGAAATCTTTCGTCAGACAACCACCGGAAGCGCCGTAATAATAATAGCTTATTTCTGCAGATTGCGTTGATAATATTTCCTGTTCGCTGCGACGCAATCCTCCTGCGGCCTCTCGATACGCCTCCCCCAGATCCTTTCTGACATCTGGCTTCTTGTTCGATTGTCTCCAACGCCGTGGATACTGGTGGGAAATATATCTTTCGGTACGCTGCTTCGCTTTCCTGCACTTTTTACTTTTCTCCTCCCAATCCCCCAATCTCCTCTTCGGTGAACTATCCTTCATCTCGCCTACTGACATGTGACGTTCCCCTCCAGGCAGACAAGATGACCCAACTCGATACTCTGGACCTCGTGGTCCTCGTCGCTCTTTTCGTCGGTACCGTCGCATACTTTACGAAAGGCACCTATTGGTCGAAACCACATGATCCATATGGCGGGTCGCTGGCGCATGCCAACGGCCTCAAGGCCGGGAAGTCGAGGAACTTCATCGAGAAGATGGACGAGTCTGGGAAGAACTGCATCGTGTTTTACGGGTCACAAACCGGCACCGCCGAAGATTACGCCTCTCGGTTAGCCAAAGAGGGCGCCGCTCGCTTCGGATTGAAGACAATGGTGGCAGATCTGGAGGACTATGACTTCGAGAACTTGGATCAGTACCCCGAGGACAAGATCGTCTTCTTCGTGCTCGCCACGTACGGGGAAGGCGAGCCGACAGATAACGCGGTGGAATTCTACGAGTTCGTGAGCAACGAGGATGTCACGTTCAGCAACGGCGCCGCCGCGGAAGAAAAGCCTTTGTCCAACCTCAATTTCGTGGCCTTCGGCCTGGGAAACAACACGTACGAGCACTACAATTCCATGGTCCGGAACCTTAACACGTTTTTCGAGCGATTGGGCGGGAATCGCATTGGAGAGGCCGGCGAAGGAGACGACGGCGCGGGAACGATGGAAGAAGATTTCTTGGCCTGGAAGGAACCCATGTGGACGGCATTGGCCGCGCACATGAATCTTGAGGAGCGCGAAGCCGTATACGAGCCCGTCTTCGACGTCGTCGATATGCCGAATATGGACGCGGAGGAGGATACCGTCTACCTTGGCGAGCCGAACAAATACCACTTGGAAGGCGTCCAGAAGGGTCCGCATAACGCGCATAATCCATACATTGCGCCGATTGCGGAGTCCAAGGAACTCTTCTCTGCTGACGACCGGAACTGCTTGCACATGGAAATCGATGTCGCCGGCTCGGGCATCTCGTACACGACTGGTGACCACATCGCCATCTGGCCGACGAACGCTGGGAAGGAGGTCGAGCGGCTTCTCCGGGTCCTGGGCCTGGAGCCGAAACGGCACAGCGTCATCAAAGTCTCCGGTTTGGATCCCACCGCGAAGGTCCCTTTCCCCTCTCCTACGACCTACGACGCCGTCGTGCGATACCACATGGAGATCTGCGCCCCCGTCTCCCGTCAAATGGTGTCCACCCTCGCCGCTTTCTCTCCGACCGACGAAATCAAAGCCGAGATGACCAAAATGGGCGAAGACAAGGACTATTTCCATGCGAAAGTGGCTGATCTTAACGTCAACCTCGCACAGCTCCTCGAGATCCTCTCAAACGGCGCTCCGTGGGATAAAGTCCCCTTCTCGCTCATGATCGAAGGCCTCCACAAGATCCAACCGCGATACTACTCCATTTCTTCCTCCTCGGTGGTCCAGCCGGGGAAAATCGCCATCACCGCTATCGTCGAGTCCATCGAGAGGCCCGGCGCTCCCCATATCGTCAAGGGCGTCACGACCAACTACCTCCTGGCGCTCAAGCAAAAGCAACACGGCGACCCCAACCCGGATCCGCACGGATTGAAATACGCGCTGACCGGTCCCCGCAACAAATACGACGGCGTCCACGTCCCCGTGCACGTCCGACATTCCAACTTCAAGCTCCCGTCCGATCCGAAGAAGCCCATCATCATGGTCGGGCCCGGGACGGGGGTCGCGCCGTTCCGAGCGTTCGTCCAAGAGCGCGCGGCGCAGGCGGAGAAGGGCGAGGAAGTTGGTCGGACAATCCTGTTCTACGGGTGCCGAAGACGGCAGGAAGACTTCCTGTACGAGAAAGAATGGGAGGTATGTTGCTCGCTCGCTATCATAGCTGTTCCCAGGATTCACTGACTTCCGCGTAGACACACAAAGAAACCCTCGGCGACAAGTTCCACTGTCACGTCGCCTTCTCCCGCGAAGGCCCGAATAAAGTATACGTGCAGCACAAGGTCCAGGAATATGCCGACGAGATCAACACGCTGCTCGAGCAGAAGGCGTACTTCTACGTCTGCGGCGACGCGGCGAGCATGGCCCGGGAAGTCAACGCGCTGCTCATCAAGATCATCGCCGAGAAGCGCGGCGTGTCCGAAGCGAAGGCCGAGGAGATTGTGAAGTCGATGCGGGCGAGTAATCAGTATCAAGAGGACGTGTGGTCATAGACGATGGCGACGGATGTATTGCGGATGACGGGAGGAGCGGATAAGTAGACGATGATTTGATGCATGGCAATTTGGAGCCGCCGGTGGAATTTGGGTTTTACGTTCTTATTGAATAGGGGTTCACGCTACTCCTGGTATCTACCACTCAGCTTTGGCTGTTTCCTGTCGATTGATAGCGTCTAGGCGCCTCCGTCGCGACATGCACCACGGCGGCTGTATATAGATGAATACATCTTTCTTTATGAATTCGCTCACCGACCTCTCAGCGAAGGATCGTATGCTATGATGGCCAGAAAAAGTAAAAAAGGGAAACGGACTTGTCGGAAGCATGACTTGAGTACCCCCTACAGATCTACATTGGTCTGCTCCCTCATCAAAAACGGTCCAAAACCGATATCTTCAATCAGATCAATGCCCGAATACTATTCTCGGTACAGTATATCACTATAGGATACACATTATCCATTATGATACAAGCAAATCCTTCCTACAACGCTCAGAATGCAGCACAAGGGCAATCCAACACTGGTGTCGAGAGCAGCGCTGAGTCATCCCTAAACGCCTAAAATGCAAACCCATAAAACTTATGACCCTTCATGTAGCAGATCGTACCGGGTGATGACTTCCTGGACCGTTCAGCCCAAGCTTATCGATCGTGACACCGAAGCCGTTGAGCAGCTCCAGTTCCAGAGGAGCCACGATCTCATTGTACACCGCTTCTCTGAAGTCATCATTCTCAAGATCCATCTCCTCGGTATCAAACTGTTGAAAGTAGTCCTGGCAATTTAGACAAGCGTCGATGGCTTGATGGAAACCTTCGTAGACGTCATCCTGTTGTTCGCCGAAGAGTCGCAGAGCCGTGAGTAAATCGGAATTGACATGTTCTTGCTTTTCCGCCGTGAGATCGTCATTCTCCCGCTTCGACTCAATCCCAGCTTGTTGCTCGATCTCAAGCAGCAATACTCCCAAGGCTAAAACACTCGGGTTGGGGTGCAAGCGGTACATCGCCTCGGCGGGATCTTCCCGGTCCTGAATGGGCTGAAAATCAGTGGTGACATACGGCCGGATGAGATCCACGTCGTCCTTGCTTTTGTAGAAAAACGAGATATGATGTTTGTTCCAACTACTCCTTGTCCCGTGTCTCATCCATGGCGAGTCGCAAAAGTGCAGCAACGAATGGGCAAGAATCACAGCAAGGATCCGCTTCTCCTTCAGCTTCAGCTTCCGCTTGCCGTCAAGCAGTGCTGCCAGTGAGACGTCTGGCAGCGACCCTTCCACACATAGCCGTTTCTCGCTAGGGCGAGTGATGTGCCAGATCTGAGTGCCGTCATACAGCATCCGTGGACAACACTTTTGCTCGCCCGCGGCACGAATGATTTTGCAGAACTCGTCTGGATCCGAGACTTGCTCCTTAGTGAGAGGAGGGGCAGATGCTCTTCGGGGGTAGGCAAGAGGCCGCTGAGTTGTCCACGTATCAGGATCGGGATATGTTGTCCGCCGTGGACGCGTACCCGTGGGAGTGCGAGTCCCTGAGGTATCCGAGTCCATCGTACTTGCTCGACCCATGAATTCCTCGATGACGGACGGAGTAGTCGGCGATGCCGCAACGGAGTCTTCATCTTCTATAATGAAGCGGACATTAGATGTCTTCTTGGTCGATTCGTTCGCCAAGGCGACGACCATCTTGCTCTCCAGCCATGTTTGATATTGTGCGGTTGCCTGGGCGCGGATCGACATCAGCATGTCGAAATATACCTCCTGCGACGCTTTGGATGGAGTATTATCCTGGCATTTGAGTAAGCAAAATCGAGCCTCATGCCCGTGAGGGCATGAGCAGGGCCAGAGGCCACCCATCGTAGAGTACAGCGCATGCATCAACGGACGCAGTTCCATGTGCGGCGTGCTGGTACTCTCTGGTCGGGCCTGGTTCGCCTTGGTCTTCTCGTATGTCGCCGACGAACGCTGTAGAAGAGAGTCCAGCCTCTCGTTGCACTTCTCGATTCGATCGAGATAGGCATTTCGCTTTTCTTCTCTAATGACAAACTTCAGACGGTCCAAGAAGCGGCTGTGCTCTGGGCTTTTGTCGGCTTTGAATTGCTCCCGCAGCGCCAGGAGTTTCGCGTACGACGTTCGGGGGGTTTGCTGGGACCCATATTATCAGCACGAGCTCCAAACCGATATCCCGGTCCATGGACCACCGAACAACAACAACAACAACAAACAACGAGGACGATGGTCGAATCTTACAATTTCATTTAGACTGGTCTCGATGTCGAGGGTGTCGTCCTTCACCAATTTTCCTAAGTTACGTAAAATCTCGTCCAAAGCCTCGCGAAATGCGTCGAACCCGAGCCCCAAACGCGACCGCAAGGCTCTCACCACCGCCTCTTCTTGCCAATACGATGGGTCTTGCTCATCGCTCAGGAGCCTCGTCCGATGCGCTTCTGGAAGAACGTAGAGGTCATGGATGAGACTTTGGATAGTGATATTGAGCATTGAAACCTCATAGTGTAGGTTGCTGAAGAACGTCGCAAGCTTGATGCTTTTTCTCCTGTGTAGGAAGACTGTCCGCGTGGGATCTAACAGTTTGGAATGATATTCCGAGGCCACTAAAATAACGGGCACAACCGCCAACACAAGACCAGCAAGTTCGACTCCAGACATGATGAAGACATGGATTTTACCTGCTTGTCTCGATGAATTTGTGAGGTTTGAACCAAAGGTTGGCGAACATACGGAACGGCTCGCTGATGGAGGCTATCTTATACAAGCACATGTTCTTCCTGACTTCTGCGTCTACAAGTTCAAAATTCAGCCTCGCAGATCCATATCTCCTTTGGGTTTCCGGTGTGATAAATGAGGCTGCATTAATTCCGGTTGCCTTCTGTACTGCCCCATTGATGTCCAACAAGCTGCTCACGCAATGCAGCCAGCTCCATAAAGCCCTAATCATATCATGATTGTCCAGGGATGAAGGCTGGGCAGCGTTTGTATATACATCCGACATGTCGCAAAGCTGACGATGTTCGAACATCCAACAGCCTCGCGTTGATCTATCTTGCAACACTAACGAGGCACGATGGAACAGCATCTCCAAATTTCGACGGTGGCAGAGAACTGCAGAAATGCTTTCGGAGCGTGTATTGAAGCAGCACTGGCCGATGCGACTGATGAGGAGAGGACACAGCTCGGGTTGGCTGTGGAAGAACAAAGTCAGCGCTTCAATATTTGGACGGGAAATATTGGGGTATTTGCCGATCCAAAAGCCTCCCTTGATTTCCGTCTTCGCGGCAGTGAGCCTGTTCATCGACTGGTGATTTCGCAGCTTAGGATTCTCCTTACATTTCTTCAAGGACTGAATAGTGCATTGACACCAAGTAAGTATCAGCACCTACCTTATCTAATCAGATGCGACATTCCGTTCCGAGTCTGACATGAATCTAGACAACCCTGATCACGATATTGGGAAGGATCGGACTGATACCGACGAGTTCAAGGAATCCGACTTCGGGACTGACACGGAATCTGCTTCGACTGACTCGTCTTTGGTTCGCGCTTGTTCCCCATCTCCAGCCATTCCCCACGCTGCTCAGCAGTTGATCACTGCCCGTGAAGCAATTGGAAGGCTCCACAGACTTGCGCGAGCGATCCGAAGGCCCGGTCTCCTATCTCGGAACTCTAAAGCAGACAAATTTATTATTCTTGATTCGTTCGGAAACGATGAGATCCAGGCCTTCGAGGACTTTGTTTGGCAGTGGGTCGGCCTTCGATTTAAAGATACTAGTCCAGCGCTCCGCCGCCGCTTGACCCAAGTCAACGCGATCCGGCGAAGGCGTTTCCTGTATCTGGTCGAGCATCAGAAGCATCTCCGCGGGAAGAAATTTGACTTCCTACGGCTCGCACTCTCTGGTTCTCCTCCCGGGAGTCAGTATGCGGCAAGCGCGAGAATAAGTACGACGGCCAGATCCAAGCCTCCAGAGCCAAATATCGATCTCCAAGTGCCAGCGATCCTCCAACGGGATGCCATCGATACAGCCCCCGGACTGGGCGATGCGACGACCTTCGTGGGATCCAATGTTCAAACGGAAGCTTCCTCTATGTTCACTCCATCATCGCCATCGTCCGTAGGGAGCGTCTTTGATAAACTTTGCATCCCTCCTCCGCCTAAGATTCCCCAAGGCAGGCCCGAGTTTGAGTGTCCCTATTGCTTTCAGATGCTGCCAGCAGATCACGGGCTCAGTCGAAAGAAATGGAGGTTAGTGAGGGCGTTAGATAACGGATGCACGTCCCCGTGGAGTGGTAAACTTGATCTAACATGGCACCAGGAAACATCTTATGAGAGATTTGGAGCCATACGTATGCTTTGCAGAAAGCTGCTCGGACCCCAATCATCCCTTTCGTGATCGCCATGAGTGGGTCGACCACATGCGAAAGCACAATATTCAATGGCGGTGCCGACAGCCTGGCCATGAGCCAATGACATTTCACGCGGAGCAAGACTTCAATTCGCATTTGGAGATCGAACATCAACATCTGTTGAAGAACCCAACTTTGTTTCAATACGCCAAACGAAACAGCGTCGTCACCACGAACAGTGTGTTCTCACAATGTCCTTTATGTCCGTTCAGAGCAGCTCCCGACCCGCCAGTTGGCCGAGTGATGGACCGCATGCGCAGGATCCCCTCCGAGACGAAAACGGGATTGTCCGCGTCAACTCTGAACATGCAGAGGCATATCGCGTCCCATTTTCAGTCGATCGCGATCCTGTCACTTCCTTGGCGTGACGATGTGGACGAGCAGATCCACAGCGACCGGCCTGGAACCCGAGAGTCCGACAGCGACTTTGGGAGCGGTTCTGCACCTAATCTATCCGATACAGAAGACCTTGGTTCTGCGTTGGTTGGTCTTGAAGACATGGAAGAAGAACTCCAGTTCGATGATCCATGGACCCCCTTGGATGTTACTAATCCTGAAGAGTGGACGTTCATTCCGAGGACCTCCTACAATGGCCACGATGCAGACCCGGTTCTGCTTAACTTCACGAAGAGGTTCCTAATCGAATCGCAGTTCGGCGATGGGACTGCAGTGGATCCAATCCTCCCTTGCAAATACATACCCTTCAATAATCGAAACACTGACTTCTTTGGGCGAGCTGACGTTCTGAACACTCTGGTAGAAGCGCTTCGCCCCCCAGGAGTGGCTCCGCAAAAGTTGGAGATCATGGATCCTACCGCTCCCAATCGGAGCTTTTCTACCAACAGCGGAGGCAGTGGAAGCAACCCCCCAGGGAGTGTCCAGCAGTCGGACTCACTCTTGACTCCCTCATCAGCTCTCGTTCCGGACGAAGTTCTGTCATCATCTTCTACGTCTTCATCGGAAGCAGACTTGGAAGCGGACTTGAAAGCGGACTTGAGGAATGGTGAGAAGCTTCGCACTTTTGCCTTATTTGGACCCGGCGGAATAGGGAAGTCACAAGTGGCTGGCGAATTCGTCTGCCGATACTTCGAAAAATATGACGCTATTTTCTGGGTGCATGCCGATGAGCAAAACAAACTGACGGAGGAATACTCTCGGATCGCCATCCAGCTTGGCCTCGTGCCAGAAGTGGTAGCTGATGGTAGGGATCGAGCCTTGACCCGTGATCTTCTCAAAGCATGGCTGGCAAATCCGGTGAAGAGCTTTACAGACCCCTCCAAAGGAAAGGCACGATGGTTGTTGGTTCTGGACCATGTGATTGACCCCGAATTGCTTCGGGATTTCTGGCCAACGGACGCGACGAACGGATCAATTCTCCTGACTAGCCGAAGAGTGCTGCCTTGGGATCAGACGTATTATCCCGGACTCACCCTCAAGCCCTTCACTGCCGAAGAAGGAGCCGATTTTATTACCCATCTCATGGAAGGACCCATCTCCAGCCAAGAACGGCAGTGCGCCAAACTCATTGCGAACAGCGTCAATGGGATTCCATTGGCATTAAAACACCTGACCAAGATTGTTCAGCAAGAAGAATGGAGTTTCGAGGACTTGATCAAGTTTGATAGCGACCCTCAAGAACGGAAAAAGGTCCAGATACACGGCGAGTTGGGGCGATTCCTGGCCGACCATTCATTTTTGAAATGGGCATTCGAGAAAGTGAAGCCTAGTCGAGCGCTGCTGGATGTGCTTTCATTTTTTGATCCTGATGGAATTCCAGAGCGATTGATAGTCACCGGGGCAGGAAAGGTGGAGCTCGCGAACTTCCCGGGGTCGGGCAGCGATTGCCAAAATGCAATTTCGGCGTTAAGGAAGTATTCCCTCGTGCAGCGCAACAAGGTTGACCGATCGAAGCTGTTGATGCACCGGATCTTTCAAGAGGCGGTCCGGAGACAAATGAGCCAGGAATACTATCGGCAGGTATTCAATGCCAGCGTAAAGATCATCTCCTTAGCCTGGTATGTATTTCCACGAGTCATCACGGTACATACTAACCCAGGGACAGGCCCTTTCGTGCATTTTCGTGGGGACACAGCATTCGATGGTGGCCGGAATGCGAAATCCTGCTGCCTCACATCATTCGAATGCGATCATGGGCAACTTATATTGCTACAATGGAAGAGGATATCAGCGGAGCTTATGAGTACGCACGCCTGAGCTGCAAAGCAGGATGGTATGTCCCTGAGAGAGACTTCGCCATGGACTTTTCACTGAGCGATCATTGCAGGTACTGCCACGAGCGCGGTCAGCCCCTTGCCGAGATGTTTTGTAACCTTGCGCAAACCATCTGCGAGTCCCTGAAGTCATTCTACCCCCTTTCGGAGGGCCAACAGAAAAACGCGAGCCCAAAAGAATGTGACATTGATACCATCCTCGCTGAAATTCACCACAATCGGGGCGTCATCGCCGTGGAGATGAACCGACCCGAAGAGGCACTCAACCACTTGACAAAGTTCAATGACATGATGAAGAAGGAGCTTGATGGTCGTTCCCAGGGTAAAGACATGCGATTTGCCATTTCCTGGAATGTAAGTGGTGCGCGTCATATGGATGTATTCATGCTGAATGCTTGATAGCAACTCGGAGTGGCGTACATGGTGAACGACAATATTGAAAAGGGTGAAGAATGCTTCATCAAGTCGATAAAAACCATGAAACAGCTGGAAAACTACCGGCCATATCTCATCTCACTCCCGGTAGGCAAACCCTAGAAGACGTGGTGATGTTGATTGACACTAATATATATGTCTAGCTAGTCAACCTTGCACTGGTGTATTGGCTTACCAACCGACGAGATGATGCCCTTATCGCTTTGAACGAGGGCGTGGAGGCTCGATCACGGTTTTTTGGTCCGAACGACCGTGAATCATTCATGTAAGACCACTATGGATCTTTGCTGCACCACTTACCTAATAAGCCTTAGCACGGGGAGATTCCTGCACGCCATCGGCAACGTCAAAGAATCTCAAGGGTTCCTCGACCAAAGCCTAGACTATCATCAGCAAGCACTTGATCACTATCTCCTTACCCTTGGAAGAAACCACCATCGAACAGCCGACGTTCGAGTCCGAATCGCAAAGCACTGTCTTCGGCAAATCAATGCAGCTGAAGCCCTGTATGTGGGACCATTACTTATCGTCGCATCTCTTGACTGACATTGTCTTTTAGCGTCGGGCTACAAAAAGCTCTAGCTGCATATGGCACCGACACAATTTATAGTCCCGAACGAGCTCGAGCCAAATTCATGGTCAGCCAAGCATTGAGGATACAAGGACAGTTGGAGGAAGCAGACTTGGCCGCACAGGAGAGCTACAGTTTGTATTTGACGTGTCGGCCGAAAGAGGCGAGGTCATTTGGACAACTGACCGAAGAAGACTTTGAGAAAGCGATTGTGTTCTGGTCGAGGTAACAAATGTGGATTGTTTTGGCGAGTCCATTCCTTCTCCTGCAACCATGGCTGTACGGCAATTCTTTGATCAGGCTATTCTTCGTCTCCGATAGCGAATTGAGATGCTCCGAACTCGGGAAATGTAGCCTCGCTGCATGAACGACAGTATGGTAGTCTTCAATGGAGGCGCGGCATGCTGTAGGCAGACCTGGCACAGCATGGCTTCGTTCCAGCTATTCCGTATCTACCTAACGCCCAACAGGCGTTCTAACATGCTCTGGACCGAATCGCGATTGGCAAACTAACCTTTCAGCTCCGACTCGCTTTGGTTTTGTTGATGCAAGGCTGAAATTGTTCACCAATCCATCTTGACATGAAGCATCCACGGCCAGTGCCTAATCAGCAATCAATTGAGGTGGAAGAATAGTTGGATCTTCACCTTTAATGTCCTCTTCCAGCCTACAAAAACAGGGACTCGTAATTATCGACTTTCCTAATTAACGAATGTAAGACATACTTAGCTCGAAAGGTAAAGTGAGGCGAAAAGAAACCGAAGGAGGCGATTGAGGATCGTCGACGCCTTGCGGATATTGTTCCAGACCAGCCACCTCATCGTCCACCCGGGGGGACTCAAATGTTCAAAACTTCTAGGCCCCATTGACAACAAGCTATTTATTTATCAACACTCAGTAAAATTCAATACCTTACCTACAGCCTTGGATTAAGCTCTCCTTTGTTGCTTTCTAAACCTTCGTAAGCTTTAACATCCGGCAGAAACCTAGTTGTGCAATTGACCTGCTGCTGTCTGGCGTTGTATTCGAGCCTCACGACCCCGCGACAATGCCCGGTCCTACCACCGTGACCGCTGAACTCGACTTCCTCAAGAAAGATATCAAGCATTCGACGGAGAAGCCCTATAAGCTGCAATACGACCCTGGTCCCGATCTTCCCCGCTGGAACTGCGAGAACGTCTCTCAATCGGACATACCGGTCCATGACATTCGGGGACACGAGAATGAGTATACACTGGAGAAGAATGGGTTTGTGGTTCTGAAACTCGAGAGCCGGTTGGTACCCGAGGACTTCTATGATGAGAAGAAGGTGAAAGAGGTGTACTATGAGGAGGTTAAGGAGGTGCTGAAGAGAGAACGGGGAGCGAAGAGGGTGGAGATATTGGAGCATGGAGTATACCCGCCCAGACCCTTTTCCGTTCCCATGAGTCTATATTGCGCTACAAGTCTTAGCCCTTGCAACTGTTCTATCTATTGTCAAAGTCATGGGATGTCCTTTCGGATTATTGTTGACTAATTATGGTAGATTCGAAAGAGGCATGAGGAGTTTCCGATTTCAACCGGCGGAGATTACCAATATCTTCAACCAACTTCAGTGATTCATATTGGCATGTTGGCTATCTAGCATACAGAGTGTCACGGTTTGCTAACTTAGATAGACTTCACTCCTGAAGCAGCCCTAGAATCCAGTGCGAATATCCTCAAGGTCCCTTCGTCCGAGTACGAACGCGTTCAATGCATGAAGTATGCCATAAAGCGTTACTGATGGAGCTCGCGCTTACCGCTTCCTTAGCATCTGGAAACCTCTCCGCGGCCCACTGACGGACTGGCCACTCACCGTCTGCGATGTGCAAACGCTCGACGTCGAGCGAGACTGCGTGGCTACCGATGTGGTGACACGGGATGGATTCACGGAGAACTATCAGATCTACTACAATCCCGAACATCGATGGTACTATCTCAACAAGCAGATGCCCGATGAATTGATTGCGTTCCGCCAGACCGATACGGATGAGCGATATACTACGGGTAAGGACATTGAATTGATGGACTGAGAAGAATCAGAGAGGGCTAACTGCGCTGTTCAGGGGTGCCGCATGCCGGGTTTAGAAACCCAATGGCTGTGAAGGGGGAAACTCCCCGTGAAAGCATCGAGATGCGAGTGTTTTTATACTTCTAAAGAAGATACTTTGGAGAGGGGTATCCAGTAAACCTCGAAGAGGCAGATGTCGACTAAGCACAGTTAATGAGGGAACACGGTTATATGTGTCAGCAAAGCGACCTAGGGACTGTATGTTATTGAGGACGAACCCGTCAGTGGAGTCGTCATTAAGGACGAGCCCGTCAGTGGAGTCATCATCAAAGTTGCGATTTCTGTCATGTGAAAGGCGAACGGATCACAGCGAAATTTCACCGTTTCAGACAACCATGTGCATTGCGGGTATTACTTTGGAATTAAGCACTAAGTGAGGTTCTCTCTAGGTGCTAACCACCTTCGAGACAGAGGTAATAGGCAAGTTTCATGACTAACATGAGAATCGCTCGGTGAAGTTGATTGGTCATGCTGGTAATGATATATCGAATAACGCCCGCTGCATGAATTGATGTCATACGCCTAGTACTGAAGAAGAATCCCTTCCACTCGTTCCATCATGATAGTTCCTCATCCCCTATGCCAGTCCCAGAGTATCAGGAGTGACGCGTACCGGGAAGCTCAATACTCGGAAGAGTGATGATGACAAGTGATCTACTGCTCCTTGTCCTCAGCAGGCGCAGGATGAGCACCAGCGGATCCCTCAAGCTTGATGGTCTCGCCTTTTTTGAAGCCGTGGGTCTCGCCAGCTTGAACCGGAGTGGTCGGAGGCCAGTGGACCTTCCACGGCTGAGACTTCTGAGCAGATTGAGTGGAGGCAGGCATGGCGACTAATAGATTCGAGTTGATTTGATGGGCTGATGGACTGTATTAGTTTGATGGGCATTAATAAGGCGCTTGCGAGAAACTAACATTTGCCGGTGAGGGTTGGATAGCTAATGAGGGACTTGGATTGAGAGGTGGGACCGAGCGAGGTTCTGTTGCAGTAGAAACTGGAGATCAATTGACAGGTGAATGAATTCCGAAAGACGACGACGAAAGACGGAAAACGACGGATTAGTTGAAGGATAAGTAAATGTCGAAGAAGAAGGTATTCTTGTATCCTGCACCGACCGATCATGTGCTACTGGGCGCTGGTGGCGACAAGTATAGAGTCCAAACCGAAGGACCCAATCCCCCTTCCAATATTGGCGACATCGGACTTGAACTTCCACAAGCTCAATGTCAACGACTCAACTCAACTCCGTCCGAACAGCGAATTGACGAACAACGCAGTGAACTAGTTATCGGTCGGGACATGTCATGAGGATAAAATCTCTCAATCTAGGCTGGTTTGAAACGGCGCCATGCAAGCTGATATGTACCTACCTTGCATGACCTTTGACATATTGCCACGTCCTAGACATATCTTCTGTTGTACCGCACTGAATCGGGTCGGTCTTCATTATCGTTAGTCAATTATTCCCCTTTGTCAGTCTTCCAAAATCCATCCATGGCCAGTGGATAAGCATGTGAGTCTCTCTTGGTGCGGGGTACAAATACGTCGGTCGACAACCCAATTTGTCCGGGTATGTCTTATCGCAATAGATTTGCAAGATGACTCCAGACTCTTGTCGACTCGGCAATCGGAGTCCAAGAGTCAAGATGCCTGTGCCAACTCGGCCAATCCGCCCCTCATGACAAGCAGCAGCGTCGTATCGTGGACAATCGATATCCGTTGCTCCGCCTGGATTCGCTTCTGCGCCCCTCGAAGAGCGGTGTGTACCATATCCTACCGGAGAGCAACCATATCACCAGGTCGGAAGCTGTCCGGTTGGCCGGCACCGAAGTCTGCGATAACAGCATTCGATAGACGGAGGGTCATGTCTACGAATATCAGGTCGTGGAATCTGAGTTTCGGAGAATTGGTTGAGAGGTGGAAACTGCACTGAAGAGATATCTTAAGGGTTTTGTTCCTCTCCACTTGTTTCGATGGCCCCAGGGCCCCATGGGAAGGTTCCCCGAATGGTCGAGCCTGGGGTTCGGCAACCAAGCGCAGCCTTTCAACTTTTGGCATAGCCGCAATCTTTGAAAGAAAGAAACCCGCTGCCCCGTCTTGAAGACCCTTGAAACCTCGCTCGCTTTAGAGTTTGGAATACCTACTGTGCCGCAACTAGGCCCATATCGCATGAGCATATTCCACCATGTTCATCTTTCAAGATGGCGATCCTGGTCTCGGTGGTGGGGGAGCCGGTTGTTCTAGAGGCTTCGTCTTACCCTACCATACCCGCCGAGCTGCTTAGTCCAATATCAGGGTTGACGGTATATTTTAGAAAGGTAAGGTAACAATCAACTGTTGAAGCCCTGGGCGTATACTTTAAGGCTATCAATTCCTTCAACTCCTGATGCTGCAGCTGTATCCTCATTTTATGTCCATCCCGCCCTCGAGGGCTATGCCGTGGCGTTGTCACACGCGTCATATTTCAGATCAAGTCTTCCGCCATGTACCCATCGTCGATCCAACAATCTCGCCGCAATCCCATATTAACGATCACCAAGGATGTTCACTCTATCCGGATACTACGCATATTCCGAAGTCTCCTGCAGTATCCTGGCCGTTGGATACAGAGACCTTGATGGTCCAATGCTGCCATTCTGGCCATGATATGAATATTAACTGCAATACGTGCATTCTATCGGGTAGGTTGCAGCCTCAAATTTAACACAATAAACGAGGTCATCCTAAATAGGATGCAATTGTTGGTAAGTACTGTATAACAACAATTTCCCAACCTTGAACTTCCGGTCAGAACACTAACCAGACTTCTGATCAGGTGCAGACGTGCAGCAATGATGCCTGGTGGGCTGCTTTCCTTCTGTCACTCGGAACCAAGCAACTGGTAACACGACAGCCCGGGGGGGAGAGGTGGGCTTCGCAGCCCATTCTACACGGATATCCTAGCCTTCGAGTCCAAGTAGGTTCGAAAGTGTCTCCGAGTTCTGATTTTACTGAAGGCGATAGTGTGATATTTGACATACCGCGGAGAGGGAGGCGAGAAGGCTGGGCGATGCCTATTCGCTATCGAACACGCTCTACTCGCTCGCGATACCATCTACGTCACAGCGATGGGGTCATTCTAGACTTGCACTGCGAGACAGGCAGCGCTTAAGGTACCAAATATATCTCTAATAACAATGGTGTTGACTACCACTTACTCCGATGCCAGGCGTCAACTCTCAGTCAAAACTCAGAACAGTGCCGAGGGACTAAATAGAGACTGGCTCGGTGGCTCCCGCTCGGGCGACCCACCCAATGACGATCTCTCGTGAACACTTGGTCCTTGTCCAAGTTCCATGCGGGCTGAATGGGGCCTCCTAGCCATCAGCGAACAAGCATTTATCCAGATGAACTGATTCGAAAAGATCAAAGATCCAAGGTCAATTTAACTGAGGCTTCCAAGCGCTGAGCCAGGGTCGGATTGGATGGTGGGTCCGAGCTGAAGTAGCCGCCAATGAGAGGCGAAACGCCCTGCGCGATTCCCGATGATCTGGGGCTCTTCGGCGGCTACACAGCCTATTGTATGCGCTACACAGCCGACAAGACGGTCTATCCAACAGCCTACGAGACACCCTAGCAGTCAACACGACAGCCAACTCTGGCTGCACGCCAACCCCCGGGGGCTCTCTTCAGCCCACCCCTCCAGCCTCAAACCTCTCCCCAACCCACTCTCCTCCTGCCATTGGCTCCCCACACATTGACTTCAGCCATCCCGTTGCCAGCTTTGATCCCAATCCCCGTCCAGCTTCATCCACCACCTCCATCCATCTCCCTGGGACACAACATTCCAATCGTGCTCCTCCAAACCCCAACATTTTGCCTCCCGGAATATTTGCGGTGCCCACAAAGTCGTACAACACTACAACCCCATGAAAGCTGTGTGCACAATGTCGAGCCTCGCAAGCTGGGAAGAGAGAACTCCCTGGCTACTCCAGATTTCCAACATCCCAACACCCTCCACCATGGCCGTCATGCCTGTTGGGCATGTGCAGCCGTTGCTCGTCCCGAAAGGTAAGGGTTTATACTAGGTGGGCGCCTGCTGTTACACAGTTTCTTCTAAAATTCCCGCCTGCATACCCCTCTGAGTCTGAGATTACTTATGTTTAGATTGCATCGCCTTTCAGTCTGATCTCCTTCCCTCACTTCTCTACGCCTGTCGTTAATGCTGTGCCCGGTCTTCTGGAAACGTTGCTGCCGCGGAGTGGGATATCAATAGCACCATCGAGGATGGAGCATCACGAACTTGAGGCGGGGCGTCTCTATCACGCTCGCTCCAACTCGGTGAATAGCTCGCGGGCACCGCTCACGAAACATGGCCTCCCACGAGAACCCGCTCAGAAAGGACAGACTTGCCATAATTGCGGGACATGCATTGCTTCGGCCATGCCAGATCCTTCGCAAGTTGCCAGGACTTCGACCCCACCCGTCCTGACGAGGCCTTCAGGAAAGAAGACATCTTTCGGTACTGTCCAGACCGGTGATGGAGACACACAGGCTCTTCGCCCCGTTCGTCTCTCGCCTCGCCCCCTCGAGTCATCCCCAGAGTCCCCCATCTCATCAAGCTTCTCGGATCAATTGTCCTCCAGCTCTGGAAGAACCTCCAGTCCGTCCAGTCCCGACGATGGACGAAGTATGAGGTCCTATCAGAGCTCCCTCCCCGTCCCAAGCTCCGGAACCGCCTCCCCTAATGCCTCCACCAAACCCCCTCTTCCACTCTCCAGCTCGACCTTAGAGACCACTCAGCCTAGCATCGCCGAGAAACTTTCCCGCCATGACAGTGCCACAGGCCGTATCTCCAGAACCGCCGCACTATCATCGCACCCCACGACAACCGCCGTCTCGCCTCCAACTATCGCTGCCCGGCGTGCATCTCGTAAATATCGAACCTCCATCACCTCCACCCACTCGATCACCGACACCATCATCTCCGAGAGCCCACAAGTATCCACCTTCCATGACCTTGTCGTCCTCCCCCTCCATGAACGCCGGGGACGCGCCACCACGCAGCTCAACATCGACTCTCAACCTCGCCCAACGGCCCGCAGCCTCTCTCCGCCTCGCCAACGCCGTGTCCAAGTCGAGCATCAGGCGAGCACGCCACTACGGGAGGAGTTCTCACCGCGTTTCCGGCCGGAAACGGAGACCGAGGATGGATCCGCGGCGCCGAACGCGGGAATGTTGTCGAGGCTTGGGAGCAAGCTCAAGCGGCATAACTTTTTGAATCGCAAGGGCACCGTGACTACAGAAGCCGAGAAGGAGAAGGAGGCGCCGGTGGCCGTCAAGAAGGGTTTAAGCAAGAGTGGGCATCAGGTTGTGGAGCAGAAGGCCGAGGTGGTGCATTGGACAGAAGCATAGACCCAACACCGTGCTACAGTGCCAAGCAACCTGACTTCACTTCTCTTCAACTGGAATCGATTGAGACGGGCCTATCCTGTTCAATCAATCCCTATGCGTCATCTTTCGATTCACGCGGTCTAGCTTTTCTGTTGTTCCTTTAGCGTCATGATGGATGGGGTATGTCTGGAGTTTTTGCGCGGAACAGCGCTTTTGGATTGGTTTATGGGACACGATTTCGAGTTTCCCCCGGTAAAAGCACGGAGGGCCTCTTTCCCAGCATATTACCTATCGTTGACAACCGAGACATGGTCTTTAGAGGCCAGTGAGGAGCTGCCGTGTCACGGTGGTGTTATGGTCGCTTCATGCTCCATAGATGCCAGAATAAAATGGTCCCTGGGGTGGAAGAAATTGATAGTCCGGAAGCACATCCCAAGGCTTCGAAACTCCCTCCCTTGTTAAACTATATTTCACCTCTTACGATATACAATTGTCGTGACATGTTCCTTTGGCTATATATGTCTAAATAACTGGAGTGCACGCCAAGCTCACAAGGCCATCAATTCCACTCATAAGTACTTGATGAGGGCTTATTCACCCAACATCATTATCCTATCAGCCTATGAAGGTATTTGTAGGAAGTTGCACATGCGGTAAAGTGGTATTGTATGTACATATATAATGGACTGCCATCCATTTCGCCTGGGTATCTTTAAACACCGAGGCACCCCTAGACGCCGATAATCGGCATACCTTTCGCCAAACCTCATCGTTTCGAAATCAGATCAAGTCATAACATCCTTCAAACAGCAAGGCCTCCTCCCCCCTTAACCCACCGATAATGCGAGAGAACCTCTCGCCGCTTCGCCTGATGCTCACCCTTGTTTTCCTCGCTTAGGCGCCCACGCACCTGGGCCAGAGCGGATCGCATGACTTTCCGAAAACTTCGCTGCCAGGGTATGGTGGTTAGCTGCTGATTCACTGGAAGGACATCCATGCATGGGAGGAAAAAAGCGCCGGCTTACCTGATATTCCGTATTCAGAGTCACCACGCACGCCTCATGCGCCCTGACAATAGTTTCGCACGCCTTCACCACACTCTCACTTGCCTCACCCTGCAGCTTATCCGCGATGAGCAGTAGTAGGAAGCTCCCCTGCAGTAGATAAATCCCGAAGAAAAACGGCATGAAGCTCAGATCCGGATCGTATTCTAGCACGTCGTTCAGGGCCTCGGCAGCGGATACCGCATGGCCCGTGGCGGCGAGGAAGGTCGGGGAGGAGATGAAAAGGTCGTTGTCGTCGAGCATGTCGATGGGGTCCCATTTGCCGCTGAGCAGCACGTGCATGGTATGGATCAGGTAGGTGGAATAAGCGATGATGATCTTGGTGCGGAGGGAAGTTTCATTGTAGCGGGTGGCCGATGAGCTGACGGAATTGGCCGAGGGGGTGCCGGCATCGTGGGCAAGCGGTACGGATTGCGATGGTTGCCCGCTACCGTTGGTGGCGGTGGAATCAGTGGGAGCGGCCGCATCTTTGATCGAAGCAGCGCTGCGTGCTTCGAAGTCACGCAAGCTTTGTTCGAACACGGCTAGATGCTGGCTGATCTCCGCCGTCGAGTTGTCCCACCCTGCACCATTAAGGAAGGCTCCGAATCGAGGATGATTCCTAGCATGGACGAGGTCGACGATTTCGCCTAATAACGTCATGAGGGGTGTGAAATACCCAAAGATACTCGGACCAGCAAGCTCGATCGACGGCCCGGGATGTCGGAAATAGCGAGACGACGGGTCGCTGCAGAAACCGGATGGAATGGAAAAGGTGTCACCAGCTTGCCAGATTTCTTCCTCGATTGGTTGCAGCAGCCCGTCGCATTCGGAGTCGTGGAAGAAGAGCGGCTTATTATAGCACAACGCCAGGTGTCGGTCCATGGTATACAACAGCCACCAGACACGCCGCCGTTCTTCACGCTCTTCCTCAGTAAATTGACGGATAGGATTGCCGGTGATGGGGTTAATAGCCAAGGATTGAGTTGCCATGCCAGCTTCATCAACTGTGCCATTCAAGTAGCGATCGATTGAAGGGGCAATGTTGGAGGTTGGCACCTCTGTGCCCAGTCGGAGTTCTCGTGCCATGGACCACGCTGTATTCCAGAAACGTAGGCTGGCGGATTTATACTCCGTTGCCGAGATCACAGTTGCAATGTGCATGTACGTGATGACGTTGTCGAGATCAGCCGATGCTGTGGCCGCCGGATCCTCTGTCTCGAAGTTCAACCCAAACGCGCCAAATGATGCGCCGTTGGCAAATGGATTGTTCATAAATGTCACAGCCGGTTCGTTGGCCCCGCTGGCATCGTGCACCAGTGGCTTCAACAAGGAAATGGTCAGCTCCCAGAGCCTCGAGCAGATCTTGCTCCGCGCTGATGGTGATCGAAAAAATGGCGATTCGCACGTCTGCGCGCCGATCCAGAGCATACTAGCTAGCAGGGCGGGGGAGCACATCCTGGGATTCGACTGCCGCAGCAATGACTTTTTGCGGAAGACGAAGCCGACCACATACGGGGACTGTGGTTGCATGTACGCGGATGATGTGCTCTGGAAATACACATCCAGCAGCTCGCATGCCAAGTTCGTCGGTATCAAGTTGCCAAGATGAGGCAAGAGAGGCTGTAAAACCGGGTACCGTACTGGCTGCGGAGGCGTTATGCCTCGATTGGTCGTGTATAGCGCTGCGGAGGGCGATGGAACAAACCAACCTGGGGAGTTCATCGCCGGGGGAGATGGAAAGTAATTGGGCATGGGTCGCATTGTGTCGGCTTCAAAGCCCATCGTTGTCACGGTCCCTCCTTGAGGGGCAGGACTTTCGCGGAAGCCAGCCGTGTTGTAAGCACCGCCCGAGTCCCCGGAGGCGGTGGAACGCGGTCCAGGGCCCCCGAAATTGGTTAGAAACTCGCTATTCGATGACATGCTGCGGAAGTTATCAAAGCTCGGGAGTGAGTTTGAGTTCGGGTTCGAGTTAACGCTTGTTCCGACACCGACACCACCATGATTCTGAATCTGATCAAGCCGGTTGATGTTATCCAGACCGGTGCCAGCATTGAGGGCGGCTGGCTGAGGAGCCTCCTGGGTCGATTTCGCATAGTGCATGGATCGCTGAATTGATAAATCCGGAAGCTGGACATTACTCTGGCTAGCCTGCATGGAAAGCAGCACCTGCGCTGGTCCCGCATGGAGTTCTGGCAGCGACGGAGGCTGATGTGCCTGTTCTTCTTGTCTCTTGACATTTCCTCCCGCGCCTGAATCGCTAACTGACCTATTGTGGGCATTCCCCGTAGGCTGCTCTACGGCCACCTCTTTCCGAGATGCTTTGCCACGTTTTCGCTGAACGCGTATATATTCGCATGTAAGGCCATACTCTGCACTGATTCAGATATGGAACACGCTGAAAATTTAGCATCGGAGCTCACGTACCACTGCAATGCGCGCAAGGGCTCCTTCCATCGCATTTGGTCCTCAATTGATTGCACTGGTCGCAAGCACGGCTGATCCTGCGCCGTACAGGCGTACTCGACACCATGATGTCGGATTGTTGACCCGGGGTGCGCGACGCAGAGCGACCAGAAAATAATTGGGTACTGAATTCGGGCACAAAATCCTCTTTTTTGGCGTGATCGATCCAGGTCAGAGTAGCTTCGGCCCTCTCCAAGCGGCTTCGCGCAAATTCTTCTCCTCGGACAACCGACTCGAAATCCGGGAGTTCCAGCTGTCCGGAAGGCGGTTGATCATTGCTCGACGAATAGGTGATGGGGGAAAAATGAGAAACAGAAAGAAGAGGCGGGTGTAATGGATTCGAAAGCATGACAGACTTGACTATCGCAAAAGTGCTTTGGATTTAGGACGCGTGTGGTTCACGTTATGGGAACTAGCGTCGTAAGACTGACGGCGGGCGATGCGATCTGGTCCGCGAGACCGTTGCGGTTTGCCATACAACGGCATCCGCCGAAGACTTTGGGAGAAATGAAAATAACGAACACTCTTTTTTCAGCGGATTAATCGATCGATACGCACTATTCATAGTATGGCTTCGGCCTCTTGCCTCCTCCGAGCATACCAGGAGAGACTTGGCTCGATGGCGGTAAGATGATCCTCATGGCGTTGCCGGTTGCATGGAGGATGGAGCGTTGCATGAGTGGAGTTCGCGGGGTAACAATAATGGTACAGGATTGAGTCCGTCCTGGTGAGAGACGACGGAGCAGAGAACTTTTTCGAGCTATATGCCCGTTAAGACGGTTAGATCCACGCCGGAAATCCCGGTAGATGGCTGATAGAAATATTGCCCAGCGTGAGACACGGTCCGTCGCCTGCGGCTGAGACGTTGGGAACTCTAGATGGAGCTAAGTGGATGGACAGAAGGGATGTGATCATGTGAAGCACGGAATACTACTCTGTACTATGTAATAATAACTGATTATGGGAGTTCATGGGTGGCGCCGGTACCGGTATCGTGGCAATAGGTTGAACTTCGCTGCAGGCAATTGATAATATTGTTCTTCTGAATCCCAAGTCATTGTCTGGTGCTCGGAAACATCCGACTGCACGACATCAAGCCATATGACTGCAACGATTTTCACTCCTGTCCATTGACTGGTGGAACTTCTTAGGGCCGGCCAACGTGAGCTGTTGGATGCAACGCCACTCCCTCTATTCCGTATGGAGTAGCATTCTGATCATCACTATTCACAGCATAGCCATTTCGAGGTCCGAACCTGATCCGGTAGATGGACTCCGTGTACGTTAATAGGTTCAAGATTGTGGTTCACTTTTGATCAGGGCTACGTATGCTCCTCGACGACAGCCGTAAGGAATGACTAGACTTAGCAAAAGCCACAGTCGTATTGGGGAAGTGGAGGACCACACTCCGCAAGTCCGCATACCGAAGATCTTCCAGAGAAAGGATCTGAATGGCTGACCTCGCATACCGTAGTGTGTCCAACCCTGATGATTTGATGAAGAGATAATCGATTCTGTGCCATTGGCGTGGCTTGCATCCCGACGGGAACGAAAGCTAAACAACTGCCCAAGACTCAGGAGAGCAGCCTGCGATGGTGACTTCATGCACAAAGAGTTTCCTATTCAGACCCGGATATGAATCTCCGCGGAGGAAACAGCTCCCTTCTAGAAGGATTTGGAAGCACTGGTACCCCTCGCTGTTGAAACATCGAATTTGGCGCTTGAGTATTATTAACGGCAGCTAGGAAGTAGGAGAAGAGCGGAAAACGATGGTCCTGGAACTTTTGACATCCACATCCATCCTACCTACTGAAATGGAGACAGGACAATTGTCTCGATAGCCGGACCAAATAGAGCAGTGGCAACGAAGGGCTAATAGATATTTGTAATAACTAACTAGGGTAATAGCAATTCTGTAGAGTCGATACGGAAGTATTCGGTCCAAGGTGGAGATGGAAACACAGTAGTGAGGGGGCGAGGGGGAAAGGGTTGGTGCACGTGACCACGCGTCATTATTGTCCTCCGCCTTATCTCCGAACATCTCCATCCCTCCACTTCGTTTATTCATTGTGAGCAGATAAGAACAATAATATCTTACTTATTTACTCGCTATATTGCACGGTACCCCCCCGAAATCCGGTCTTAATTCAACACCATGGCCGCCGAAACGTTGACGACAATATCTCCAATTACGAACAAGCCCATCATTACCCGTACCGGAGTAACCAATGATGAACTATCGGCCATCGTAGATCGTTCCCAAAAAGCCTTCGAGAGCTTCCGGAATACCAGTCTCGAACATCGTCAGACCATCGTGAAGAAAGCGCTATCGTTGCTGAATGACAAGCAAGATGAGCTGGCGAAGGAGCTCACGGAGCAGATGGGAAGACCAATTGCATATACAGCCAAAGAAATCACGACCGCTGTAGCACGTGCTCAATATCTGCTCAAGATATCTTCCGCTACTCTGACCGATACGCCGGGTGAGCCAGAGCCCGGTTTCAAGAGATTTATCAGAAAGCTCCCGGTTGGCCCAGTGCTGGTCCTTTTCGCGTGGAACGCGAGTCTTCCCTTCCCAGATTCAAATCGAGGACTTATGCTAACGCGCCGAAGTATCCGTATCTAATACTCATCAATTCGATCATTCCCGCTCTCCTCGCCGGAAATACCGTCATCCTGAAGCCATCCCCCCAGACCCCGACGATCGTCGAGCACATCCAACAGGTCTTTTCCGAAGTGGGTTTGGACAAGGATGTGATTCAATATTTCCACAGTGGGAACTTCCACCAGATCGAAGAAGTTATACAGAACCCTAAGATGCAGCTGGTGTGCTTCACCGGCTCCGTTGCTGGTGGGCTCGCGGTCCAAAAAGCCGCCAGTGATCGCATCGATGTCCGGGTTGGCCTGGAACTCGGCGGTAAAGATCCAGCATACATTCGTGACGACGTGGATGTCAAGTGGGCCGCGGAGGAGATCGTTGATGGTTCGGTATTTAATTCTGGCCAGAGTTGCTGCAGTATCGAGCGGGTCTACGTTCATGAGAGCGTTCACGATGCTTTCGTTGCGGCGGTCGTCGAGGTTCTCAATGGATACAAGCTTGGAGATCCCTTTGACCAGTCCACGAACGTGGGACCGGTGATCTCCCAGAAGTCGGCGTCGGCGATTAAGGCACATATCAAGAATGCCATGGATAAGGGCGCAAAGGACATGACTCCCTATCATCCTAACTTCGCTCTTCCCAACGAGGGTAACTTTGTTGTTCCGACTCTTCTGACGGGGGTGAGCCATGAGATGGACGTCATGACCGAAGAGACGTTCGGTCCAGTCATCCCGGTTATGCGCGTATCCGGCGACGAAGAGGCTGTACGACTTATGAATGACAGCAAGTACGGACTTACTGCTAGCATATGGACTAAAGACGGTGTCGCTGCAGCGAAACTGTGCGATCGAGTAGACGCGGGTACGGTCTACGTCAACCGCTGCGATTTCCCTAGCCCGGTAAGCAGAGCATACGAACAACTATCTCCTGTATTTGGCTAACTGCATCCAAGGATCTCGCTTGGACGGGGTGGAAGCACTCTGGGAAGGGGCAGACGCTAAGCAAGTTCGGGTACGATCAGTTTGTGAAGCTGAAGAGCTACCACATCAAAGACTACCCGTTGTGAGCGACATTGGGTCATACCGTGTACGCGTCGATGCGACGAGATGCAAGGACGAGGTTTTGCTTATTCGGTCACACGGTGCACTGGTGATCGTTGTCCTCGTACCTTCGTAGGGCAGTCTCACCACCGTTGGAATGGATCGCTGTGTAAGTGTAACACGGACTCGCTGCCAAACGATCTGCGTGTATCCGGGCAACACATCTTCAACGACGATATCACTCTCTAGCGGTAAGTAGCAGAATCATGGAATCGCAGAACCATGGCATCACAGAAACATCCGAATTGGAGCGTTTGTTTTTCCTCTCTCGACTTTCGACGGATTGCGTTTGGTACTTCGGCTCTGCGGAGGGGGTGGTAGAGTTGCTGTCCCACCATATCTCGTTTCAGGTGGGCTTCCACAAGGAATGTAGGAATAGATCCCATAAACGCAAGGAACAATAGTATAACTTGAATTTCTGACTATTACTACGGAGTCTCAATTCTCTTGATCAGTATGGCCAAATATAGAATTCATTCTCAGCGGTGGTTTATAAATGCAGGCATCGCTTCTATACTGGTTATCTTCTTTTATCTACACCTGTACCATTAGTCGTTCTTTTCAGATTGCTGCTTCAAGTTCTGCTCTTACGTTTTTCTGCGATATCCCTCTCGCTTTCGGTTGCAATTCTATTTCGCTCTCGGTTTTTCTCTACATTATGTATTGGGCCACGGTGAAACGATCCATGAAGCATTGGATATCACGACTAGTTTGTTGTGATAGAGACGATAGCCAGCCTTTAGAGATTGTTCGTGGTGGTTTTGCCCCTATCCAAGAAGTTGTCATGACTAACGAAGCAGCAGGGTCGGCCATTTAACTTTCGGAAGGAGGAAATTCGGATCGAGGAGCTCACCGAAGAAGAGTGCGTCTATCCTGCACAGATATGACACGAATGAAACAGAGTGCTGATACACACTAGGCAAACATTCTGGCGTGAGAAAGCGGCGGTGGATGCCTCCTTGATGTTTGCTAACAGGACATCGTCGCCACGGACAAACATCCCTCCGCAATCGCACTCGAAGCTGGATCGAGTTCGACGATTAAGCTCGAGGTTCTGCGGGTATCGCCCTGTCAGTCGTGAATACAGAGAACCGATTGGGCTCGGTACATGCCGGATGGAGAAGGGCTTTGAAGAAGGATTGAAGATCCGATTCTCGGGGTCAGGGGACTCCATCACCTTGGCGGAGCTAGAGACGCCCACCGGAATTCGTGTGATGTAAATTGGCGAATATACACTGTGCACTTATTAATATGATGCCGCTCGTCAGCATAGAACGGAATAGCAGGATCAGGGAAGCGAGATAATCAAATTACAAACGACAGGTCATAAGTTGAAGGGTCATCGTGATGGTAGCAAAAACAAACGGAGACGGATTCATTCCACCGCTAGGACGGTTTAATTAGGAGCAACAAGAGAGCCATGACCATGGCTCCTGCAGCTGCGCTCTCAATCGCAAGCACCGTCTGATCCACTTTTTTCATAGGAACGGTTCGGTCGCTAAACAAGTCCTTGGTGGTGTTCTGCAACCGGACTGCAACCGGGTGTTGGGCGAATATGGCGAGGCCTGAGGCGAGACCGGGCTCATCGCTTGTCTGCTCTAGCGCTTCGACCGGCAGCTCATCGAGGACCTGCTCGATGCCAGCGATATCAGGGGCGGACACGGCGTTCGGTGTTTCCACGCTATCGGATGCTGTGGTCTCGACGGTCGCCGAAACCTCTTCGGCCCCGGTTGCAGTATTGGATAGCTGTATTTCGGTCTGCTCTGCGAGCGCAGCTTTGATTTCCCTGACCAGCCTTCTCCTCCTCCGCGGTTCAATGATAGCCACGTTGGAGAGCAATAGGGCGATATTGAGTCCCATCAACCCAATCGTGACCCAAGTGCTGTTTCGACGGATCGTATCGCTCCATATCTGTTCTTCGTGATATTGCTGCCTCTCCTTCTTCTCCAGTCTTGTACGCACTTCTTCCAAGCCTCTCTCCGCTCCGGCGAGACCGTCCTTCGCTGTCTGGATCGCCTGTTCGTTGACATGCTCGGACCGTATCAGGGACATGTATCGTTCGAGATCGCCGGCAGACCATGAATGCTTCCGCTCTAGAAGTCCGACGACTTCTTTTTGGGAGGAAGCTTGTTGTATATGGGCTTTATCGACAGACTCCTTGGCGGTTCGGACGTCGTTTAATCGGTCTTTGACCATGGCCTCTACGAAAGATTTAGCATAGGTCCACCGGGCATGGCATACAACGTACCAGAAGCTTTTATATCCCGTCTCAATGCCTCGATTCCGGAATAGTCCGTTCCAGTATATGTATTCATACGCTGCGTGTACAGAACCAGCTTCGCCTGCAGGTCGTCCATGATCTGCGAAAAGTGTTTGGAAGTCCCCCATCGCTGCTCCTCCCGTTCTGAAGGGAGCGGCTCTGTTGACTCCGGTGGTATTTTCGAGGGCCGTTTCTCGGTTTCGGAGGCGGTCGAGTAGAACCGTGTCTTATTGAGATACGACAAGCGGGCAGCTATCGGTTGATGGGGTGCTCGCTCCGCCGGCGATATTGTTCGGGCGCGACATTGTGTGCATATCAGCCCGGCGGTTGGGCGACTTGTCGCTGATCCAAGAAGCTTGGTAAGAGCATTTGCTCGTTCGGATATGGATGTCCTAAAGATCGATGCGCGCATCTCGAGAGGAAGTGTGGAGGGAGCTCATGAAATGGGATAGAAGAACGCTCAAAAACCCGCCATTCGCTGAGTGACACACGTTTTTGTTGCTAGCACGAAAGCTTTCTCATTCTATCATCTGCAAATCTCTACTGTGTTAGAAGCATAAGAAAGACAGCACGAGTAATTTGCGGAAGCTGTATTGCGGAACTGGTCTCCAAACGATAACATAAATTTATGGAGACCGGGATTGCGTTCTCGGACACGGCGAAACAGAAGGCGAAAGCAGATGCGAAGATCTTTACTCCTTATCGTGGCGTATTTAAGACTTAAGTCCTTCGCGTTCACTACAGTCCTTACCAAAGTTTCATTCCGGGCTTCCTATTGTCCTTCTTAAACAATAGAGTTGACATATTCGTTCCTACGATCCATCTTTGCCAAAATGAGTGTTAACGGGGCGGCGCCTTTGCCGGCCATGGCGACGAATCCCAAGTTTATCTTCTTTACGGATTTTGATGGCACGGTTACTTTGTCAGACAGTAATTCTCACTTTCATATTCTTTAGATTTGAAGCGTTCACAACGCGGCTTGAACCGACGGTGAAGGAAGATGCTGACCACAGTTTTCATTTCCTGTAGGCAATGATTATATAGTTAGTCTCCTCTCGACCGTGAATAGAGCCCATTCTTACCAATAGTCTAGACGGACAATCTTGGGTTTGGACACAGCAAAAGGCGGCAGTTGAATTTCGATGTCTTGGAGGACAAGATGCCCTTCAGGTACGTCCCGTCCGTCCCATCGCGAACTTAATCGATAACACAAAGATAGGGACTCCTTTAAGCAGATGATGGATAGCATCACGACCTCATTCCCTGAGTGCATGGAAACGCTCAGGAAAAACATCAAGCTCGATCCTCACTTCAAGGATTTCTTGGATTGGTCGATCTCTGCCAACGTCCCCATTGTCGTGCTCTCAGGGGGGATGGAGCCGGTTATCCGTGCCCTCTTCGAAGAGCTCGTTGGGAAGGATGCCGAGAGGATCCAGATCGTGAGCAACGATGTCGCTGCCCGCCCTGGAAAATCGATTGATCAAGTGGGAGGGTGGGAAATCCAGTTCCTCCACCCGGAGAGGTAAGTTCACTTCAGCGTGAGTCGATGGCGAGGCTGACCAGGAGTAGTGGGTTTGGACATGACAAATCAGTCGAAATCAGAAAGTATTCCACTCTTCCCGAGAGACCGGTTCTCTTCTATGCAGGGGATGGAGTGTCTGATCTATCAGCGGCGAGAGAAACCGATCTGCTCTTTGCGAAGAAGGGACATGGTAGGACCCCAGTGTAATGACGAAAGGTGGATGGCCTGCTAATGGTATTTTTCAGATCTCGTGAATTACTGCGTGAGAGAGGATGTCCCGTTCACCATCTTCCAAGACTGGAGTGCGATCCTCGAAGGCTGCAAAGAAATTGCGTAAGTAATCATAGCCCCAATAGTCAAATAGTTCCCACTAAAAATCTACATAGGGAAGGGAGGATCACAGTCAAAGAAGCGGCTCAGAGAGGGTTTGAGCAGTACAAGAAGGATAAGGCTGGTGCTTAGTAGAGTCAATACTATTTCACTACTATCAGAGGCTCTATATGTTTATGTTGTTGGTAACGCTGGGCAGCGTCTGACAAAGTGGTACAAGACTAGAGCTCAGAATAGATGATGATAGAAAGGCCATAGACAATAGATGGGTAGCTTTCACGTGCGCCTCTGCTAGTGCCATTTTTGGAGTTAAGTGTAGCGGCATGTTCATAAGGCGGATGGAAGATGGTCTCAAGTATTTTGCTAGACGTTCGGAGTCTGACGTGAAGTATCATGTGCCATTCCGGTAGCCATTCTAAACTTAACGGAAATATGATATCTCGATCATCATCTGAGTCTTATGCTCTATGATGCCATATCCCTCTCCGCTACTGCCCCGGCTTTTAACCAATGGTCTTCAGAATGGCTTCATGAGTGCTGTCTCCCCTATAACTGCAGTGACAGCAACCGCCATGAACACCGAGACTACTCTATGACCCGCTGAAAAGCCTACTCCATCCGTCAACTAAGTTTCCATTGTATCTCCAGATACATCTCCAAGCCGAACCTGATCGCTTCACTCAAGGGCTCGAAAGCTTCGGTCAGAGAATTCAAGCACTTGGGGCTCTTGCTCCCGCCCAACGCAATGACTGCAAAGTCTCAGGCCGCCCCATAGTAGGGTTCATCGTAGGGTTCATCATAAGGTTCATCACAAGGTTCATCATAGGGTTCATCATATTCATAGGGTTCATCGTACGGTTCATCTACCGGCCCATCGTACAGTTCATTTACCAGCCCATCGTACAGTTCATCTACCAGCCCATCGTACGGTTCATAGATCGGCCCATCGAACGGTTCATCGACCGGCCCATCGAACGTCCCATAGAACGGCCCATCAAACGGTTCCTCGAACGGGTCATAGGACGGCCCATCGGACGGTTCGGTGCTCCCAGCCTCGTCTAATGCTTTGTTGGCAAGATCATCAGCGTCAACGATTAGCCGGCGGGGCTGCTGAAAGAGATCGTATGAGATGCCGCGGTCTGCTAAAGATTCAAAATCCTCGTGTAGTCCTTTGAGCGCCGCGAAGTGTTTAACCAGATTTCCCTGCACCGTCAATCCACCATTGGTAGCCCAGTGGTCCATGTAAGAATTTATAGATTTGACCAGGTAGTCCGAATCAGACACAAATATGACTCGGTCAATGGAGGGGTCAGCCTTCGCGATGTCACTAACGAGCTCCCGGGCTTGGACCAAAGCCTCGATTTCTGCACGAGAGCTGGTTAGTGGAATGGTCGGAGGGATGACATCGCAGGTATTGTAACTGGACCCGGGACCGAAGTAGATTCCATAGGCTGCTTGAGCACCTAGCTTGCCATTGTTCCGACAAGCGCCGTCAATATGCACAACTATGCTGGGCTTGTCCGTTCGCGGAGGGGGATCCCGAGAGGACATCCCTTGCTTCTCCCTGTCTGGGTATGACACTGCTTGATACACGCCCGCACCAGGAAACGAGGAGGCAGAGTGAAAGTGAAGAATCAGAGACTTGACGGTTTCCCGGGTGTTATGAAAAGACTAGAATGGAAAGCGTGATAAGCCTTGCTGGTTGGGACAGATAAAGGTCGGGCTGAACAGACAGTGAGACGTTTAGCTTCAGGCTTGACTTTATATTCAGTATGGAGAGATTCTAAAGCACTCTTAGATGGCGAACTGCACAGATGACGGGAGATAAACAAACAGCGAGAAGACGCGGAAGCGACGGGGCAGAAATGGAAAGAGCAACCTGAAGAAACACCTGTACGCCGGCAGTGGCCACCAGTTCCCTACATCACTCACTACCTGGACATATCAACCTGATCTAATTATAGGATATATGTAGGCGCTTTAGTTACGTGCATTGCAGTATTGTATTGACTAAAAAGTGACAAACTGACGATGAATTCGAAATGACGGGTCGACAAATTGACGAGCACAGTAACGTCACTACGCTATCGCATACGAGGTGTTTCCGTCCCTCCACCGACAACCATTGCTATCGTCGCGGAGACGCTGACATGGCGACGCATCTAGAGAAGACAGATCCATGTTTGGATGAAGTTGAAAACATTCAAAGCGGAGTCGAAAAGGAGTCGAATGTTCGTGACGTCTGCAACAAGGGACATCCTTGCCACTTCAAATTTCCAAACCGCGGAGCGCGTTTAGCTCTGACGCGCTTTTTGACATCCGACCATTTTCCAAATGACTCCTTGGACAAGTCAATTCCCAACAATAGACGGTACAATCCATTGTTCGAAGATCCCCAGTTTCCCGCATCTCCATTCCTAAGTCCAATCGATATGTCGACCGATGTCGTTCGCAAGCGCGGGCGTCCACGCAAAAATCCCATCGACCCCCCCTCCGCCACTCCAGAGCAACCCGCCAATCCGGATCAGATACCCGTACCGGTAACCACAAAGCGCAAAGCCTCGACGGCGGCAAGCAAGGCGACGTCAAGCAAGACAGCATCAAGCAAAACGGTATCCGGCAAGACGGCATCAAGCAAAACGGCATCAAGCAAGACGCCATCAGACAAGACGACGTCAAGCAAGACCACTCCAAGCAAGACAGCATCAAAGTCCACGACGCCCAAGTCCCCGAAAGCAACCAAATCTTCCAAGACCGCGCCCCAGGTACCCGAGTCACAGGCTGCGACCGAATCGCCAATCCTCCAGCAAGTGGCAGCCAAGGAGGCCGCTCGAACCAGCAAGGCCAAAATATCGAATGACGAGAAGCCGAAGAGCAAGGGGACGGAAATCCCACCGGAAGATATCAAGGAGTCGACAATAGCCCCTGCAAAACATACCACCTCACCACCGAAACCGGACGTCCAACCGCTCTCGCAATCCACGAAGTCCGTCCCTAACAGCGTGGAATCTCCACAGCAGCCATCGACATCGTCTGTATCGGCCAATACCTCCGCCTCGACATCAGCTCCGCAGGTCATGAAATCGCCTCCCCTCCCCACCTCACGACCTTTAAATCCGGTATCCTCCCCATTCACCTCGAAATACGCCCCCCCCGCGGCCCCCTCCCCCCCTCTGAAGCCCTCATTCGGCGACCGCTTCTTCGGCCGGCCCCCGCCCGGGTCACCCAAGCAGCCGATAAATGCCGAGAAGTTAAAGAGAGCAAAGCGAAGGTACGAGGCCGAGGCCGAGATCTCGTCGACGAGGCGAATGCCGTGGGCTAATTTATAAATAGGGTCCTGATGATGTATATCGCCATCCCGGTGTTTATCGCGACGACGCCGATCATGTATAAACGCGGTGAGTAGGGAACCCAGATTACACGTTCTTCGTGTGATGGGACGAAACCATGCTGATTTCTGCCGCCATAGTGATCTTGAAGGAGGAACCCAGGACGGTTGGCGAACGACCGTTTGAGATCGTGAAGCACCCCGAAATGGAACGGGAGGCGGAAAAGGGAACGCGGTTGGAGTAGCCGAAAGCCTCGACGACGGTTTGGATACGAGACTTACGGGCACATGACTCGAGATGTTCATATGGCATGAGATGGAGCATCTGTACATAGATGATCAAAAGGGTAAAGCACTGTGTATAAACAATGGTGATCACGACTCATTATATTGTCAAACCAGAGGACCTTCGGAATCCACACGTGAAAAAGCCGGAATCGAAACCGTTGCATTTTGTCTATTTATTTTTATTCTCGCCTAAGACATCGACAGCTACATGAGTCACCGAAGTATACAAGCCAAACAACTCCGTTATGATCTTCTAGCCAATTCCCTCGTACGAATCATACCCTCAAAGCTCGTGCGACTCGTATTGAGGCCGTTACCCGTCCCTTACCCGCATCAGAGGCTACAGCAGCAATCAGATTCATCGACACATTCCAAGCTAACAGCACAACTTGTTGCATTTCTCTTCTGCAAATCTAAAACATTCAACATTCATACGTTAGCACAAACGCCCACAATCAATCTTTGCGACGACCTTCGATCGAGATGGATGGTAGGAAGGATGCGACGGGCTGGACGTCCGGGTAGTGCTAGGCGGAGGCTAGCGGGGGCTCAATCGGGCGGGCGGGATTAGTCGGTTTGCAACCCTAGATCTTTCGTCGCCACGACGATGCGTAGCGTGTTGGTGTGGCCCATGCCGCCGCGCCAGCCCTGGACACAGACGACGGGGTCGCCTTCCTTGAGGACGCCGAGATTGATGGCGTTTTGGATGCCCCATTTCAGTCGCGCGTCGACGTCCTCTTGCCACGGGACTGTCTTGAAGTCGGGCTTGGGTTGGGGGAAGTAGAAGGGGTAGACCCCGCGGTAGAGATGCGAGTACTGTTCCGTGTTAGTGACGAGAAACGAGGGTGGAATCTAGGGGATGCTTACTCGAGCTGCGCGCTCATTTCGGGTGACCATGATGATCGGGCAGACAGGTCGGTATTTGGAGACGAGACGAGCAGTGTTTCCGCTAGCTTTCGTGAGCAATCAATGTTAGAGTACGGGGAGCACATGGAATTACCTCGTAGACAAGACAAGAATGGCTCCTGCAACCTGTTCCAGACTCGCACTGACGGCGGCCATCGCGCAGGTTTCCGTGGTGGGAATCGGGACCGGGGTGACGCGTCGGAACTCGTCGAATGCGCTGACGTACGGGATGGCCACTTCGGCCAGCAGGCAGGTCTCGTGCATGATGGACACGGCCTCTTTGGGGTAATTGCCCTTGGCCGTCTCCCCCGACAACATGACGCAATCCGCTCCGTCGAGAACAGCGTTGCCCACATCGGACACTTCGGCACGGGTGGGACGAGGGTTATAGGTCATGCTCTCCAGCATCTGCGTGGCGCAAATGACGGGCTTGCCAGCAAGATTGCACTTGGTGATCATCATCTTCTGGGCAATGAACACCTGTGCAGGAGGGATCTCGATGCCAAGGTCACCACGCGCAACCATGACACCGTCGGTCTCCTTCAGGATCTCGTTGAAGTTGTTCACACCTTGCTGATTCTCGATCTTGGAGATGATCTGGATGTCCTTTCCTTCTTCACCGAGAACTTCGCGAATGGCCAGGACATCGGATGCCGAGCGAATGAAGGATGCAAAGACCATGTCGACTCCGTTCTCGACACCGAATCGGAGATCCTTCTTATCTTTCTCGGATAGAGGGGGGAGATCGACATCAGTCTTGGGAAGGTTGACACCCTTGCGCGACGAAATTTTGCCATTGTTCATGCAGCGGCACCGAAGGGTCTTATCGTCCACAATCTCGAGGACTTCAAAGGAGAGGACACCGTCGTCGACGTAAATGGTTCGACCCTTTTCGATGACCTTGGTGATGTTCTTGTAGTCAACATACCTTGGCGTCTCAATCAGCAGGAGCATATTGAGTTACGGACATCGACCACTTACATGACCTTGTTGTCGCTCTCGGTAGCGTATTGATCGTCCGTGCTCAAGAGGATCTCGTCATCGATGCTAATGGGGAAGTCCTCGTCGCCTTTCGTGTTTCCAGTACGGATCTCTGGTCCTTTCTGATCGGACGTCAGCATATGCATCGCAGTACCCTCACGGTAGCTCGTACCGTGTCCAGAGCGATGGCAACCGGACGACCGTCCATTTGGCGCTCGGCCTCTTTGGCATGGTCAATGACAGACTTATGGTACTGTGTACGTGGTTCGTTAGCCATGTTTATGACATCGCACGGAATCCTCGTTTCTCACCTCGTATGAGCCGTGGGAAAAGTTCATTCGGACAACATTCAGCCCTGCCTTTCGAAGCATGTTGATCTTCTCCACGGAGTTTGTCTTGGGACCTATCCGGGCATCAGCTCACCCCTCCATGAGGACGGAACATGTTCTTCTCACCGATGGTGCAGATAATCGAGGTACGCCGGTAGTTCTTGGGGGGTTGGTATTCGGTGTTGAGCTGAGACAGCCACTCGACACGAGTGCGTCCAGCATTCATATGGTCCAATGCGTTGGCCATGCTGATGAGGTGACTATCAAATTTCCCTTGCCGTAGTCAGTATCCTGTTTAGATGTTGATTCTTGGTCGAACGAAGAGCGAACCAATTGAGGAAAACAAGATCGAAAACTGAGCAAGCAAAAGAGGACGATGGGACAAGAGCAGAGAAGAAATCTTCTAAGCCAGATAGGCGGTAGTAATAGAGGGGGAAATGGTGGTCTCAACTCTCAACAGAAAGCACTAGATCGAAGCTCTAGTGTATGAGGGAGAAAAAAAAGAGCTTGCTTACAGTTGTGGGATATGACGTGGGGAAATCAATTCTCAGGACGACAGGATGCTGACGGCAGCAGAAGCGAAGAGGAGAAAAGTTGTCAGAAAAACAGTCTGGGAGATGCGTGGGATGAGGGCGAAGAAGAAGCAAAAGTTGTTGAACGATCTTGTGGTGATTATTTGGTGATGATTCGTGTTGCTGTGGTGGTTGTGTAATGGCTGCTGTAGTAGATGTGTGATGCAAGTCATGCAATTATCAGCCAGTTGGGCAAGGAAGCGACGTGGGAGTGACAGGGATGTGGTAGGGATTCAACAAGGGGCCCCCGGTCAGTTGGTACAAGATCCGCGCTCTAGAAACCTTATTGCCTGAAAATTGCCTGGAAATTGCCAATCCCTGGTGTTGGGCGGACAGTTGGGCCTAGAGCGGACCCAAGCGGGATGCTTGGACTTGGTAGTGGTCAAAGCTTCAATATCATTTATCCAAATTCCAACTCCAGTATCAATTTATCCACAGTCCACGTGTTCGTCACCTGATAAGATTCCCAGCCTAACCAGAAATAGAAGGGTTGTTCGGGGCCTTGGACCCTGGTGCTAAATCTCGGAACAATAGAATTTCCAGGCTGCCTTTTGAAGTTTTGATCCATTTCACGTGATCCGTCTCGTGTTGCTTCTTGCACATGTTTGTGTTGTCCCCTCAATCAGCCTGGAGACGTCCGTGGTCATATCGTGACACTCATATCGCCGCCAACTGATCAACTGCCCCAACTCCTTAAATTGAATCTCCTCGGTTTGGATCCATTGCAGACCTCTACCGGACTCCCTCTATCAATCATGGTGGTGCGTGTAGCCCTCTTTCCTGCCCAAGACCACCCCGCTGACCCATTCACCCCAGCTCGGACGAATCACCCACATCGCTTTCGATGCCGTATTAGGTGCGTAAACCTTTGCCGCTATGCTTCTTCCCATAGACAGCACTAATCCTTCGTTCACAGTCTCGGCCTTTCTTGCCGGAGTCAAGCGCTCGACCGGCCTTTCGTATGTTGATCGTTGCCAAGAACCCCTTCGGAATCATATGAGTCCTCACGTTTGATGATGGCTAATGCGTACCCATCTGTGGGATTCTCTAGCCCTAGTTTCCGATCCGAACACGTCTCGCAAAACACCGAAGTCCGAAAATGGCTCGATACCTATCTCTGGGTCGGCGAGGTCGTCATGGACCAGAGCGTCGCATTCATGAGCACGAGCAGTTATTTCGAGCGGAAACGATAGTCTGCGATGCAACGTCATCACTGGGCTTCGATCCTGGTTTACCATGACGAGCGTATTGACCTTGGATCGTGCGCACATGTTCCTGTGTCGTTGTCTATACCTCCTGGCGTTAGGAATTGGTGGGTCGGACTATGTCTGAGGATTGGGATGCGTTGCAGCTATTGTCAATGACATCGGGCGTCTGGATCATGTCTCCCAACCTGGTTTGTGGTGGATTTATACTCTCTTCTCTGTGGAGAACATGGAGAACGACTGTTATTTGAGAATACAATTGCAGGAGACCGCCAGACTCAGGCAATCCACTGAATGCAAATCAAAAGAGGTGTTTCATCAGTTAAGGATTTCTGCAGCACATTACCATATCCAGATTTGATTTGGTTTGGAGTCACGAGTCTCTCCTAAAGTGTATCATTCACCGATCTGATCACGTGTGGTTCTAGAGCAGGTCACGTGGCAACGACATCTCTCCATATACAGCAACAGCATCGCGAGTTTGTCGGTCAACTAGGTATTAATAACCTCCTTTAACCGGAATAAAAGCATCAAGTCCATATGAATTCGACCGCTATGATGGCTCCTAAGTCTGCGCACCGCTTTAGATGATTATTCGTATCGGACGGGTGGAAGAATGTGCACTACTCGATGGTATGTAGGTCATGGAGGATCAGAACAATAGTAAGGAGAACAATATCAACATCAACAACATGTGGGCTCTTTGCTGTTTCCGGTTGCATGTCATTGCTTTCTTACAATGTTTTCATTCGTTCTCACCATGGAGGGTCTTCTTCCTTTATATGGAATCTTTCTTTCCTACACTAGCGATCGTGGAATAACTCGCACTCAATGTCATCGGATCAGCATCACCATGGCCCAGAATCGGCTGCTGAAAAGGGCCTTCGATCGGGTTCTCGGCCGGCTACCAAACGAAGAACTTTCCGTCCCCGACGAAGAGAAAGCCTTGCTCATTCAGAACCAGATCGACACTCCCAAGCAACCGAAGATATTAAACAAGGAACACAAAAGGCCTCATGGAAGGCATTATTCGCCTTCACTACACGACGACATCTGGGACCTCTCTCTATTGCATCATTCTTCAGCATCGTCGCTGGTTTTTCAACTCCTGCACAGGCATTTTTGCTCGGCAAGTTAATCAATTCGTTTGTGGAATTTCAGACTGCGTCCATCACCAGCGATTTCTTTCTAAGCGAGATCCAAAAGTATTGTATTTATTTCGCAATCCTCGGCACCCTCAGGTGGTTTACTGCCGGAGGGATGTTGATGACCTGGATGTTCTTTGGCGAGTTACAAGCCCGGAGCGCTCGAGAGCGAGCCTTCCATGGCATAATGAGGAAAGATATTGAGTGGTTTGATCTCCGGCAGCATGGGATTTCCGCGTTCTGTACCCGCATGCAAACGTAAGTCGAGTTCGAGTTCTACTGACGCTCCTGCTAAGATTTCAAAGGGGAATATCCGAGCTTCGAACCGCCACATCCTCTCCGTTCGGTTACTGTACCCAGCATATCTCCACTTGCTTATCGTCTCTGGGGTTGGCCCTGTTCTACTCATGGAAGCTCACACTTGTCACCCTAGCGACTTGGCCACTGGCCGTCGGTGCGTTGTTCTTCTGCTCGTCTCGAATCTCGCCAAATGTCGAGAGACAAGCGCAGAAACTCTCAGAAGCAGCAAAGATCACCAACACGGCATTCTCCTGCATCGAGACAGTGAAGTGCTTTAACGCTCACGATTCCGAGCTCTTCAAATACTCCGGAAGCATCTCCGAGGCGGCGAACTTTTACTTTCGACAGGCGAACTGGACGGGAGCTCAAGCGTCGGCCATGCGGCTTGCGACGTTGGCGATGTTTGTGCAAGGCTTCTGGTACGGTAACACGCTGATCGCGGCAGGCGAAATGGATGCTGGCGATGTGGTGACTACTTTCTGGTGCGCCATCATGTCGACTCAGGCGCTGATGCACATTATGCCGATCATGATAATGTTTGAAAAGGGAAAGGTGGCGGCCGTACGCCTCTGCCTGGCCTTGGATCAAACATTCATCCGTGGTCGCCGGATGGAGCGCGGCGGGGACGTGAGGCTGGAGAGGTGCGTTGGAGACATTGAATTCAAAAAGGTACGACTTCCAGCGGACCATCCCTTTCGATGTCTAACGGTTCACAGGTCGCGTTTGCCTACCCAACACGTCCCGAGCAGATGGCCTTACGGGATGCATCCCTCTTCTTCCCCGCGGGCGAGATGACTTTCGTCATTGGGAAGAGCGGCTCGGGAAAGAGCACGCTTGGACAGCTCCTCGCAGGTTTCTACTATCCTTCGAAAGGGGATATCTTGCTTGATGGTCACGGTTTTGAGACCCTGGACATGAACGGCGTTCGCGAGAATATCACCCTGGTGCAGCAGGAATCCATTCTGTTTTCTGGGACGATACGCGAAAACATTGCGCTCGGTTCGCGGAGCTTTCCAACCGTCGACGATGGAGAAGTGCAGGATGCCGTAGCATTTTCGTTGCTCGACGGTACGATTCGAGACATGGCAAAGGGCCTCGAAACCCCCGTTGGACTGAAGGGCAACACTCTGAGCGGTGGCCAGCGTCAACGAATGGCCATCGCCCGAGCGCGACTGCGCGATACCCCGATCCTCATCCTGGATGAGTCGACTAGCGCATTGGATTACATCAATCGTTCCTTGATTATGGACAGCATTCGGAAATGGCGCCGAGGCAAAACAACGATTGTGATCACGCACGACATATCGCAAATCCTCCCGGAAGATTATGTCTATGTCATGAAGAGTGGCGAAGTTGTCCAAGAGGGTTTCCGAAAGTCCCTGTCCGATCAGCGCGAGACGCATTTCCAAGAATTTCTGCAGCCGGAGCCAGAACCAGCCGATGTCTTTGTCCACACGACGGAAACCGGGAGCGCTCTCAGTGGCGAGATCGATCTGTACTACGACGAAGACGGCGCAGAACAGAGCATGGTACCCAGCTTTTTTACCGGACGGTTCGGCAATTCCCCCAATCGAGACTCCATGCGCCTTCCTCCGATTGTGTCACCATTCTGGAAACTGATGCCACCGATAAACCAATCCGAACCTGGATCGCACACGTCGGCGTTCGCTCTCCCGGAGAGAGCCTCGGTGTTCTTTGGTGCCATAGATCGGCCCGAAATTCTCGACCAGTTTCTGGAGCGGACCGAAAACGTTGCCGCAAATGGCAGAAAGAATTCAGTGGCCCTGGGGATTCTTGGGTCTCCACGCCAGGGAGCGAAGATGGAGCCAGAGAAGCGCAAGGTGAAGGAAACACCGAAAAAGCTGTCGCACATCTTGAAAACGGTATGGCCTCGATTGCCATGGCACGGTCGAGTCAGTCTTGTCCTCGCGGTGGTGGCGACAGTAACGTATTCCGCCGCCACGCCGGTCTTCGCTTTTGTCTTCTCCAAGCTCCTGGCGACGTATTTTGACCCGTCGAACCTGCAGGCGCAAGCTCGGACATATTCCCTCTCGATCATCGGGATCGCCGTGGGCGATGTCATCGCCTTGTTTTGCATGTACTCGCAGTTTCATCGAGTCGGTCAACTTTGGGTCAACCAGATCCGAATCGATGCAATGAAGCGGATCCTTGCGCAGCCTCGAGACTTCTTCGACCAGGAAGAATACAGCGTCTCGAAGCTCACGGAGTGCCTGGACAATCGAGCAGAGGAAATGCAGTACATTATCTCCCGATTCGTCGGAAACATCCTCGTGGTGACCGTCATGATGAGCATCGCCGTCGTTTGGAGCATGACCACGAACTGGAAGCTGACCCTCGTCGCGGTTGCGACCGCGCCGATCATCTACGGAGTCTCGTCAAAGTTTACCAAAATGAATGGATTTCATGACCGGAAATGTAACGATGCCTCGGAATGGGCGGCCAGCATTTTTCTCGAGACCTTTTCGAATATCAAGACGATCCGATCGCTCACCATTGAGGGCCATTTTGAGGACAAATACATCCGGGAAACCAAACGCATATTCAGGAAGGGTGTGTTTCGAGCGATATCTGGCGGCTGCTTTTTTGGCCTGTCGGAATCCAGTTTCATCTACGTCACCGCGCTGATTTTCCACTACTCGGGCGTCTTGGTCAATTCTCAAGGTGCCCCAGTGGCGGGGATTCTGCAAGTCATCACGTTGCTCCTCTTCAGCTTGACCAACATCCAGATGATCATCGCTTTCATCCCGCAGCTGAGTGAAGCCAGGGATGCTGCCACGCGCTTGTTGAAGTTGAGCGAGCTTCCCACCACCTCCCACGAAGACGAAGGCAGTACGCGAATCTCCTCGATTGGTGACATCCACTTCTCCCGACTCAACTTCCGATACCCATCGCAACCTTCTCAACCCATTCTTCAAGACCTCTCCCTAGTATTGCCGTCAGGCACCTGCACCGCGCTTGTCGGAGCATCAGGGTCGGGAAAGTCGACGGTGGCTTCATTGCTTGTGAAATTGTACACCACCCATACGGCGGCTTCATCATCCGGCAACATCACCCTCTCCGGCCGGGACATATTCCGCTTGCACACTCCGACCTTGCGGAATCTCATCACCATCGTTCCCCAAACCCCGGTTCTTTTCCCCGTGTCCCTCGCTGACAATATTGCTTATGGTATCCATCCCACCTCACACTTGGCCTCTCTCGCTAGCATCCGTGAAGCGGCCGAAGCGGCAGGGATACACGAATTTATATCCAGTTTACCCCAAGGCTATGACACGCTCGTGGGCGATGGTGGCATGGGACTATCCGGCGGGCAGGCACAACGCGTTGCCATTGCCCGCGCCATCGCCCGACATCCGCGGGTGTTGGTCCTCGACGAAGCGACCGCATCACTAGATATGGAGAGCGCCGGAATCATACGAGACACGGTGAAAAGATTGATCGGCGAGGGACCGGGAAGCGCAAGACGATCGTCGAATGGGTGGAGGACGGCCACGAGCGGGAGGAGCGGTGGCAGGGATGAAGAGATGACAGTGCTGATCATCACGCATGCGAGGGAGATGATGAGCGTGGCGGATCAGATTGTCATGCTGGAGAAGGGACAGGTGGTAGAAGAAGGGGGGTTCGAGGAGTTGAAGGCGAGGAATGGTTGGTTTGCGAAGCTGTTGCAAGGAGAACGTGGAGAGTGAGCGGATCCGGCAAAGGAGGCTGCTGCACACGGGGTTGACGCGAGGCTCACAAGGTTACAATCGATTAAATACAGCTTTCTTAGGACCAATTTCGGGGTAGAAACATACTCTCTACATAGTTCTCACAGCGTACCCCATTAAGACCGAATTAATAGGTGTATTAATTACGTGCAGACTGTAACGTCATGGCACCGATTTGTATGCGGCTAGGTAATCACGTGGAGATAAAGTTTGTTGTCTGGGCAACAGGCAACAACGTCAACACCTCAACTGACCAACATCAGACGACCTCATAAACGCATTCAACTCTACACCATATCTTCTACCACGAAAGAAACCTCTTCAAATCCGATATAAGTGACGATCGAGTATCCAATTCCAGTATGGCGCCTGTAACGCGCGCACGAGCTGCGAAGACGAAGCCACCCGCCTCACCGAAGAGGTCCAAATCTCCCAAGAAGCCGACGTTGAAAGCTCCACCAAAGCGTGCCAGAAAACCTACAGCTGCTCCACCGCCGGAGACTAAAGTGGAGGAAGACAAGCCCGTTCCGGCTGCGCCCAAAGCGACCGCATCTACGAGGGCTTCTCGAACAAAAGCAGCCGCGATTGGCAAACCAACCACGGGATCGCGGGCAAGAGCAGCTCCCAAGACCACCACAACCACATCTACGTCCTCTCGGACCACGAGAAAGCGACCTGCGAAGGATGAAGATGACCCTGTATGCTGCTCCAGTCAATATTGTCCTACATCATTTATTCTAACCCAGCATCCCAACTTTAGCCCAAAGCATCAGCACCACCACGAAAGCGAACAAGAAGCGCTGCCAAAGCCAAGCCCGACCAGGTTCCTGAGCCGACGCCTGCTCCCGTGCCAGAACCTGAGCCTGAATTTGAAGCAGAGGTTTCCGCTGAAGCCATCCCGACCGAGACGGGGGTGGGATCCGAGGCTCACAACGAGGATACGGAGGCCGCACCAATTGAGGGCCAGGGCAACACAACCACGGAAACCACCATGACAGTATCAACGCCGGCATCTCCATCGAAAGTCTCTCGTATCCCAAGACCCTCTCCACAGACCACTCCACAAAGCACGTCAAGGAAAGCAAGTGCGCCACACTTTAGCCCGCAGCTGTTTACCCACAGCATTGGGAGATCAAAAACGGCGCATTCAACGAAGAATGGCCTGAAGGAGTCGCTCCTCGGTGTGTCTCCGAGGAAGCTCAAACTTCCTTCGGTTACGAAATCAGGGACCAATATCCCAGCCCCAGCCTCCCCGAGCAAGGAGCATGTACAAGAGCTGACCCCCAAGGTCGTCGGAGCAGGGACGGATCCCTTCTGCCTTAACACGCCCGTTGCCAGTGGATTTAAGACTGCGCCGGTTGAAGGGATTGAGCAGTCTCCAGCACCAGATGCCAACCTTGATGGCGATGATGGATACCTGCCAGAAATCGTGGAGTCCCAGTTCGAGGCGGCACTTGCCGCGCTTGAAGAGCCGGCTCCATCTATACCACTATCCACACCGGCAGTAGCTTCTCCAGAACGGCACATGGAAATCCACGTCGATGAGCCGGCGAGTCATTATCCTAACGAAACAGAGCACACCGTCATCCAATCCCCAATGACGCCGACTCGCCCACCACAGACACCAAGGACGGCAAAGTCGCATTGTGAAGGATTCGGCGCAGCCATCAAACAACCTGTCTTTGCAGACACGCCAAATGAGCCTCTCGTCCGAACAACGTCCATCTTCTCCTCCACCAAGTCCTTTGGTTCGGCGCGACGACCACCAGCAAAAGAGAAATTCCTTCAGTCGGCGCCTAGGCGATCATGCCTCACCGTACCCCCCAAGTTCCGACAAATGGCCGCTCGAATCCCTGATCGTCTATCCAGCTTGAATACCTCGCCGACAAAAGCGGGTGTTCAGAAGCAATCCGGTGTCCGGGCATCGCCTGGGAAACTGAGCGCAAGTTACAGTGCGGTCTCATCACCTACCAAATCACCAAAGAGGTCTCCGCTCAAAGAGATTACGGAGGAACTAGGGACCATGGCCTTTGATCAGAACCTTTGCATGCCGAGAGATGCTTCGTTGGAACCGATTTCTCGCCCCGTCTTTGTCGACCATGAAGAGACTGAGACTCCCGATGCAACCATTACGCTAGAAGAGTTCATCAACACACCGTTTCTTCAGCGGACCCCTACCGCCAAGGCAGAGTCAGCAGTAGAGTCAGCGGTGTCCTTCGCTCCTCTGGGCAAAGTACCGGAATTGAACAAGCCCATCTGTTCGCCGACGAAATCATCCATCCGATCACCGGAGCGGCGGTTGTCGCCCAAAAAGTCGGTCACATTCCAGGAAGAGAAGAGTCCATTGAGCAGCCCGAATTCATCGCTCCTGGAGGGCGTTATTGCCTTTGTTGACGTGAACACCAACGATGGAGCCGATGCGACGCACCTATTCAAGCCGTTGCTTGAAGAGATGGGCGCAGTCTGCGTCCCGCAGTGGACAAGTAATTCCATGAGCATAACACATGTCATCTTCAAAGACGGGGATAGTATGACGCTTGAGAAGGTCGTTGCCAGTAATGATGCAGTTCTTGCCGTGAACATTGCGTGGCCAATTGAGTAGGCATTCCATCCAGGATCATTTGACAGCATTCACTAACATTCCCAGCTGTGAACGCTTCAACAAGCGGCTTGATGAGCAATCATACCTCATCAACCTATCCCATATCCCGGGGAGCCCACGGCCGCTGCACAGCCGAAGCCCGAACGCAAGTCCCGTACACGACGCTAAAACTCCGGCTTGCCCAACGCCCGTCCACTTCAAATCCACACCGTCACGGCCCAGAACGCCCAGACCGGGGTACTCATCCTCACGCTTTGCCATCAAAACCCCGGCATGGCTTGCTGGGAGCATCAACAAGCATGCGAGCACACCCAATCTCCGGCTCTGCTCGCCTGAAAACAAGGAGAACGAAGAAAACCTCGCCAATTTTCCATGCGGCGAGAGTGAAGGGGGTTATTCACCGACGACCCCGTACTTCCTGAAGCCGAGCAACCTGGTGCAGCAGACATGTCCACCCAAGCAACACGGACAATCCATGTTTTTGGTGGACGATGCGCAGACGTCGTTTAAGCAGCGGCTGATGTTGGCGAAACGCAGGAGTCTGGAGTTTGCACCGAAAGTGCCCAGCCCATTGAGGGCCATGAGACAGAATCCGAAGTTCGGGTACTAATTCTCCGCTTAACGACATTGCAAAGCTTATCTTGAGTTGGAATTCACAATCAGATTGTATAGCTTCGTCTCTTCGTTTGCTGAGGTTTAAATTGATACCACGCATGGCTAGCGGGAGTTTCTTCTGGGGTTGGAAGGTAGCATGCTGGATTGGACTGGAACGATAAGGATCGTTGCTCCGTTATTGCTTTTGTAACCTTAGCTGGAAATATCATCAGCCTGAACAAGACAACCCCCGGTGGCTGGATGCTGCATACAGTGTCCTGCCGATATTATGATCGCATCTGAACCCTTCCCACAACGCCGTCTAACGACTCATCGCATAAAACCTCCTGGTCTCATATATGGCCACTTCTGACAATGTGTACGGTCGGAGGGGGTTTCGAGGGGTCGCTATGCCCATGCCACATCCAGAACATATGACTTCATAGCCCTGATCGCGTCGCCTTCATGCTTCTTGAGCAGTTCCGTAGCCTTAGCCTTCGGCATCTCTAGTTCATTCATCTACATGCCATCGCATCAGCGTTCGCTCGTCCAGTGCCTTGCATATCCACGCTCCGACTTACCACTAGCGTAATATCGGCCGTCTCGACCTTCACCTTCTTCGCCTCCGCATCCTCTTTCTTATCCTTGACTTCCAATGCCCTCATCGCCTGGCCGAGTGCCTCAGCGGCGTCGACATTCCGTGTAGCTCGTTCGTCCGCATCGTGGGCGTCGAGCGCTTCAAGGGCGGCGGCAGCCTTGCGGTCTTCGGCACTGCCGGGGCCAGTGGCTTGTGGCTCTTCGTCTTGTTCAGTCTCGTGGGAAGCCATTTTGACCGGAAATTATAGGGAAATGATCGCGGATGGTCTTGGAAAAGATGAGGTCGAGACATTCGCCAAAAATGCCCGAAATGGTTTCGAGGCGCTAGTCGTTGAGTGGTCGCTGGTTATTGGTCTGTTACAGTACGGTATTAAAACTAGTTTTAAAACGGCTGATGGAAATCGAAGGTCGATGAATCAGATGGATTTGCATCGCCTGAGAGAATCATGAATATTACATCTCAACATCTTTAATAAATAGAACAATTGCAAGGAATCTTGATGGGTTTTAATCCGTTCATGCTACGAGAGACATTCTAAGAGACAACCCTCCGAACCAAGTATCGGTAGGACCTATATGTACCTTGTCTCCTTCCTCAATTCAGGTCTCCCAGATCCGCCTCCCTTGCCCTGTCCGCATTTTGGTATCAAAAATATTCCATGAGTCACAAGGAATTCTATCGTCTCCATATTAGACACATATTAGACATATGATCGCCTAATCGCTTGGATCCTTTACCAACAAATCAAATTTCAAGAATTGTATTCGAACCACTCAACCCCCCTACCGCTTCTCTTTCCCCATCGTCACTATATTTCTCGATTTTGCCATGTCGAATCAGGCGAACGTTTCCCAGAACCAGTGGTCCCCATCATGTAAGTCAACTCGCGCTATCCTCACCTGAGTTCCAGTGCTAACCCGCGCTGAATAGCATGGCGATTGAAGCCCATCAAACAAGAGGTGGTTTACGAAGACAGCAAGGCAGTTGAGGCTGCTATTTCGAAGCTCCAGACCCTCCCTCCATTGGTGACACCGACGGAAATCGTCCGACTAAAGTCGAGCCTTCGAGATGTTGCGCTCGGCAAAGCCTTCCTTCTTCAAGGTGGCGATTGTGCCGAACTCTTTTCTTACTGCGAGGAGGGTGCGATTGACTCGAAAATCAAGCTCATCCTCCAGATGAGCTTGGTCTTAATTTGGGGAGCAAACAAACCTGTGGTTCGAATAGCTCGAATGGCTGGGCAGTATGCGAAGCCAAGGTCGAGCCCCGTCGAAAAGGTGGATGGAAAGGAAATCCCGTCGTTCAGAGGAGATATCTTGAATGGATATTCACCCGAAGACAGGAGAATTGACCCGGAGCGACTTGTCAGCGCCTACCACCATTCCGCCGCTACGTTGAATTACACGCGAGCACAGCTAGGATCCGGTATGGCAGACCTACACAACTCGCTGGACTGGGAACTTGGCCATGTGAAAGACAAGGAATTACAAGCGAAGTACCAGCGGATCGTCTCAAGCATCACCGACTCCTTGCGATTCATGCGAACTGTTGGTGCCGACACCGCCGGCCAGTTGCAGACGGTTGACCTATTCACCAGCCATGAGGCCCTAGTCTTGGAGTACGAGCAGAGTTTGACAAGAAGCTTACGGCATCCCTCGCGATCGGCTACGGCCTCCGGGGACTCTACAAACTCCAACGATAAGGGCTGGTACGATACTTCTGCCCATTTTGTGTGGATTGGTGATCGCACGAGACAGTTGGATGGCGCCCATGTCGAGTTCTTTAGGGGAATCGAAAACCCGATCGGTATCAAAGTGGGACCAACAATGGAAGCGGAAGAGCTAGTGAACCTTTTGGATATTGTGAATCCCCGGAAAGAAATCGGAAAAGTAACCTTGATCACAAGATACGGCCAAGATAAGGTAGAGAAGATGCTCGGACAACATATCGTGGCGGTAAAGGCTACGGATCATGTCGTGGTCTGGCAATGTGATCCAATGCACGGGTATGCGAGCAGACCAATATACCATCCTTGATGCCGTGCTAATTGATTCTAGAAACACCCGAACAACGAATACCGGAATTAAGACACGTCATTTCAGCAGCATCCTTTCCGAAGTATCATCTGCCCTACGGATTCATCGAGAGCATGGCTCGTTCCTGGGCGGCGTCCATTTGGAATTGACGGGCGATGCCGTGACCGAGTGTGTCGGAGGCAGCGAGGGATTGGCCGAAGCAGATTTAAGCCTGAACTATACCACGTTCTGCGATCCCCGGCTTAATGAGAAACAGGCATTGGAGCTTGCGTTTCTCGTTGCAGGGCATTATCGAGGAGAATCGTCAGAAGCGGCTTGATTTCACTCAGACTGTGTGAAACAGGTTCCATTCTCACCGTCCTTGAAATCAGGATGGGGCGTGACCTGGAGCGAGTTCTCACATCGGTTTTCAGCCCAAAGGACATTCTCCCCGAGCTACAGTACACGACTTGGCCGTACCTTAAGTACGGAGTATCTTGGGCCAAATTACTGGAGGCTGTGTTGAGAAATCAAGAGAGATTCCTTTGTGGTGCGACGGATTCTGACAGGGTGGTGTAACTGTAGAGTACGGTAGTGCTCGACGACAGGCTGGGTTAGCGGCGAACTGACCAGTGCCGAAACAAGTCTATAATAGGAATTGATTCTCAATACACACAAACACACCGTTCTTAAGTAGAGTTTGGCTCGAGCTTGATCTCGAGAATGAAAAGGGCATCTCAATGTCGGATATTACATACCATAAACCAAGGGCACTAAAATCACGGGTGCGATCGCTAAGAACTGGAGCTTGGATCCAGCACTTACCATAGTACTCCTGTGGTCCCTTGGGGAAATCATCATCTCCAATTTCGCAATACCAAAAAGAGAATGAAACCTCAACGCATTCACATCTTTGTCCAACTATAAACGGTGACAATGTCTGTTTTCCCGAAGCAAATGGACACCTGGCAGGAGACTGTTGCGGTTGTCCAGCAGTATCGGGACAACAGCCTCGATATCGATCCGCCGTTGTCTGGCATACCCCTAAACCTTCCATCGAATGTTTCGGAGATCCCTCGTAAATTTCTCTCTGCTATCGAATTGGATATCACGGAAACGCCACCCGAGCACCTGTTGGAAAAGCTGGCAAGCGGTGAACTCAGTAGTGTCGCAGTCACCCAGGCATTCTTGAGGAGAGCTGCATTGGCACAACGGCTGGTTCGGACCTTTCTACCCACGACCTCTCGGGTATTTGGGCGAAAAACTGATATATCCCCAGACGAATTGCCTCACGGAGCTTCTCCCCAGGCGAGCGCTCGCCCGCGCTAAGGAGCTTGATGACCACCTTTCTCAGCATGGGAAGCCAATCGGCCCTCTCCATGGCCTTCCTGTCTCCATCAAAGAACAAATCACGCTAGCAGATCATCCCCTTAACTACTCGTACGTTTCTTGGGTTGACAATGTGCCGCGTCATTCGGCCTACCTTATAGACCTTCTCGAGACCGCTGGGGCGGTCATCCATGCGCGTACGACGCAGCCGCAGCTCATCATGCACCTTGAATGCGCGTCAAACCTGTATGGCACAACTGTGAATCCATTCAATTGTAGCCTCACATCGGGTGGGTCTTCTGGCGGTGAAGGCGCGCTTTTAGCCTTGAAAGGAAGCGCTCTTGGGGTGGGTACCGACATTGGCGGCTCCGTTCGAAGCCCAGCTGCGAACTGTGGAGTGTGGGCACTCAGACCTACGACGGGAAGGGTCCCGATGCTAGGGATCGATGAGGACTATATAGGCCAGGAGGCAATCAGGGCCGTGGCAGGGCCAATGAGTACGAGTTTCGAGGGGTTAAGGTCATTCATGAGGGCAGTCCTAAGAGGAAGAAAACCAGAACTGAAAGAGCCTGGACTGATACCGCTTGGGTGGAGGGATGATGAAGCAAAATCACATTTCTGGAGTGAAGAGAAGGGCTGGAGGCTAAAGATCGGGGTTATGTGGGATGACGGAGTTGTCAAACCCCATCCTCCAGTTCAAAGAGCTTTAAGGGAGCTCGTGGAAGCACTCAAGGAGATTGACGGTGTTGAGATACGCGATTGGGAACCGTACCACCACGACCAGGCGTGGTCGATCGCGGTATAACCCCTTGAGGTCAATTCTCGGTCGGTTGGCGCTGATATATTCCGACAGGCAAGCCTATACTTTCCAGATGGCGGAGCGGACGAAGAGCGTGAGTTACGAGCCTCTGGCGAACCTTGGCTCCCATTGTCTCGCTGGATTGTGAAGGACAATCCCTTCTGCAAAGAGCTAGGCATGCATGATTTGTGGGATTGGACCGCAAAGCGAGAGCAATATCGCATTAAGTATGCCTCTCGGTGGCTCGAAACAGCAACCGGGGATGATGAGCGAGGTGTACCAACTGGTATGGTTGATGTCCTGCTATGTCCGGCTGGACCAGGGGCAGCACCACCACTGGAAAATTCGAAATACTGGGGTTACCTTGCCCAGTGGAATGTGTTAGATTACCCAGCTGCTGTTTTCCCGGTCACTACTGTCGATAAAGGCGCGGACAAGAAGGACCAAAGTTACAGGCCAAGAAACGAGCAGGATGCCTTCAATCATGAACTTTGTAGGTGGATTCAATGTCTTCGCTTGCAAGACTACTGACTTTTGCAGACGAACCGGAACGATACACGGATGCTCCAGTCGGATTGCAACTGGTCGGGCGAATATATGAGGATGAGAAAGTGCTTGCTGCTTTAGATTTCATATCTTCTCGGATCCAGCTTCCGCTGAGAAAAGCTACATGAGTACAAAACATTTCGGTCACTGCTTGATCGTTTACTACACACCTATACTTGGCAAAGGGGTTCTAGGGAAGAAGTGTACACTCAAATAACGGTATCGAAGGGAAGAGAATGATGAATTGCATCACCTATGCCGCACGCCGCTCTTTACCGCTCAGCAGATATAGGTCTGCGCGGAACTGAAGGATAGGGTCATCCGAGGGTTCGATCCCCGCGACTCTAGGAATGGGGTCTACGGCGTGGTCAGATACAAATTTGTCGATATCAAGGCAATGCCACTTACCGAAGATTATTTTCTTCTGCGTCGCCAGCAGATCCTCCTCGACAGTCTCAAGTTTCACGGTTCCGAGCTTCACTAGCTTCCGACTCTCCGGCCATACCTCAGTGACATCGTTTGTCGAATCGCCCGGCTCTGCAATTTGTGCCAGCAGTTTGTATTCAACAGGGCCGGCCGCCAGCTTCTGGGGTAGTTCATCAAACAAATAACTCGGCCCTTTGCCGGCAACCTCCTCATCCTTCAAATGCTTCAAACCCTCCACCGGCTGCACCTGGTACCTCACGAAAGTCTCCTTCCCCTCTTGATCGATAAACTTGAAAGCGTTGAGCATATAGAACGCCTCATTTGCAAAACTCTCCGGAAATGGCTTTGGGAACGTGACGAACTTGAACGCTGCCGGATGCCCCCCCAAAAACGTCTCAATCGGCTTCGGCTTACCCTCTTCCGCTGTCGCTGACGTCGCAACTGCTGTGAGGAACTCCAGAAATTCAGCGCCGGTCTTCACAGGAAAGACGGGAGTGCTGTGGCCGATGATGTCGGTATGCTGCCGCCTGCTAGAGGCATCTGTGCCCAGATTGAAGCGGATTGCAAGGCCCCGTGGGTTGGCGTTTAGGTCAGTATCCGGGATCTCGGGGATCCCAGTGGAGGAAGAAAATCGGGCGGTGATGGGGGTGGACGGGGCGTGGAAGTGAGGGGCGGTCGTTAGGGAGGCTGCTTCAGGAGTGGGTGAGAAGGTCCCGTGGATAACCAGGCCGCGGGCATGAGCTGTCGAAGTCAAGATCAGTCTCGTCTTTTACACTCTGTTATTCATTTAAGATAGGAGAGGGGGAGCTTTAAGGAGTCAGTGGACGAACCTGGTCGAAATCCCGGATGAGGCCCAAAGACCTTATGGAACAGCCCCAGCAGCTCCTCAGCGGTCTTCAAACCAGCTTGATCATTTGAGAAGGGCATTTTGCTGCGATGAAATATGCTTCTGGTTATTTGTGCACTGGGTGACACTGATCGCGAGCGTCCACCCGGCCATTTATAAATTCTACCAAGATCGCATCCTGAGTATTAACAGTTGCCAATACCGGTATCGATTATCGTGTCATAGCCTTACTAGTCCACTCTTGCCTCGGGGGCTGACATGCAGCAGAAATTGATTACTGATTGCATGAGAATGAAATCCGAGTTTCCTTATTGGTCTGCCCTGCGGATGGGAGCACCGGCCCCGCATGGTTGGGAACCGGTGATGTGAGTTTGATGCCATTTAATAATCTGAATAGAAGATAGGATAGACATTTGCATGGGATTTGGAAATCGCCAAGGGCTAATCCAAACCAGAGTCACTGGTTGTTTTCAGTAGAGAGCTTCACAAGGAATTGCACCTTCGCGGGCAAACATGAGCGCGTCACTAATCAAAAGGAAGGCTGTCCGGATGCTCTCAGTCAGAAATTTTGTTTCCCAGCTTGGGAAAGTGTACATAAACCCTATCCGAATCAAGTCGATCAAGAGGGTTCATTTAACGAGAGGGACAGCCTGTCTCCATCACAGCCGTTGAGCTTCTGAATACTTATTAGGTATTAGTTATATCCGATATGTTTATTGGTTTCCCAAGTGTGATGGATCGCTTAATCGCCTCGCAGACAATAAGGGCACGCAGTCCATCTTCCGCAGAGCACACGGGCTTCTCCTCGCCACGCACGACGTTTACAAAGTGCTTCACCTGAAGTTTAAAAGGAACGTCTGGCTTGATAATCACGTCCTCCGCTTGGATTATGTTTGTCCAGCTTGGTCCAGCCTCGTCGTAGCTCCATCTTTTCATATCTCCGAGACTCACGCTCGCGTCACTCCCTAAGATCCGTAGAAACGCTTCCCCGGACCTTGGAATGGTCGGGTTCTCGCCGGTGCCATGCTCGAAGCTCCAGGGGCTGGTGACGGCATCACTGAGTATAAAAGTCCCAACCACTCCACTCGCAAACCGCAAAATTATTGCGGCGCCTTCTTCGGCTTCAAAGTTTCGCTGGTTGATCGTTCCTTCAGCGTGCACGCGGATGATGGGACCAAGCAGGTATTGTAGGATATCGACTTCGTGAATAAGATTGATGAGAATGACACCCCCTGAAGCGGCATATCGGCGCCAGGTGGTGGGTTCTTCAAAGTACGATGCCGGCTTGAAAACACCCCAGATACCACAGATAGCAATTACCCGGCCAAGAGATTTGGCTTCCAGGAGGGATTTGGCAGCTCGGACGTAAGGGTTGAAGCGACGATGATGACCAACAAGAAGATGGAGGTTTTGGCGCGCTGGTCGTGAGATCTGTAATATCTTAGTGCCTGGAGTTGCTGAACTATCCTCACCGCGGCGGACCGATCCAATTCCGTGCCACCCTATTTCCACACCTCCCGCCGTCGAGAACTTACCAACTTTTGCCCGCTCACAATATCGGTCGAAATCGGCTTTTCAACCAGCACATGTATTCCATGATCTAGTAACTCTTCGGAAAGTGCGACATGTGTATGGTTGGGTGTACACACAATGGCTGCATCCGGTCGATCATTAGAGTTGATCAAGTTTCTTATAGTTCGATATAGCGGTACGCCCAATCGGACTGCAACAGCTTCGGCTGCCGGGCTCGGATCGACGATGCATGTTAGCTCTGCCTCATCCTCCTCTTGAACGGCTTGTGCATGACGAGGGCCGATCAGCCCGGTGCCGATGATGGCTATTTTGATCTTGGGACATGACATTGCAATGGTCTTGATATAAGGATCCGAGTTCGGCTTCGTAGTATCGGACGAAATCATGAGCGTCCTTCAGATCGAGTGATAGGAGATTGACACAATAGAGAGATCTGCAATGATTGACTATCGGAGCCCCCAACGGTCGCGAGCGGCTATGGTATCACCGTCGAGGCTCGAGAGTACATCATATTTTGCTGCCACTATTTGGACTTGAATAGAAATTGCGCGACTCAGACTAAAATACAAAGAAATGCCGAGTTTGGTACCGTTATTCACCATCGGGAAAACCTTACTCCAACAATCCTTAGCTCGAAATTAGACTAACTAACAATCATCGACTTTAGATCTTCATGATTTCAGGAAGTCACACGAGATACGCTCATATGCTGGCTGGTAGAACAGGTTCCAATTCCCCGGACAAGCGGCACTCCATACCGTATAATACAGCCCCTCGTAGGCCACAAAGCTTGCGACATGGGAGTTGATGTTGATAATGAATGACATTTGGATTTTTGTCTTACTGAAGGAAGAAAGACACGAGAAGTCTTAGAAATAGCCGTGGAAGCACGTGATGGGTACATCTCCAGTGTCAACAACGTTGACCCATCAAGTTATCAAGCCCTCTTCATGTATTAATACAAATAATGATTTCGCTTTAACATTGGACTTGACAAGGTCTCCTCCCGATCACTGTCATACGGGTTAGAACCAACTCCACTGCGGGGTCTGCAAATATATTAGGTGATTAGGTCATGGTTTGCTGCGTGATGCCCTGTCGTTGGGCAAGGGAGCATCCGATGTGAACTTCCTTGGTGCTGTCCCGCACCATTGAGGACTGCATTGTTCCCCTTCATTGTCAAAGGGTCATTCTTTTCGTCTGGATTATCAGAGCAAGAGCTCATACTGCGCATCCATTACTTTTTCCAGACTAATCGCGAGCAAACTACCCGGTTGGGCGTTCTTGATATTGGAATATCAAACATCCTCGTCCCCTCAAATGGTCAGTAATGGTTCTCACAACTAAGAGCCGTCTAGCTCTTCGAGCCTGGAACGTGGGATTTGTGACGCGGCGTACGATCGCCCAGTATGCCCTACCACGATATTTAGTCACCCCCGACGAACTACACACCGCGTTACAGAAGAACGTCCCGACACGCATCTCGACGGCACCACGCATCATCCCCCTCTGCGCAAGCTGGTTCCTCCCCAACGACCCCGAGAAGCGGACCGGGCATTCGACCTTTATAACGTCCCGTATCCCTCAATCCCGATTCTTCGACCTGGATGCGATCAAGGACCGTCAGTCGCCGTATCCGCACATGCTACCGACACCAACCGCCTTCGCGGATGCGATGGGAAAGTTGGGCATACGTCGCGATGATTCGTTAGTAGTGTACGACACCAAAGAGCTGGGAATCTTCTCCGCGCCTCGCGTCGCGTGGACATTACGGGTTTTTGGCCATTCCAATGTGCACATTCTGAACAACTTTCGGCTCTGGGTTGAATTGGGATACCCACTGGATAAGGGAGAACCGGCACCCGTGGATGAGACGGACTATCGCCCGGTACCAGATCTGGATGCCAGCAAGGTCGCCACGTTCGAGGAAATTCACGAGCGGATTCTGGAAAAAGGCAAGGAAGGGGCAGAGGAAGTGCAGATTCTTGACGCTCGAAGCACGGGACGGTGGGAAGGGAAGGACCCAGAGCCCCGCGAAGGTATGTCTTGAATGGGTGAACTTAGGTCTCCAAGTCTAGTGCACTGAACCGTTTCCTAGGCCTCTCCTCTGGCCACATCCCCCGATCATCCTCCATCCCCTTTTCATCCGTCTTGGATCCGACGACCAAGACGTTCTTACCCTCTTCGGAGCTTCGAGCGCTATTCAAAGAAAAGGGCGTTGACCCTTCAAAGGCCATTATCAACAGTTGCGGGACTGGCGTGAGCGCTGCCGTTCTGGATGCTGCCTTGGCAGAAGCCGGCTTTGCGGATGAGGGAAGACGTCTCTATGATGGCAGCTGGACAGAATGGGCACAGAGGGTGAAACCGGAAGAGAACTTAATTCACAAGAAAGCTTGAAAGCGGCAGAGGATGTTCTGGTGCCTTGTTTGTTTCCATGCCACGCTATCCAGCAGACTCTACGATTGTGTGATACCCCAGTCTCGTTTGTTGTGTATGGACTGTCCATAATACTATACCTTATGATCGCTTTCAAATAGTACATACTGTATGTACCTGGAGTTTCCATATGATATGTCTGCTCGAAGTTACTTGGCGTACCATAAGGGGCCGTGCCGTATCCATATGACGTGAATCGGTCTTGCAATTTGTTCCGTACCAACGTGCTCCTCTGGCCAACTACAACCCTCCTATAAAAACACAACGTCACACTGCGGGGCACCGATCAACATAATTCTGCAACATCCAAACAACTGAACGCAAGACTACATTTTCTCACAGAAGTCCATCATGGCAGATCTCAGTCCGGCCGAGCAAGAAAAGGTCGACCAGGAGCTCCAGGCCAAACAATTCGCGGAGCAGGCCGCATTACCATACAAATGGACGCAAACGATCAAAGACGTCGATGTCACCGCACAAGTCCCCGCCAACATGCGAGGAAAAGACTTTGATGTCAAGATCACCAAGACCAAATTACGGGTCGGATTGAAGGGTCAGGAACCGATTATCGACGTACGTTGAAACGGATTCGATTGGTGTCGCGCAAGAACGCTGGCTGATCCGCCGCATTATCAGGGCGACCTCCCCCACCCCATCCACGTTGACGAGTCGACATGGACCCTCGAATCGACGAAGGACGGCAAGGAGATCAGCATCCACCTAGATAAGGTCAACAAGATGGAATGGTGGGCGCACGTCATCACCTCTGCGCCGAAGATCGACACGACCAAGATCCAGCCGGAGAACAGCAACCTGGGCGACCTCGACGGGGAGACGCGGCAGATGGTCGAGAAGATGATGTTCGATCAGCGGCAGAAGGAGATGGGGAAGCCGACGTCGGACGAGATCAAGAAGACGGAGATTTTGGAGAAGTTTAAGAAGGAGCATCCGGAGATGGATTTCTCGAATGCGAAGCTGGGATGATTAGAACTGGTCGAACGCGAGATTGGTTGCAGAACATGGCCTTAAGCTAGAAGCCAGAGGACAGAGCTCACGGGTCGAGGATAAGAGGAAAGCATGCTTCAGAAGAGGTGTTTGTAAGTATATATACAGTATCAGACAAATCGAGCAGAGAGACGACCTGTTCCCGATGGCCCTGGGATTACACGTTTTACGCCGTCTAAGAGTCTCCCTATCATGATTTTGAGAGCGCTAAATGGTATGTCTTGAGCTGCTCGGCCGTCATCCTCGACGGACTCTTGACAAGGGGATCTTCACCACTCCCGGTTTTTGGGAACGCAATCACATCCCTCACCGAATTCCTACCTAGCATGACCGCAACCAGCCGGTCGAGACCCAACGCGATGCCCGCATGCGGTGGACACCCCATACGCAGGACATCCAGCAGATGTTTGAAGTCCCCAAGCCGTGCCTCGCTAAGCTTCAGGATATCCTTCAGCATATATTCCTGGAACTTCGCATCGTGGATCCGACGACTTCCTCCGCCGAGCTCCACGCCATTCACCACGATATCGTAATGATCCGCCTTCGCGAGCAATGGATCCGTGTCGAGCAGCGCCACGTCGTCCGCCGTCTTCGGCGCCGTGAACGGATGATGCGTCGATGCCAGCCCGGTCATGCTTCCCTGGCCAACTTCGCCGTCTTCGCATTTCGAGAGGAGCGGGAAGTCCTTGACCCACAGGAACTGGAATCCGGAAGGAGGCTCCACCATCCCCGTGGTGACAGCCACTGCGTGTAACGCGAGGCGCAACCGACCCATCGCGGTCGATCCGCCGGACAACGGTGCGTTTGCTCGGGCTTGCATGATGACCAGGTCTCCGCTCTCCAAGTCCCACTGATCCTCCAATGTCTCCGCCGCCTCGAAGCCAAGCGGTTGGAGACCACGCAACGGTTTGGTGGTGTCGTAGATGAAGATTCCCGGCTGCCCGTCGGGATTTCGTAGAAACGGCACCGCCTCCGGGGAATCCATGAATTTCGCGGCGAAGGCGCGCGTTTCGTTGGGATTGTCCGAGACTTGGAACCGCATGGCATCGACGATCGGTATGGTCAAGGGGCTGATTTTGCCGACCAGATCCGCCGGAATCACATGCTCGCATCGAGAAATCTCCATCCCGAAACGCATGTCGGGCTTGTCGGACCCGTAGCGAGCCATGGCATCGTCGTACGGCATGCGAAGAAACGGTCCGGGGATGTCCATGCCCAAGAGCTCTTTCCACAGCCGCGTCAGTAATGTTTCAATGCCGTTCATGACATCGGCGGATGTTGCGAAGCTCATCTCAAGGTCCAGCTGGGTGAATTCCGGCTGCCGGTCGGCACGTAAATCCTCATCCCGGAAACATTTCGCGATCTGATAGTACTTGGGAATTCCGCTGGCCATAAGGATCTGTTTGTATTGCTGCGGGCTTTGCGGGAGCGCGTATGCGAGCCCTCGTTCTCGTGTCGGCACCAAGAACTCCCGTGCACCTTCCGGTGTCGATTTGAACAGGATGGGGGTCTCGACCTCGAGGAATCGTTGGTTCGATCCTAATTCGTCCCGGCACAGTTTGGTAACGTCGGCGCGAAACCGCAGTGCACGCTGCAGGTCGAAGTCGAAACGAAGTTGCAGGTTCCGCTCCTCCGCCGGGAATCTGGTCCCTTCAGCAATGAGGACATCACTGGGGAATTGACCTAGCGCCTGGATCCTCTGCAGCTCCAACTCGAGAGATTGGAATTTGCGTTGGTCGAACGAGTCGCTTTTGCTAGGCTTCTTAGCCTTCAACTTCCCGGTGATGGTAACCGGGCTCTGCGGAGTAATCGTCCTGAGAATCGCGTGGGGGGCCGATGGGTCAACAGTCCCGTCTTTTGAGACATTTGCTACGGATACAACCTGTAAAATCTTGCTCAGGTCTTTGCTATATAGGGGAGCAAAAGAGAGTTTCTTGGACAGGTCGGATCTTGGGCCGAGATAGCCATGGAGGGTCACATCGGTTCCGATAAGGGAATTCGACAAATCGCTGATGTCGCAGGTCGCTATCGGAAATTCAACTTGGAATTCTTAGCTCATTCAACAGGATCACAGTTTGGGAGACTTACATGATCGTAAATAGGTGGACCCTTGGAAAGCGTTTTTATCATCAAACAGATGTCGAGCGGTGGAGAATCCTCTCTCCCCTATTTTGCCATTCAGGCATGTGTGTTCCTCTACTGGGTGCCATGACAAGTAGGATAGACAAGGTGGTACTCGAGGGAATCGCCGTTTTGCAGATGCCCCTGAAGTTCGGCGAAGAATGGGGACTTCCTTAGTTGCGGTATTCCATGCTCTTTTAAAGGGGGACATATGCTCTTGACCTGTCGGCAGGATGGGGATTAAACAGACTATTTAATTCATTGGCCAATGGATTATTGCGATACCTGCTGTAGAACAAGATTAAATTATTGTTGAAACTTTGATAGACGCGATGGATTCATGTGGTGGAGCAGGGAACCAGAACTTCGTGTTAAGGCGACAAGGCGATAAGGCCGCTACACCACAGTTCCCAACCTTAAAACAAATCTTCAGATGCGATCTCTCCCACTCTTTTTTCTTCTTCAATGATCCTTCCAAGTTTAACTAAAGTGAGTCCTCTGAATTTCGCTATTCGCACGTTACCTGATGCTAACAAGGTTCTCTCCCAGATGATGAAAGCCTGGCGTGTAATCGATGAGCTGGCCTCCGATCGTCGCTGGGCAACTCTCCCTTCGCGGGCTTCAGTGGTTGCTCAGCGGCTCGGATGGTTTGCATGATATCGGCGTTCGGCACACCCTATCTTGTTACTCCGACGGACGCGATGGCATCTCTGATATGATTTACTTGGAAGGTATTGGGTGGATCTGGGAACGGTTTGCTGGAGGAGAGTTAGTGATGCGAAGGGGATATTTCCCGGTTTGCTTCCAGCGTGTACATAGACGGAATAGATATTTCGTGTCAACTGAACAACCAAGCGCCATGATATTCAGGCCGTATATCCATTCAATGGGCCGTTTCCGTCTTAAATGTTCTCGTATGCCTTGTTCCAATTGTCTCCAGCACTAGCTGCGTTCTGGACTTGTACATGAATTGCACTGTCCCGGAAATGATTCCAACCTGGTGGACTGATAGGCTACGTAACAAACAAAAGGCCCTGAAAGCCAAAGGGTCATTTCATCTGGACCATCTTGAAATTCTATGTCTCACCATCGACTGTACTGACAATAGGGATTAAATATGAATATGAATATTAATTCTGGCTGCTGCCGAATCTCGTCGACCACCTCCACCAAGATCCCCCCCCTGCTGTGCTGCATGTGTCTGAGTTGTTCTCATGCCGTGACGGCCGTATTCTCGTACTTCGCAAACCCCCAATCTCACAGTATGCCGACCACATAACCTCCACCACTTTCTTCCAAATCCACCACGAAATCCCTCTGTGCAGCTCTCAAACTCTACTGCGGCCTCCTTATAATACCCTGAGCGTCCAGCCTCCCACTCATCCCCCACGCGAGCGACCCACTTGGCCATGGCTTGACGACATCGATCGAACCTCTGAATTCCGATTCCATATCCAGGACTGAAAAGTCCCTCATAACAGCAGATGGCGAGTACTTTCGCGAAATCTGTCTCCGGAGCCACAAAGATTAAGGTAAATTGACACTATGCGACCATCGCTGCCGGAAACTGACGACCCCAAGCTCGCCGCTCCCAAGTCGAAATACATCGAGCACATCCTCATTGCCACCCATTCCGGCGAACATGGCGTTGCAGAGATCTTTCGGGCGCTGCAAAACCGGCTCCGCGATTCCACATGGACCGTGGTCTTCAAATCGCTCATCGTGGTCCACCTTATGATTCGGGAGGGCCAGCCGGAGGTGACGTTGAAACACCTGGCGCAATCACCGCACCGGAAGTTGGCGATTAGCAACTTTACAGAGGGTACGTACGCGATCCGTCCATGTGGTCGACAATTCATCCCCTAGCTTGTGCACCAAGAAGAAGTTGTGGTTGGATCGAGACCTTGAGCCACAGGTTTGCGTGTTAGGGACATCATTGGGAGAAGAGGGCTAATGCTCTTGGGTCAACCAGCTCAAACACAAGGCCGGAACATCCGCACGTACGCAGAATACCTCCTCCAACGCGCCGTTTCATATAGCGCCACCAAGGTCGACTATGTCCGTGGCGGGGAAGGTCGCCTCAAGCGGCTCACGGTCGAGAAAGGATTGCTTCGGGAGACGGAGAGCGTACAAGATCAGATCCGCGCACTCCTCAGATGCGACGTACGTAAAGATTCTGTTCTCGGAAAATTCACACTAAAGCTCCGTTGCAGTTCCTTTCCAACGAACTGGAGAATGAAATCACCGTTACCGCATTCCGGTTGTTGACCATGGATCTCCTGGCGCTTTTCCACGTCATGAATGAGGGCACCATCAATGTCTTAGGTATGGGCTATATGAAGAGCCAGTAGCCCTCGCAACTGACCACAACAGAGCATTACCTCGAAATGTCAAAATCGGACGCCGAACGAGCCCTTAAGCTATACAAGAGCTTCACCAAGCAGACGGACCACGTGGTGAAATACCTCAGCACCGCAAGGCAGTTCGAGTACGCCACACGGCTGGAAATCCCAAAGATCAAGCATGCGCCGACGAGCTTGTCTCAATCCCTCGAGGAGCATCTCCATGACAAGGACTTCGAGATCAACCGAAGACAATACCTGGCTCAGATGGAAGCGAAACGGACCGGAAAGCCGATCTCGAGTACCGCCAAATCATCCGCAGAGCCGAAGGCGAGTGAGAAGAAGCCTGCCACCTCTCAAGCGTTCCCCGAGCCAAAGGCATCCCAATCAACGGCGCAACCCAAAGCACCGGCGCCGGATCTGATGGACTTTTTCGAATCCATCGAACAGAACCAGCAGACCATGGCGCAGCCGTCGGGGAGTGCTTTCCATCCACAGCAGCAGCAACAGCAGCAGCAAGCGTACATGCAGCAGACCGGCAACCCCTGGCAAGGAGGCGTTCCGCAAGCAATGCCAGGGGTAGCGTTTCCGCAGCAGAACACCGGCTTCGCTCCGCAACCGCAGCAAAATATCGGCTTCGCTCAACAGCCGCAGCCATCGGGGGCAGGGTTTGCGACGTCGACCAACCCCTTCGGCCCGGGTCCGCAGCAAGCACCGCCTGCACAGCAACCGATGTTCCCTGGATCGAACGCGTTTTCGTCCGTGTCGCAGCCGGCCTTCAATCCACAGCAACCGACCCTCTCGGCCATACCGCAGAACGGCGTCGCGTCATTCACACCCCCGCAACAGGAACCGAATCCGTCACCGTTCCCGAACCCCCAGAACTCAGGGCAGCCGCCTTTCAGCAACCCCTTCCGCCAATCCATGATGCCAACCGGTGCCAGCAACCCAACCAGTCCTGCCACCCCATCGAATCCCATGCCCGCGTCGTCCCTCGCACCCACCCCAACCGGGACCAACCCATTCGCGAAAGCTCCCTTCCAACCTTCTCCCTTCCCCTCCTCCCTCCCACCCCCGTCCAGCCCGCCCTTCTTCCAGCCCCCTCAGCAGCCAGGCGCCCTCCAACCGCAACCCACCGGCACCAACCCGTTCGCTCGCGACGCGTCGCCGTCCTCCCCGCCGCCACCGTCACTCTCCCCGCCCGCGCCTGTGACCGCCCATGTGACCGGCAGCACGAACCCGTTCCGGCAGAGCGCGTTCGTGAACCCGCAGACTGGCGCCGGGTGGCAGCATCAGCAGCAGCAGGCGACGGGGCTGAACCATCTGGAGACGATCCCGGTGTTTCCGAGGCCGGGGCTGCCGCAACAACAACAGCCACAGCAGCAGAACCCATCGTGGGGTTGATCCGAGTGGGAGAGCAGGTGGGGGAGATGATAATTCAATGGGCTGGATTTGACCCGAGGATTAGGAATCGGGGAACACTTAGTGGTTGTACTGGATTATGGAGAGCAATGTATCCTGCTTAGGTTTCGATCTGGAGCGACCATCTGTGCGTTTTATAATGCTGAAGTTTAGCGGTTGACGGCGATTGATCGTCTCCTTCCTATCCCTTCAGTCCGACACTGGCCGAGTCGACCGTGATTTAACAAAATACCAAGTGATCCGACGTTTCAACTGAAGTAATGCGTGTCTAATTGTGGTCCCGTATGAATACATGAACGTAGGCAAACCATGCATCGCAGCATCTCCTGATGCACCCTCCCCATCTATTCCGGCTAGAAATACAACATGTAGAATGCAGAATGCTCATCCCTCGTCACTATCTATAATTTCATCCCCAGTGCCTGATGCACCTTCAACGCCTGCCGGATGCTCAGGTCCAACATGATCTCCTCGCTGCCGCCCGGGATCGCATACGCCCTTACATCCCGATACAACCGCTCGACCTTGCCGCCCTGGCCGCCGCGGCTGTAGCTCAACCCCCCGAAAATCTGGCTCGCCTCCCGGGCGCAGAACTCAAACGTCGTAGTGCTCTGCGCCTTCAGGCTCGCGATGGCGCCCCCGAGCTTTAGCATGGCCTCCGTCTCGTCCATCCGCTGGCACTGGAACGTCAGGTTCTCCAGCCAGGCGTAGGTGGCTTCGATCTGGCGCGCCATGTGCGCGAGCTTGAGCCGGATGACTGGGTGCTCGATGAGCTTCTTGCCGAAGGTCTTCCGCTTGTGGGCGTACTTCATCGACTCCTCGTAGCAGACGCGCGAGAAGCGCACGCACTGGATGATGATGCCCATGCGCTCGTGGTTGAAGTTGGTCATGATGACGCGGAAGCCCTGGTTCTCCTTGCCGATGAGGTTCTCGACGGGCACCTTGACGTCTTCGAAGGTGATGTAGGTGGTCCCGCTGCTCCAGACACCCTGGCAGTCCATCTTGCGCGTCGACACACCGCCGGCGGATCGCTCGATCAGCAGGACCGACACGCCGTTCATGCCGGGCTTGCCCGTGCGGACCGCGGTGGTGAAGTAGTCGGACCAGATGCCGTTGGTGATCCACTTCTTCTCGCCGTTGACAATGTAGTGTTTCCCGTCCTCGCTCAGCTTCGCCTCGCAGTTCAGGCCGGCGACGTCCGACCCACCGTCTGGCTCGGTGATGGCGAGGCAGATGCGCTTGTCGCCGTTCAAGATGCCCGGCATGATGCGGTCGACGAGCGCTTTCTGGCCGTATTTGAGGACGGGCGGGCAGCCGATGCCGAACCCGCCGATCAGGTTCCACACCAGGCCGCCGGAGCCGGCGCGGGACAGCTCGTCGGTGATGATCATCTCGTGGAAAAAGTCCCAGTCGTCTGGATGGACCGACTTGATGGTGTTCTGGACGAGATCGCGCGGGTACATGGCGCCCATGAGCCCCGCGAGGTATCCGCGGGTCCCCATCTCCTTGTAGATCGCGTGGGGGACCTCCTTGGCCTCGTCCCATTCGGTCACGTTAGGCATGATCTTCTCCTCGACCCATTCGCGCACCTCGGCGCGCAACGCTGCGTGCGTCTCATTTACGTATGGGGAGTGGTAGGATTGGTACCAGTTGGGGTCGGCGTAGGGAACCAGGTCGCCGTACATGTCCATCGGCTCCGGATCTTCCTCGTCGTCGGACTTGGGCTTCTTGCGGAGGGGCTCGGCCGGTTTGGCGGACACGGCGGCGGGCTCGGGGGTTGGTGCGGCGCCCTCCGGTGCGGGTTTGCTGTCCAACGATCCCACCATCAATTTCGGCTTGAATTTCTTGAGGATGCCCTCATTGTGGTATTTCCAGAACTGCTTTGAGGCATCTTTGCCGGCGACTCTTTGCAAGACTGTTGCACGATTAGCGACGGACTCCTCAACCATGGCGAGCGTTCATACTCTTCTTTCCACCGGGATGCTCGTTCTGGAAAGTGGTCAGGTCATAGACGTCTTGGTCGACGACGATGTACAAGCTATCGGACTTGTTGTGTGTGGCCACGTCGGCCTCAGAGAATCGTTGTGACATGGTCGGAGTTGGATATCAAGGAGTGAAAAGGAAGCGAAGTAAGAGAAGAACCAAAGAGAAAGGATGGATTAGCGGTACAGATTCTTACAGTATGTAGGTGGACAGAAGAGGGTATATGACATGAAGGCCTTTCACATGTCAAAATCTAATGCAGAACATTTATCTGCGTTGAAGGTTCAGGTAAGACCGTGACGCGATGTAGACTTTCCCCGGAACTTGGCGTGTGAAGCGGAGAGTCTAGCTATTCGTGGATTCAGTATCCAAGTATCTAACCAAGTAGCTCTGGTGTATCCTGATCAATGGACAGCCAGCGACTGGATTAGAGGAAGGATATCTGACATGTGATGCAACCGCGAGATCAGAAGACTGGGGATCATGCGACGGGGTCCAGCCTTAGTTGAATTGTTTGGTCGTCTGGCCACTTGATCCGCCGCATATGTCATGCCGAGGCTTGCTGGCAGGCTTGCTGACGAGGTCACAATGCAATCACGTGGCCGCCTTACAATCCAAATACCAGTCTCAAATTCCATCAAAGTGAAACCATCCCACCAATCAATCTATCCACCCCAAGGAATCAATCAAACTCGGACCGATCCGACATGAGATGGGACGTGGGAGATCCATGTTAAACGGACCATCATCCACATTCCACACATTCCCTCCGGCTCCGGTGCCGGCCCTGCTTGGAAAAGCTTCCAGAAGGGTTGATATTCGATAAGAAGGTTGGCATGTGCCTCCGTCCCTCGAGGTGCCTCTAATTTCGCGATTCGGTGACATACCCCTTCCGAGTAAGTGCCTAGGTACGCTTGTTCATTAAGATTCTGTTCATCCAGATCGCATACATTCCTTTGGATTCAGATCGCGTGATCATAGAGTAGAGCATGAAGGATGAGAATAGGTAGTATCCCTTTCCTAGATGCAAGCGGTCATGGAGAAAGAGCGGGTTATCCATTCCGGTATCATTTCAATTTCATTCGTCATGCAACATTCTAATATAAACCTGTCGTTTTTGATTCGTTTCGCCAGCTGCCAACTCGTGGCTCTTCCTCTGGTACCACGGTCCGAGTCGCAATTCCGGATTCAATGTTCAACGACGTCTCGGAGAGTCGGAATCCTTCCGGTCGGGAATCAATTTCCAAGGATTGCGGCTTGTCAGTGGCGTGGTGCTGGAATCAGGTCGACATGCGAGTCCGTGACCTCCAGCCTCAGGAATCATCAAGGTGCTTCGCCAATCGTCATACGACCAGAACAGTTCGATGTGGGAAAGATGCCACTCATGAACCATAGCACTTGGCAGAATCACGGAACTTCTACGGAGGATGTCCAATCTGTAGTGATCCAACATGAATCCATGGCATCTTGGCTGTTTGGCTTTCCCCATTCCGTGTGCAACGATGGATTCTTCCCTCGTACACGGCATGAATTGACAGTATCCCCCGGGGAAACAGTAAGAACTGTCGTTCAAGGAATGCGCTGTGCGATAGCCGGAACAATGCAGGAATGGATCCCCTACGTGCCTGGACTCTGGAGCGTGTATGTTCCACTGCTACCTACTTTTCCCATCTCGTTGGAGTGACTTTGGCAGATAAAATGGCCCGTTTATATCCGTACTTTATACATCTTGATTGCGCAACCTTCTTCCTCCATGCTCCTCTTCGTCCTCTTCGTCACCACCTCGAGGAAGACCCGTTCAATATCGATGTTGGGATTTACAAACGCTCCAAGTCAGCTGTAGTCCGAGTTCCTTACACTGAATCCCCTTACAGCGGCTCGTACTGGTGCTGCGTCGGAGTCCTCCATCGGAGGTTTAATGTCCGTATGGCTGATATCTTTCTATCCTCATTGGCCGATAAATCTATGATACACTGCAGTTGGATCATACAAATGTCCATGGATGAGGGAAGATTGGTTTCTTTGTCCTGGTTCTGTGTCACTGCTCAACCTTGGGACCGGTGGCGATCTCGCAATAACAATATCAATTGTATTCTTTTAATTCAGACTGGAGCGGTGGTGAGTGGTAGCTGGTGAGTGGTAACTTGGAGCATGCCTGCTGCTGCGGTGAGTGTGGTCATGAGATGGCGGCTGGGAGTGCGGCTTGCAGTAGTGGCCATGCACCTATGAAACACAAATGCCGCAACTTGACCAGTGACAGACAGAGGGGTGGACCCGCCAAACACCCTGATCATCGGGTGGGCGGCGCCAGGGGGAGGTTTCTGAGCCAGTTGCGTCAGCACTCAGCAGCTCAGCACCCACGAGGTCTCCCTTCCCCTCCATCACTGTAGGGTGGGCGTAACGAAATAATGAAATAAATAGGTCCGAGTAAATTACGAAAACAATGAAATTTATTCTTTTATTTATTGGAGGGTTTCTGCCAGGAATTATGGGCACCTGGAAATTGCGTTTTGTGTAATATTCGACAGCGTAGCGCGTTTTATTTGCCCATACCCAGTTAG